GCGGCACCACCCACACTCCAAGACAGGTCTCACTGTACCTGCACATCTGATACTTTGATTATCGTCTGTGTATCTTTGCTTTCAGCTCGCCCGTGGTCTACACCGTCGATTTGGAGCTAGATTCTCGATACTCGAGACTCGATAACTCCAGACCATAGTCGCTCGCTCATCCCTATACCCTTGTCGCGTTCTGATTGTCGATCTCTGCCGTTACTGCCATTATTGCACCTTGATCGAACATTGCTGACAGTCTCTACAGCTCCAAAACCTCTTCCTCACACTCATCTCGTCCATCTTCCAACTCGCCGCCCTCGTCTGGTATCTCGTCAGTTATTTCCCCATGGGTAGCACGGGTCTGCAATTTATGGGTCGCTTTGGCGTCTCCCGGGTTTCTGCTTGGGTTAGTGGGTAAATAGAATAAAGACTGGGAAGGAGGGAGCTACCTTTGGGAGTTGTATAAAGTAGTGTCACTGCTTGCGTTGCTCAGCGTTGATGCAGCATCACTTTTATTCCCCTTTCACTTTGTTGGAATTTTTGTACGTGTAGGTCTTGACGGTCGATAGAATCAAATCACTTGACTGCCTTGTTTCCTTTTTTCTGCGTTAGTGGGAGTAAAGTCGTGGCTCTACTTCGGCCTTGGACAATACTACGAACATTGATCTCTTAGATGGAACCTAGAGGTATGAGACTTGTATTTGTTGATTTTATGTAGATAATACCATCCAAAGCTATTCAATACTTTAACCGCAGCGATGAGCATACAGCTAAAAAGCTATTGCGAACAAGACAACCTCGAAGAACTTAAAGATAAAGCCATTCAACTCCCATCACTTCAAAATCAATGCTTCCCCCGCATCATAACAACTCCCACCACACCATCAACAAGCTTAACACCAGGAACCTCCGCCTCAAAAATACCAGTCTCCCCACCAGATCCAACCTCATGCCACCGCTGCAACAGATCATTACTCTCCTTGGGCTTGACATCCGGCGAAGCCGTGCCAACGGTGATATGCGGGATCGCATTCGCGCACGGGAAGGCCGACTCCACAGCATCTTCAGTCTCGCCCTCAGCGGGTAGAATGCGCACGACGAAGGCCATGATCCTGTTATCCCAGACGAGTCGCTCGAGGCGAACACGCGCAGAGTTGAGCTTGGGTGGGTTGGTGGCGGGATCAGCGACGGGGTTGGCGGTTAGGACGTCGATATACTGCTTCGCATAACGGTCCCAGATTTCGGTGCGGTCTTTGGATGCAGCGCGATGAATGAGGGTGACGTGGAAGGCAGGCTGGATGCGGCGAGAGTTGTGGAGTTGGTTGTACAGGCGGGCTGTTTCGGGGGCCGTGTTGGTGAAGAGGGATTTGAGGGTGGATGTGATTTCGGATGTTGGGACGGAGATGCTGAAGTATTCAATCTTGCGGGCGAGGACGGCAGGAGTTGTCACTGCGTTTGATTTCTGCGAGGCTACAGGGACCGGGTCGTTCTTTTGTTTCTTCTGATTTGGTTTGCTGTAGCCCTTGCTGAGATCGTCCTTGACCTCGTAATTTTCAATGGCAGCATCGATAGCGGCGTCTAATTCTTCGGGCGAAGGCATGGAGGGAATTAGGCGAGGGTATGCAGCGTGCAGAGCAGTCATAACGGTTTCTAGGTTCTCGCGAGAAGAGGCGCACACGTCGAGGTCGATGACGTGCTGGAAGTGCATATCGGGGTCCCGGTCGACATCAACGCCCTCAAAGCGAGCCAGGAATCCGTCCATGATCCCGACAATCTCTCCCTGGTTCTTGCTGCCAGCGCGGATCGTCTGGTGATTGTCACCGCGCTCAAGAACTCGCTTTCGGGTGACCTCCTTGATTGCAGGAAGGAGCTCGGCCTTGGGCTCGTGGACGTAATGCAGGGCAACAAACTGTGCATCTGGAACGACGGGAAAAATGTCCTCCATGAGCTGCTTTCGCTCCCGACGCTGGTGGTTGTTGCGGTCTGCGATCACGACGGGATGCGTGGCCATGGCCTGGGTGATCTCAAAAGCAAACTGCTTCGGCTTGCCTTTCTGCTTGGGGATATTGTCGTTCTGAATATGGGCCCATTTGAAGAGATGCACCAGAGCAAGCGCGACCGTAGTCTTTCCACATCCTAAAGAAGCGATGGGAGCGATGACAATGTTATTGGTGGCTTCTTTAGCTTTGTCGCCCGCTTCCTCCATGGCGATGATCTCAGAGCCCTTCAAACCCCGCTCATTCAAGAATTTCTCCCGGAGAGAAATGATTCCATGATTGTGATTGTACTCCTGTGTAAGCTTGGGGTTCTTGATGAACTCTCTTCGCGCAAACTGGAGATATTCTTCGGTAATCTTATGGTGCTTCTTGATCTTTGGCAGCTTCCCGGAGATAATTGCTTTGGTGCATTCACGCCACTGCCGGTACATCAAGTATGGTTCCTCAAACTTGTACTTGAAGAACCAGTCCCTGTAGCCGCTATCACGGTCACTGATCTGGCAACGAATCACGAATCCTTCTGTTTCGCGGCCATCCCATGTGCCGGTCTCCGCACAGCCCTCGAGAAACTTCTTCACGGACGCGATGTCATCGTACACCACAAACTTGGCTTTTTTGAAGCCCCAAGCATCTGCAAACTCGTGTACCTTATCTCCAGACATGGTGGCAAACTCGGGCTGGTTGTAGTTCAGGCCGTGGAGGTAGATGCCGGCAGCTGCTTCGTCGTAGGCCAAGACATGCTCTTCAAAGTTGTCATCGCAAAGCTCTCCAACCGCTGTGACATTCATCTGGCGCAATGTTCGGGCAAGCTCCTTGGAGGACTTTCCAACGGTTGCGACATGTCGCTCCACCCACCGCTCACCTACCTGCGCGTGGCTCAGATTGGTGTCGGCGCGGACGCCCGTAGAATGCTTGCTGCAGACCAGCAATTTGTCATCTTCGAGAGCCGAGATGAAGATAATACAGCCATTCTCCTTAACACTCAGTTCATATGGACCCCGGGTCTTGTTTTCGATATTCCGCCACTGCGTGTCGTTGGTCTCGTCGATATTGAAGAACTTGTCATAGCCGCGCACAGCGATCTCCGGGATGTTGTCTTTCCGCCGCGTTGTGAAAAGACCTCGGGCATATGTAGGTAGGTCATGACGCCTGTAATCCCAGTCCATAAACTTCCACGAGTCCACGGTGACACCTTTAGTGCCCGCGACATCGAAGGTGTTCTTCTTGCATGTAAAGCTCCGTTTCTTCTCGCCCTTGGAATGCTTGCGGGCATCTTCGAGGTCGCGCACAAGCTGTGCAATCTCAGAGGGATTCTGCGTCGCCATGACTGCAGCTTTATCGTGTATTTTGCTCGTGTGAGAAGGAGTCGAAGTCGTTGGTAGGATGGAGGGGCAAAGGTGAGGCGGGGTGGAGGGAAAGATTCGGTAGGAGCCAAGAGCGCTGGGTAGTTTGCTGTCTTACTAGCTGGCAAACACGGAATTTAAAGACCAGAAGTCGATCGCACTGGCGTCGGAGCTGTGGAACAAGCAACTTCCAAGCTCGTAAAGAAACGACTCATTCGCGAAGAGTCACAGCCTGCGGGGAGCCAAAACGGAAAGGCGGCCCAGCCTTATCGCGCTTTTTTTCCCCGCCGGATTTCTTCGAGCTCCGCCTCTCAACTTTTTTTTTAAAGGCAAGCCTACTCGTTACTTCACCTCAGACTCTCAGCCCCCGTCGCTTCCCCCTTCCTACAATTTCAAGTGACTCATTGTGGGGCGCAACTATGGCTCAGCCCAATCCTTACCTCTTGGCCTGCGACAATCCGTCAGCATTGGTCGAGCTCCTGCGCTCCAATCCCGCGATCGCTTCTTCCCAGGACGAACATGGCTACTCTCTGCTCCATGCCGCCGCATCTTACGGCCATGTTGATCTCCTGCGCGCGCTGGTGAAGGAATTCAATGTCAATGCCAACCTCCTCGATGAAGACGGCGAGACCTGCCTGTTCGTGGCCGAGACTAGCAAGGTCGCCCGATGCCTGGTTGAGGAACTCGGTGTGGATTATAACAAGACCAACGATGATGGGTACAAGGCCCATGAGAAGATGGAGGCCGATGATGAATTCCCCCAGGTGGTCGCATACCTTCGAGAAGTCGCCGGTGCTCCTGCTGCAGCCTCTGCAGAGGGTCCCGAGGGCCCATTGAATGCTCCGCCGCCCGTTCCTGGTAACATGCAGGTGAACATTGGCACAATGTCGGAACAAGAAGCCAATGCTGGTGAAATGGAGGTCGATCCCGAGTTCAAACGCCGGATTGATGAGTTGGCAGCTCGTGAGGATTTCAACAGCGCTGCTACGCAAGAGGAATTGCGGACTTTGGTTATGGATGCCCTCTCCGGTTCCAGCATTGAGACTGCGGATCGTGAGACTCGGAGGAGGACGGAGTAAATTGGAGTGCATACTGGTTGGCTTTTAATTCATATACCCGCATACCATTCACTACTATATCTGGAGTGAGAAGGACCCCCCATATTCGAGGAGTCCACATCATGCTATCAGGTGTCTTCTGATAAGGTGTCTTCTGATAAGGTGTCTTCTGATAAGGTGTCTTCTGATAAGGTGTCTTCTGATAAGGTGTCTTCTGATAGCGTGTCTTCTGCAGCTCTTTCGTCAAATCCTGGTGCTCGGGAGATGATATTGAAAGTGCCGTTTCCAGTGCCTTGGCCCGTCTGGGAATCTGGGAGCGACCGCCTGACAGGTGTAGAAGCCTGTGGGTAGTCGCTAGCATTCCTGAGATTTTCATCGGTACCCGGACTTCAGTATTGGCATGAATATAATGAGACGAATGACATACAATTTATAAAATCGCGAAAAAGGGTCCAGTCCTCTATCCATCGCAACCATGTATTATTTCCTCTTATCGGGGCTTATCGCGAAGGCAGCCACTAACCCGCCAGCCCGCCAAGCTTTAAGTTAAGGTGCCCGCATCTCCAACTCCCCTCCCCCACACTTGGAACCTCCTACACTCCACCATCATGTCTCTACCAGCCCCCCCATACCCTACACAATCTTCCTTTTACTCAACACCTCCAATCATGAACCCTTCCATCAATCCCGACACGCCTCCTCCTCCACCTCCAAAGCCCAGCAGCAATGAAGCCAGCCGACGAGGCACCCCTCAGAACATGACCTCCACGCCAGCGCCGCAGCAACCACAGCCAGGCTACCGACCCGATCCCCATTCAACAATGGGCCAGCATGCACAATACCAAGCCAATGCTCCACTACAATCTCTCCCAGCACCTCCGTCAGTCGAAGAAGGCTGGCTCCCAGATATCGTAAAGGACAAATCGTAAGATCCAAACTCTCCTCGATCAACAGTTCAATCCCTCTTACCTCGTTCTCCAGAACAAGCGACCTTCAATCGATCCTCCAAAACCCAGCTCTCCTCTCCGCCCTATCAGCCCAACACCCTTCCCACACGGCCCGCCAGCAAAACCTCGAATCCCTCCTCCAAGCAAACAGAGAGCTATCAACGCACCTCCTCGAGCTACAAACGCACCTCTCCGACCTACGCAGCCAAACGGAAACTATGCTTCTCACACATCAATCGCTCGAAGTCTCCTGGCGCAAGAAGCAGACGGAGATGGACGCAGCCCTGGCGCCGTGGTCGCCCAAGGCGTTGTATCAACGGCTGAGCGCGGCGATTGCGGAGCAGGAGGCGGTTTGTCGGGCCGTGGAGGAAAGTTTCCTGGATGAGGATCATCATGGGCGGGCGACGGAGAAGGAGATTGCCGATTGGGTGAGAAGAGTTAGGGGGGAGGCGTCCAAGTTGGCGGCGAGGAAGGAGGCTAAGGCACGTTGGGATGAGGGGAGGGTTGGTGGTTGGCGGTGATTGATGATGATTTTGATTGATCTCGTAGAAGTTATAATAGACCCACCTTATCCTATTGATAGATGCAGGGCTATACCGTCTCCGAAACTAGGTATGATTGTGATTGGACAACATTGGCTTCCAATGTGGTAATAGTTAGGTGTGTGAGTTCTTGGGTAATGAATAGAACGACACCTTCCATGATCTGAAAGATACGTATTTTCTCGTCCCGACATGGAGAAAGATACGTGCTTTACACAACATCTCAATTGGATAGTCGGAACTAATGATCGTCTTTTTCATAGCTTAACTACACGCTCCTCCAGATGATAGTGGTCACGCTTGTCATATACACATCCTCTCAATATCATCACCATCCACTACTGTCCCTCGGCTTCACGTTTCTTTGCCTTCTGGCTCTTACCCAGAATCACCGTGCTCAAGTCACCGACGGGAATAGTAATAGGGAAATCCACAGCCTCAAAGATCTGAGCAATAAAAATCCACCAAATCGGTAGACATAACGCAAAATTGAAACCGCCGGCAGTCTAGTCAACCAGTCAGCAGTCATTTCAAGCATACCGATTTGGAGCTTGACATACCTTCTGTAGTGTAGCGGCATGGGCGAGATTGCCCACGGACATCTGGAAGAATGTCGCCGCGGTCAAGGCAAAGGTGATGACTAGCAGGAACAGGGCGAGGAAGAGGCAGACATTTGTGCGGATAGAACAAATCAGGTAGACGAAGGTTAGGATGGCGAGGGTGGCATAGTAGAGACCTGAATGATTGTGAGATTTCGAGCATGATGGAAACAGAAAAGGAATGGTGGACGAACCAGTGGTTGCAGCGAATTCTGGCGTCTGCATGCCCTCGAAGGAATTGCCGGTGGTTGAGTAGTTGGTTCCAACGCCGTACCAGGGGATTTGAGATGTACCCTGGACAATCCAGAAGGTTCCTGCATAGATTTTGTTAATACATTTCTTGTATGCCCCAGGAAGCTGAAGCAGGGTTCTATCTGCATACCGTATGTGAAGAATAGGGCGCTCGAGAAGGTGTTGCCGAGAATCCACTCGCCCACGGCGCCAAAGATCTGTACCATACCACCAAAGAAAATATAAACGGGTCTGTCAAAAGAAATACACGTCGTTAGAAAAAAATCATATGCACCTCCCTCATAGTGATTACTCACAAAATAGCTCCACCGTTGCCGCCCGAGTTCCCCCAGCCCATAGTCAGCATCGCCGCTGGCGTTGCGGCGAGCAAGAAGCCCAGGAGGGAGATAGGAGTCGGATTACCAAAAGTGCGACGCAAGTTACCCGCCGCGGGTGTCTTGGGGCTCAGATATAGCTTTTCAAAGGCATCGCGGGGAATTGGAAGCAATACACTCTCGGCCGTCTGGTAGCGACGCAGCATCTCGACTGTGGCAGCATCCTGCTTCTCGCCGATACTTTCGTCTGCCATATTGAGCCAAAAAAACTAATATTCAATGTAAATAATACAAGTAAAGTGAATAGTTAAAGGTGACCGGGAATGATCACCGTATTGAAATAAGAGAAAAGTAGAGAAGAAGGCTGGACTTTCCCGGGTCTTCATCATCATGATCGGGGAAACCCCGATCTTATAGTCCCAGTTCCATCCTGTACGGGTACAACCCATGAAAGAAGACACCATCTCCTCTCAACAATTCCAAATTCAATTCCCCCGTCTTTCACCGCTCAAAATTCTAACCCCAGACTCGAAAATCCAGATCGAGACCTCTGACTAGTCCAACCCCGGAATGCCTCCAAATTGGGCCCCAACGCCGAGAAAGTCAAACCGAAATCCAGATCCGATCTCAATTTTCTTGCATAACTTGCATCAAATTCATCCAAAAGGGTACAAACGGAGCCATTGAGCACTATCATTCGCTAGTGGCAACATCGTACCATCGCACCAAGCCGCGTCCAGAGGGTAAGCGGGTCCCGGATACGTTTGTTTGCGGAGATAAACTGTGGGGAGAGAGACTAGTCATCTTTTTCGCCCCCTAAGTTTCGAGGGTTCAAACAGCTAACAGGGTCCTTCCCCGCAAAGTGACCCCGGATTACCGAGGAAATGCTGACTTTTTTGGAAGATTGAATCGGCTGCATCCTAATTACCTCGGCGTTTTAAGGCTTTATGGGTGGGAGCATATAAAAGGTTGTAGGCGCCCAGACTTGTTCATGGCTTTTGTGGCGCTGGGCGAAAGTCTATTCGAAAGCTTTGCCTTGCTTACTTTGTCTGAGGGTTGCTGCAGCTGGATGATTGAAATCCGTCCGAGGATAATCATCGTATGGCATGTATAGTGTTGAAATGTAGGTATATGGATAACTGCGGATTGCTATTCCGTATTCGTTGCCGTTTCGCTCTACATCTTGGCGATACGATTGAGCGAAGGGACCGAGGTCTTATTATTAGGCCGAAGGGAGGAATCTATAGTGGCTTTCCTTAGGTCCAAGCCCTTGAAGAGACTGCAAAGAGACTACCGAACCAAATTCTCAGCCGGTGGAATTGATAATATGCTGGAAGATCTCTGCCAATTCTGTTAAATGTCGTTTCAAGGAAAGAAGCCGGATCGTATGGGTTATGTTATAGAAGTTACTTACATCATCGGAAACTGGAATATCCGGTGTAACAGACCCGCTCCGCAGCGTCACGCTCATCTAGCTCCATTGGTCCGGTGTATGACCGTTGAATCGCTAACCACAAGAGTCAGACAAAGTCCACGGAGCAACTCTGCCTCCAGTGCATGTTACATGAAGCATGCATCAAAACACAAAACCTTAGGCAACGGGGTCAGCATGCATATAACCCAGTTTCATGTCCGGGCTTAGAGCTTTAGACACCCTAAACTCCGTCGGACTTTTTTCTTCCCGGACAAACCCCCGCAAAACCAGAAAACCATAAAGCCAAGCAAATGATCAACCGCGGCACTTTTCCGCCGATAGTCGGTTGGCGCAACATCCGGACAACTCGACGATAAGCATCCCCGCGGTCAGACCCCAGTAGCCGAGCCGTGTCGTAATCGTACATATCGTGCAGTGGTCTGTACAATAAGCGAGGCTGGCGATAAGCCAGATTATCTATCTGTTGAATGCCAAGTAGAATGAGTCGTCGCTGGGGCTAACTTCATTAGGAAGGTCTCTGCGGCTCATCCCGCAGCAAAGAAATATACCCCGGAATCTATTCACTCATTTCTGCGATGAAATGCGAGCGGCTTGGTCATCTTCGGTCGAGCTCACTGATGGCTACCCCTCGTTCATTGATAAGATACACCCCTCCCATATTTGATAACGATTTCGTCGGCCGCTTGGACGAATCCAAGATAATGTCGAATCATTCGCTAACTTAGCTCGGCCGTGAATCGTGATGTCTGATTGCGATAGCTGCGTTGTTCCTTCCCTGGCTGCTATTTACGTAACTATCGGGCATGCTTGATTATCAGGCGATGGATCACTATACGAGAATCCCTCGTCTGGGCAAGGGGGTTGAATGGCAATTCTACGCCCTTTGGCCTTTTCAGTACTGTGATGATGATAAGATCACGATAGAGCCGGGATGAGACTGGGGTACGATTGACAAGAGCGATAGCAACGGACTTTCTGTACTACCTTGATATCTTCTTGTTGCGGTATAAAACGCTTCATTGCGAAGCTATGGAATATAGCCTTTACTATCAAGATTTCATTCTACACAATTTGACTTTGCCCCTTGCAGAATCTCACAATGCGAGGCTCTATTGGCCACGCTCTGGTCGGGCTTAGCATCTCGGGCCTTGGCCTGACAGCTGCCGTGCAGCGCGATGTCGAGATCGTTCGGTTCCATGATCTTGGCACTGTGACTGCCGACTCCCTGCATAATATCCATGTTGAATTTGTCGACGAGTCTTTTGAAGGACATCTGAAGCTAGTATATGGAGAGTGTGGGATGGAAAGTCCCGCACATGGCCACCACGATATTGGTAGCATGTTGATCAAGCGGGAGGCAAAGCCCGAGCGATTTGTCTGGATCACCCCTGGAGATGCCCCTCATGCGTACTGTCTTCATGCTTTCTCTGGATCGACCCTACTCGGTCGTTCTTCACCGATCAGCGTCGCTGCACCCATCGCCAAGCGCGAGAGTATCGCTGATGTGGCCGATGCAATGGGCCCCTGGTTCGACGGTGTCGCCTACATGAAGTCCAAGAAGAATACTAAGACTTTTGTCTCAAAGGCAAAGAACACCTCGGTCGCCATTCTCGGCGGAGGCATGTCTGGCCTCATGACGAGCCACCTGCTCGAGTCAGTTGGCATCCACAACTGGCACATCTTCGAGTCATCAGAGCGAGTTGGTGGGCGTATTCGCACCAAGTATCTTAACAACACGCGCCCAGATCAATACCAATATCAGGAAATGGGACCCATGCGCTTTCCCGTCAGCATCACTTACGCAGACACCAACGAGACTCTCGAGATCATGGATCACCGTATGGTCTTCCAGTTGGCTGGCGTGCTCAACGAGATGAATGCCGATAGACCAGATCTCCAAGTCAATTTCATCCCCTGGGTACAATCGAGTCCCAACGTCCCCGCTTCAACGGGCGGCAACCGCCTACCAAACGGCCTTATTCCAACAGCAGCAGAAGTCGCTGCGAACTCCTCGCTTGTGTATACCGCCGCATCATCCAATGACACGGCCATGGCTGAGGCCGAGGCCGCGTATGCGAACTATACTACACTAGATGACCGAGCCACCATCCGGGCAATTGCAACTAATATGTACAAGGCCCACAAAAAGGCCGTGGAAGATGGCATGTTCCACTGGTCTGAAGCCGGATATCTGCGCTATGCTCTGGGTTACAACGCAAACATCACCGATTACGTTGCTGGCACCACCGACTCCCCCATCTGGGGCGACTTTTACGACGACGTCTACTTTTCTGCAACCAAATGGCGTACCATCGACAAAGGTCTTGAATCCCTCCCTCGTGCTTTCTACCCCCACGTCGCAGACAAGGTTACTTTCAACCGCACCATCCAGGGTCTCATTTACAATGAAACAACCGAGAAGATCTCCGTCGCATGGAGAGATGACCCGCTTGCCATGACCCCCGAGACTGCGGAGTTCGATTATGCAGTCGTTGCAGCACCATTCAGCAAGGTCCGACTTTGGGATCTACCTCGATACTCTTCGCTGTTAAGTCGTGCCATCTCTTCGCTCAACTATGACCCCGCGTGTAAGATGGCCCTGCTGTACAAGACGCGATTTTGGGAGCATATGGAGAACCCCATCTTTGGTGGCTGCGGCTCCGTCGATGTATCCGGCGTGGGCAGCGTTTGCTATCCATCATACAACATGAATGGCACAGGGCCAGGTGTCATTCTCGCTTCGTACATCTCCGGCACAGCAGCACGCTCCGCGGCAGCTCTAAATCCCGAGGAGCACGTCGCGCTTATCCAGCGCACCATGGTGGAAGTGCATGGTGATATCGCCGCTGAGCAGTTCACTGGTATCTACGATCGACAGTGCTGGGAGTTTGACCGTCACCAGGCCGGTGCCTGGGCAGATCCACTGGTCGGCCAGCAGGAGTTGTATCTGCCAGCATACTATCAGACTGAGTTTAAGACGATTTTCATCGGTGAGCATACTAGTTACACGCATGCTTGGATCTTTTCGGCCCTTGACTCTGCTGTCCGAGGAACCACTCAGCTACTGTTGGATCTGGGCCTTGTTGATGAGGCCAAGTCTATCGTCGAGACTTGGATGGGTAGGTGGATCAAGTTGTAAATGACATTTGGCATGGACCTTGTAGTTATTGTTACTCGCATGACAAACTAGACCGAGTTATGGGAGCTCTTGGTTCTGTCTCTACTTTTCTCTCTATCATAGTCCCACCCAGACAGATCAAGATAAGAAAAACAACGGAAAGTTCCATCTTGAGGTTGTGAGGTTATTATATCTTCCAATGATATCTCACTCCCCATCCAATGAGAGGCAAAAGGTAAATAAGGAAAAATATCAGGATAGTTATGCTCAAAAGCATCAAAGAGAAGTAATAGAGACCCATTAAACCCCGCCGCCTATACTCCCCTTACCTATGATATCAGCCTATCCGGTGAAATTTGCGCATGTGCTGCACAAGAGTATCTGCGCGATTGTAAATCCTGCCGCAGTCATCCATGGGGCAGGAATGAGCCCCAGGGGTAATACGTATCTTCCGGAGATGACGAATGAGGCAGGCCTCCCGGCTGAAGGAACCAGGATATGTGCAACCTTCCCACCGGCAGTGCTAGATCCTATTGATGGCTATGGCGCTCTCGGGAGGGCTACATAAGCTGCTGGTTAGCTTTCTGTCGCAAGATCAAGGCTCGAGACTAATACAGAGTCGTCGAAGTACTGTACGACTACATAGCAGTTGACTGGGACTGGACTTACTTGGGGATTTGGTATGGCCTACCAGTCTCAGTATAAGCTTGGTACTTGTTCCTCACTTGGATAGTGGCCGGAAAACTGGGGTGGTTAGACTCCTGAGGACGAGGTTCGAAAATCGGGTGAGGAGTACGAGGCTGTGATGGAAGAAAAGTAGCTAGGCAAAGAAGTGTGGACGGCTTTATGGGGAACTTAGACGCACACTCTCAACGAGGATGTGAAGTACAGCTGGATGAACACATGATGGCATGGCACCGTAATCCCTGTCTTGGGAATGTAGCTCCATAGGGCCCATTGCATTCACCGAGCCTCCCACACCCTCCAGTGTCTCGGTAGTGAATCCTGAACATGCTTGGTCGACCGTACAGAAGACTGGTCGGTTTTCCAGTCCAATAGATGCACTCCAAATCGAATTCGGGGCCGGAGCTGGAGGATTATTTGGAAGGATGTCGATAGTGCCGTGAAAAAATTGGTCTCTATTTGTTGCCATGATAGGTAAGCTCCAAGACAGGAAGGGTTTGGGTCAAAGAGAAGGATATAGAGAAGACCAAGGGCAAATTGTTATGCAATGTGGCTACTCTGGCCCAGCGAGACAAGCCCCTTTTTATAATGTTAGAGTGTATTATTACAATTTACATCAGGGGCATTCGAGTAAGGTGATATTTTGAAGACTGGGCGACAATGATGATGCATTTGGGGACGGGGAGGGGCGACAGGGCATTACGGCGCAAGTGGCTCAGGGGGAGCGCAGTAGATTGGCGCGGCACCACTCCTCGTCGCGCCCCCTCCGCGCCGGCGATCGGGGGCTCCACCGCCAGGGCGGAGCCTCAGACCCGAGCTACCAATGTTACTGGTTTCTCACAGTGTGGGTCACCCCATTTCTCCCATTTCCCCCATTTCCTGGGCTGAGTGTATGCTTACAAGGACGCTCCAAAACTCAGACCTAGCCCCATCAGCGGGGCCGCAAAGATCTGTCGAAGCCGAGGGAACTCCGCCCTGACACGCTAGGCTGCTCTGATTCGATACACACCTGGACCTTCGAGACTAGCTGGGATTGAGCGGACGGAGACCTGTCATTTTAATTCGGTGTAGACGGTGAGACGCTTGCTTTGTTGTCTTCAAATTTCCTGTCCTATTGTTTTTCTACCCCTTGCTAAGATGAACAAACTTGGCGCATCAACTTGTCCCCCGACCTTTGCCATCTGTCTTGTCTAGAACGCCTGCCCTTTTTCCCCCATGCTTTCTGCGAGTGCTTCGAGAGGCGAACTATATTTCTTCAATTTTGTATGGGATTCGATATGAAACTGGAAAGGAATCGTTCGTGGCGTTGTCTTGATCTCGTATTGACCTGCTTCACATCCGTGGTCGCGGCGCCTACGATACAACTGGCGCTCAGAAGCCTCGGGCGCCCACCACAACCTACAAACTAAACCAACCTTTCAGCGATAGTAACCTACACCCTATTAGCCAGCGCGATGGTCCCCCATTCAAGTCGTTCATCATCCTGATCCGTCTTCCATGCGTGTTCTCGTCTCTCCGCGTACGTAGCCGGACCCCTGGGCGTCGGGCCGCCCATCCAAAATCATCCTCGTCTGGTTGTAGGGAGGAAAATGCTTTTGGAAAAGTCGAAGACAGATTGAGAAGAGCAAAAGCTATCCGAGCCTACTTACTGAGCCACCAGCTGGACCCTCGTCTCTCTGTTTTACGGCTTATCTCATCCGTGTGTGGGTGGTAGTTATAGATAGTCCTGGAGGGGGCTTTGAGAACATGAAAATGAAGCCAAATGCGAAATATATAGCAACAAACTATCCTCTATAGGTCTTGTGGGCCTGATAGGATAAAGGTAGAAAAGAGAAAGGTTAAGTGGATCCAGACTTGGGATCGTCTCGGAGGTGAATAGTTTCGGGAAGCGCTTCTCGAACTGACTGAATGAAACAGCTATATCTGTTATCGTTTCCTCCCTATCCCAGCGCGTAATAATTAATCAAGAAGGTTCCTAGGCTAGCAGTCAATTCAAAGGCATTCATGATCGTACCCGCATTAGGATACAGAGGCTTATTTATCGCGAAGTTCGCAAACGATACGAGTGCATTAAGATGTTGATATTCTAGCCCACATCCTTCCATTTTCTACCAAAGAAGGATTCTGTGGCTTTTCCCTTAGTTTCCACGAAAAGAAAAAAGAAAATATTCATAATATCACCAGCCGAAATGTTCCGAGAGGGCTAAACCAAAAATTGAAGAAAGTGACCCCTTGGGGGTCGCTTTTCTCCCTTTCGGTGGATGCGGGGAAACATGATCGAAGAACACACTACCTGCAGACTCCCGACACTGTCCTTAATTGAAAGCCTGGTAACGTGCGAACTAGGTGGTATGCTAACATCCCTTTGGCGGACATATCTTTGGCTTGATTATTTTCTTCTCGTACTAGGGTATAGCCTTTGTGGTTGGAATTAGGAACTCGTCCCCCCTAAGTCAAACGTTGTGCGCCACTTATATCGGTCCTGGGCATGCTAGAACATAGCGTTCTAGCTTGTTTGGTCATTCTAGCCTCTTCGGCTGATAGTTCCGGGCACGTGCCGTTACAATACTCAAAACCAAGCCTATAAGATTGTGTCGTGGAAAAGAGGAGAGTGACTAGTCAGAGGTTTCGCGATTTTCGCCGTAGGGGGGTCCTAAGGGTGCACCCCACTCATAGGATTCGCCAATCTCCGCATTATACCAGAGCGCACGATCTTTGATGTAACAAGGGTCAAGGTTCGCAAGTTCCGCTGCATGTTCGGATTTCTCGCGACAGTAACGGATTGTCCGTCCACACTCATCGTACCACACCACGAGGACGGTGCCTGCATCGGTGCCTTCGGAGGCTAAAGTTTTTTCGTCAACGATATAGATTTGCCCCACGGCTAATCGGAAGAGGTACTCGGCATAAAAGCATATCCAAGGGTTTTCATCCTCCACTGGGTCATAGCCGCCTTCCTCAGCACGCTGGACATCAGTGGCCTCATCATCAAGTCCTTCTTCCAGGGCCTCTCTAACATACTCTTCGTATTCTTCGAACAAACAAGAATTATCGAGCAGCTGTGGGGCACGAAGGAAAATCTTCTCCCAGCTGGAACCGAAGTTATACAAGGATGAGTCGTTGTAAATTGTGACTGGGCCGATGACCTTGGTATCAATGTATTCTTGAATTTGAGCCCATGCGTTTTCTGAGGAAGGGTCATAGCAGGTGCGGAGCCAACATGGATCTTCATACTTCCCACGTTCAGTAGGAAGGCGGATACGATCCAATAGCTCTTGACTATGCGAAGGAAGCTTTTGTGCTTTCCTATCCTCTAGCCTACGCTGCTGCTCTCGATACGGCTATTCCGATAGGTCAGTTTTGTGGTTGGAGTAAAAGAGGGGCCAAAATCAAATTACCTCGCGTCCACGGACCCCGAGTGCCAGATATTTAGCGAAAATTTCCTCGCGTTGAGCATCATCAGAAAGCGGCAAATTTTCTTGCCAATGCTCCTAAAGTATTGTTAAAACACACATGTAAGTGCTTAGTGAATGAAACATTGAATTACCAGAAGGAACAAATCAGCCTGCCAGGCTAGAAAGTTGGACATTTTGCAGAATAATACCAAGGGAGATGGTAGGAGTGAGAGCTATTCGAGGTTGTCCTCGGTACTTAAGGTAGGTTGGTTTTTTCTTGGCAAGGGCTTGTCTGAACTTAGCAAGTGATAGGAAGTGGAGAATGTCTTAGAATCCCTAGCAGAAAAACGTGCAAGCGAAGCGAAGTTTAAAATAGAACTGGGAAATTTAGAATTTGGGGAAGGAGAGAAGAATGAATTTTGAGAAGAAGAAAGGAACTGAGGATGGAGCTAAACCCGTAGATTCGAGTATTCTGCGTACTTTAAACGAGCTTTTTGATGCCGAGGTTTTGATTTTCGTGTAAGAAATCTCGAGAGAATTCACTAGGTAGAAAAAGGACAAAAAAGTGAAAGTGGGGTCAAGGTCGCTCGTATTACTGCCAAGCAAGAAAAGAAAGGTCCGATTCGGTGCATTCAACGAAGAGAAGTCTAGAGGAGAAAAGGTGAGAAGCTTCTATCTGCCGTGTCGGAATACTTCTGTTGTAGGTAAATGGAACCTTCCATAAAATATCAATTGACTGGTACATTATTCAACGCTTTCTAGTCTGATCTGCATAATAAAACGAGCGTATATGTGCATCAACCGCACCACAGTATCGATATAGATCGACAACAAAAGGATAAGCAAATCAACAGACAGATCCAAAGATATTCTTCCAACACAACTTCGATATGTCCCCGGAGGCACTGAAAACACGGCAGTGGCGTGTTAATAGCGAGAGCGGTTTATTATCAAGCCAAGAACTGCATTTCTTCTTTCGAATCGCCAACTTAAACAGACAAATCAGCGGAGGCGTTCGCTGAGGCATTAGCAGAGGCATTAGCAGGGGCATCAGCAGAGGCATTCGCATCCGCGGACGCATTTGCACTCGCACTAGCGGCAGCCGAAGCTTCAGCTTGAGCTGAGGCCTCAGCCTGAGCAGATGCCGAGCCACTGACTGAGCCGGTAGCACCAGGGAAAGAAATACTGATGCTAGTACTCCATATTTCCGGTGCAGTGCCAGTACCTGAACCAGTGGTGCTGCCTATGCCCCAGATGCTTGTACCAGTCTCACCATTTCCGGAACCGCTAACACCAACGGTGCTAGAGCCAGAAATCCCAGAGCCAGTAGAGCCCGAAGAGGAATCACCGGCCCCCGTCGAATCAGAGGTCGATGGGCTGCTGGAAGAACTCGCACCAGAAGAATCAGTGCCCGATCCAGTACCCGAAGCACCGAGACCACCTGAAGTAGTGCCGCTAGCACCACCAGAGAGCCCGGCGGAGGCACCGAGGCCACCTGAAGCAGTTCCTAAACCAGAAGCTCCTAGAGAACCGGTACCCGATGCACCGAGACCCCCGGAGGTAGTACCGCTAGCACCACCAGACAAACCTCCCGATGCAGTGCCTGAACCAGAAGCTCCCAGAGAACCGGTACCCGATGCACCGAGACCCCCGGAGGTAGTACCGCTAGCACCACCAGACAAACCTCCCGATGCAGTGCCTGAACCAGAAGCTCCCAGAGAACCGGTACCCGATGCACCGAGACCCCCGGAGGTAGTACCGCTAGCACCTATTCCCGAAGATCCACTGCCGAGGCCAAGTCCACTAAGACCACCGCTTAGGCCACCACTAGCAAATCCAGAGCCTGAGCCGGAAGCAGATCCCTCTCCTGAGGTAGAAGCCTCACCAGACGAGTCGGCCGACCCACTTGCAGATGCACTACCTCCACCGAAGATGGAAGCGAGACCACTGAGGAGACCACTGCCTGAAGATTCGGCGCTCCCCGAGCCGCTGCCCTCACCAGAGGATATTCCATCAAGGAATAAGCAGGGCTTGCGGGCCTCAATGGTCTTGTTGACGGGTATCGCGAGGGCTGTGCCCGCGAGCATAAGAATAACAGTATTCTTCATGGTGATTGAAAGATTGAATCGGCAAAAAGAGTGAGAGTCAAATCGAAAAATTATAAAGAAGGTAGAAGTAATGAGACGAAAGAATTGCAAGATTGCGAAGTTGAGCCAGTCAACTGAAGCGAAAGATGGTTGGTGATGATGAAGACAACTGACCGTGCGAAGATGACCATCTTTATAGTTTCCTCGAAGTTCCCGACTTGACGTGATGAGTCCGCGATGGATATTGAATTCCAGTCCGTGGTTAGAACTCGACAACCTAATTTTGCGTCGTGCTAGTTTAGTGAAACGCATGTTCCCGTGTCTCATGTGAGTCTGTTTCAAGGAACAGTGGTTGACATTTTCCTATTGGGCTGATTATTACGTACCTGAGGATTCCGCAATGGGCTCATGCTTGGTCAAGATAATATTTTCATCAAAAATATGATTGCCATCGTACAGATCATCTTAATGCCCTCGAAAAACAGCTAAAATTGATAGTATAAATCTGCAAGTACCACATCCAGAGGAACATATAGTTAAACACGACTAAGCACTATTTTCCCTTGAGCTAACTTGAACCATTGGACCCACTTACCATGTATGCATGGAGCCAGTCGGTTTCGAGACTAATTATAACTTCAGCTGGGGAAGGCTAGCCGGGGAGATCAACCGAAAAATGCGGCTTTTTGCCATATTCAGATGCTTGGCCGAGTGGGGCCAGGGGATTGTTCACCTAATGCCCGAGCATCCCGAACACCGAACCGTTCGTCGTAACCTTAGTTTCTGTGGGAGAGGCTTACTTTGAAATGTTTAGATTAAGGGGAAGGGGTTCTTCCGTAGATCCCTCATCGATCGTCTGTTGATCCGGTATTAGTCTTATCCCTCCACGGCAGCTGCAACAACAAGGATATAGATTTATGCTCCGAATTGAGAAACGTACATTTGGGTTTCGCGAACTTTGTTGCTTTATCACGGGCTAGGGTTTTGGCCTGGAGATACAGAAAATGATGTGATTTGAAAAGTTATTGGCTAAGGTCCACTCCTACAAGATCAAGTTATTGCACCATCTTAGGATTCCTTTTTAGACAACGAACGCTGGACGTAGATCCCATATGGTGAAAATTTGTGATTTCGCGGAACAGAAATAGCTGTGATCGACATCTAAGAGTGTAGCAGAACATGTTCGAGTCATGTTGTTCAGAGCTTCAGATGGGTACCCCGGAATTTTCGCAATCACTGTAGTTCGTTTCAGATTTAGGGTGTTTGTTAAGACAATCTCTAACGCCACACATTCCCCCCAGTACCCACATCGGGAACCATCCGAAGTTTTGAACTCTTCAACGCTACTATATATATGTATATTGGTTAATTATAGATCACTGAATGTAGCAAGCCAAGGAGGGGTATACTTGTAGCCGAGTTAGAGATTGTCTAACTTTGCTGGTGCTTTTGTGAGAACTAGTAGTATAATGAGTAAAGAGACTTCTCCCTTTATTGGGTTCAGGCCATGTTCATGCGCAGCCTCCTAATTAATAAGATTTTGAATGCTCCCCTGTCGATGAGAGCTGGTTCAATGCGGAATTCGATAATTCGATTAATGCATTGGATTCGGTATAAGGGAAGGGTATCAGACATCTGGAATGTCAACGATGGCAGATTTCTTCCCAGATTTTAGTAGGACCTGATCATTTGAGTGAATTCTCAGGTTCAATGAGAACAGCTTGTGGTTCACTTTATTTATTATCCTTAAGAACATTTATTCCTCGAATTGAAGTGACCATACTTTAGGTGGACGGCTGATGAGACCATCCTGTTAGTAACTCGAAACTTACTGGAACCCATCCACGGCTGGTAAAGAATCCCACTGTTGAGTTACCAAGCACAGAAAATCGAGTGTACTGAATATCCTGGCTAATGTGCTAGCATGAGATTGAATTCGCCCAGTGAAGCAGAAGAGAAAGAATACAAATGCGCAGGAATTGGTTTATTTACGTGAGGAAGCTAGTTAGAAGCATCTCTGTGTGATTATACTCAAATCTGTAAAAGGTGTACAGACTAACGCAACCAAAAGATTATTTCTTCGGATGATGACGAGAGCTAACACTTTTTTCCTTTGAAGTCTGAAAGATTCAAGATGGTTATAACTAGATTTCTATACTTCGCCTTAAGGGTAGTTACCGTATAAATCACTTAATTTCCATTTTTACTATCATCTGGGGCACTACTAAACTTGGGATGGAAGGATATGAAAACCTTGGACTACTCTAATCTTCTTTATTGTCAATCCAATCTTTATATTCTCAGCCATTTTTCAAGTTACGAATTACGGACATTGTTCAACTATCCATTATTACCACTTTATATGGAAGCCTAGGTAACTTAACGAAAGCTCATGTTATCTAGCTTTACTCTTCAGAACTGGTCAGAGCACGTCTCTTTTCTTTTGCTACTTTTTTGTCTTCTTGGCTTATATGATTGAGAATATTCACCCAAGATGGTAGTGAGTCTCTAGGGCAAGATAATTTTTCGAACTCTTCGAATCACGCATGTAGTAATATATATCTGTGGCCCAGTTGAATGCCTCACCGCACCTCCGGGCTTAATTAGAAAGAGGAGCGACCAAAGCAAGAATAAGAGGAATCATAAGCCATGCAGCGCTTAGCGATCACCTATATATTTATCCTACTACCAATTATTAAGAGTACACAATACTATGGTCCCATCCTCAGATCGGTGTGTTTGAGAGCGATGACGTCATATCAGATACCACGGCCATACCTTAACTCGATCTGTCGCTCTCAACCCCTTCCAAGAGCACCAACCAATACTCAATATGACAGCGGCTGCGCATGGATTTGCGCTAGTCACACCAGCTTCTCGTGGGATAGGCTTCGCTTTTGCTCAGCAACTACTCTCACAAACCAACCTCCCTGTCGTGGCTACGGCGCGGAAGAACTGCGATGAAGTCCGCGGCAAACTACTATCTTGTCAGGGGGTACCTGCAGATGCAGAAAAAAGATTGCACATATTAGAAGTTGACGTCAAAGGTAAGCCAGCTTAGCTTCCTCGAATTCCTTCGTTGCTATGTTCCTTATCACAAAACGATGGACCTAACATACCCCAAAAGATGAATCCACAATATCATCCATGGCAGATACAATCCGCCAAGAACTGCCAAAGACACCCCTTCGCCTAGCTCTAACAGTCCCTGGCATTTTGCATGTCGAAAAATCCCCATCTCAAATCGACGCTGCCAATGCACTGGACAGTTTCAAAGTGAATGCCCTAGGCCCACTCCTTCTGATGAAACATCTCTCCCCCTTCCTCCCAAACAAATCCGCACCCGCGTTCCCAGTCTCAGAAGGGCAGCTCCAGCTACCATCCCACGCCATCTATGCCATGATGGCCGCACGTGTGGGATCAATCTCTGACAATGCGTCCGGGGGGTGGTACTCGTATCGTGGGAGTAAAGCCTCCGTTTACCAGATTGCCAAGACGTTTGATTTGTATTTACGGGGGCGCTGTGCTGACAGAGCTATCGCGGTTGCGTTGCATCCTGGGACTGTTAAGACGGATTTTACAAAGGAATTTTGGAAGGGGAGGGATTTATTGGAGCCGTTGGATGCGGCAGATAGACTTTTGAGGGTTATCGCGGGACTACGGCCAGATGTTGACGGTGGGAGGGGGAGGTGTTGGGATTGGAAGGGGAAAGAGGTTACCCCATAAGATGAATGGAGTGTGTTATACTAGACAGAATGTATGGAGGATATACAACTTAGGGCACTGTCGTTGAAGCGGAGGGGCTGGTCATGTCACCATATGGGATGCTGCGGGGAAATCAAAGCCATAATTCATTGGCACTTGCTGGGGTTTTTTGATTGATTGGTAGTGATATGAAAAACAGCAGACAAAGCCATTTAGTTGTCAGTATCGAGAGCTGGTCCAGTCGATACGCTGATTATGGAGCTGTGGTCCTCCGCTTGATTACTGGACGTCCGCTAACGGTCTGTACAGTGAGAAAATTCGAATAAACAAAGTTGAAAATGCCTTGGGATCTATCCCTGGAAAGACCTTCCAGGGGTGCTCAACCCACTGCAGGAACAGAATAAATTGTGTGTTTCTGGCACCTCGAATTAGAAGACCAGTGCCACTCTTCTTCCCCCAAGTTGTCGAAAAATTCACGATGGGGGGCTTCTCAACCAGTAAGACATCTCGCTCAGAGATGATCAGATTGACTACCTCTCCCCTTCAAGTGCACAATATGGTTGTGAGTTGCTTCCTATATCTCTCTTCAAGTGGCTGGACCGCAGAAAACAGCACCAGGGGCGTATTGGGCCCAATCCCGCCTTACCAGAAACTGATATGGGTGTCATAGCGGCAAATTAAAGCGGCTGTGTCGCCCTGAACAGATATTTTTCTGCGGTGGAATATTGCACGAAACATGTAACCATTGTCGGCTGGTCAAACTTGCAACCGGCCCCTGTTTCAATATCCACCTCGATGTCGTTCTCTGGGTATCCGCGACAAGAATCATGATATTCATCTGATCAGCGATCAATGTACCTGATGCCCCAATGTTTACTGTCAGTGAGGGCCTATTAAACATGATGATTTCTGGCTCACCCTTTCGGAAAGTGATAGGGTCGGACACATTGTTTCTATACCAAGAATTAGGGACGTTTATAGATCCTTCTTTCGAACTTCTACCATTGGTCTTCTTTAGCTCGTAGTCAAATGACCCCTTCAAATACAAATGAAACTTTCTTACTACCCTAGCCCATACTCGCTTTTTATAGAGGGGTTATAGTTAAATATATTTGAGGCTCCTAGTTCCTACGAATGTGAATACAATTGTATGCCAGTTGTTTTCTGCCGGTCTGACCGGGTATGCATGCATGGTCCACGTGACGTATCTACAATTTTCAAGAACAAAACATGAAAAACCAGATAACCGCAGGAAATGAAATTCAATTGTCCTAGTTCTTCCATTTGGATCGAAAATTCCATCAGGAATCAAACTCTTTTGGAGTGTAATTGCTGTTAACAGGGGCGCCACTTTTACATCGAACCGCTACATACCCATTTAGACACCGCCCGAGGTGGAAATTCTGCTGCCTTCCACATTATTTCCCCCTCCCCGTTATCTTATCGTCTTACTCTTGCTACTGTCCCAGTATCGTCATCTCGCTCCATTATGGGGCATCCTCGTTGACTGTTGGACAATTCCAGCTTCCCGGCAATCTCTACCCACCGGCTAGCTATATCTGTGTCTTCTCTTGATCGACGATCTACGGAAAAGGGCCCTCTGCCCCTATTGCGCAATGGATCAAGAGGAGGCTCCACCGCCTTACTCGGCCGTCGATCCGTTGCTTGCGCCTACAAACAATCGCAACGCCAGTTCTTCGGCCCCTTTGCGTGGGAATGTTTCACCTTCACAGGATGCTGTTAGCTCGAGCGCTAATCAACCTAGTGCGCCCTCGCGTCCAGCTATCGTGCCCACCCACTTTACATCAGCGGTGACCTACTTTGAGGAACGACCGGCAACGACCTTGGACGAAAGTCGTGATCTTCTTTATCACCATATGACTATATACCCCCGCAGCTCAGCAAAAGACTTTCCTCGCAGGCCCCGGTGCTGGACCTCACGCGTGGACGATATCGCCCAGCAGGACTGGGACACTTTCTTGAGATATTTGTTTCCCCCACAATTAGGCTTGGCTGCTGCCTCGCAGCACCTGCCCCGGCAGCTGCGCGCTGAGATCCAGCGAGATCGCAAAGATCGACCACAGGAGACAGATGAGCAGCGGCAAGCCCGGATCGCAGCGGTGGTGGACGAATGGAATCAATGCTTTTTTGAGCCACGCGCAGCTCGCATTGACTTTGTATATGTTGGCGAATCCGATGCAGCGCCTTCGTCCGCTCTTTGTCCTCGGTGCTACCCCGCTGCGACTAGGGCAACACAGAGCCCTGGTGTTGCCGGGACTTTGGAGGGCCAGCATGCGACAAATCCAAATGCGCCGTCGCCCGTGCCGGGACAGCATGCACCGTCGCCGACTGGCTGGCCCGTCCCTCCAAATCAACACTATCCTTACCCCCCGTTGCCGGGTCATTATGGACCATTTGGAGCGTTTCCTCCATTCCCGGTACCTGGTGCACCTCCCAATCATCAACCCCCTCAATACTATCCTCATCCACCACCGCCGCCCCCGGGTGTTCCCCCATGGCAATGGAATAACTGGGCTTATAGCCAGCCGCAATTCGGCAACTCTGGCACGCAGAAGACCGGCGGTACCCTCGGATGGATCTCTTCGTTGACATCCCAGGCGCAGAAATACGGCGAGCGTTTTGCCGAACAAGCACAGCATTACGGCGACCAAATAAGTTCACATGCTATGAATTATGGTCGACAGGTCGAAGAACAAGCGCTGGCGCATGGACGATGGATTGAGGAGCAGGCACGACTACATGGACGCAAGCAGGGTGCACAGCCATCTGCCCCATACAATTACCAGCGACCTTTATGGAACTCGGGCCAGACCGCAGATACAACGCAAAGCACGCCGACAACTCTCAACAACCCAAGTCCTCCAGCCCGACTCGAGGGCGGAGATCAATCTTCCAACCAAACACCCAATCAGGCGAACCAAGATGCGAACTTGAACCACAACCGCGACCAGTCCGATGGTCAAACCAAGGCCGACAGCAAAGATCCCATTATTGATCGCTCTTGTCGTGCCTCCATCAGCTCTATCTCCTCCGAATCCTCACTCAGCTCCATCGATTCTCTCTCCACAACTTCCGATCTCAGCCCTTCAGATCTAACAACTGTCCGCACGCAGCTACAAAACCTACATGATAGGCACGATCGCACACTATACGATGCAGCCGTCGACCTCCGTCGGCAGTTAGATCTTCTCCAAGAATCCCGCCGCGAGGCACGGGCATCTGGGCGTCAAAATTGGCGCGATGGCTGGCGCCGGCAGGAGCCCAATAACGCAGACAGCAGTGATTGGGGCCGCTGGGAATCACCCGAGCAACAGGAACGCCAGTCCAACGAGCGCCGCGCCATGAAAGAAGAGATGCGAGCCACCAGGAAAGCATTCCGAGACATTGTGCGCCGCGCGCGTGACGAACAGCGAGATAGGAAGAAAGCGAAAAGGAACCGCCGGCGCCAGGTGCTTGCCAACGCAGAAAACAAAGCCAAAGACAAGGCCTCGATGGAAGCACGCATGGGCAATATGGCCCTCGGAGATGACCCGAATTCACGTCCAATTCGTGTTCAGACTGAACCTGTACCCTCTCAGCCCCCTCAACGAAATGCATATGCGAGACCCGATGCGAATTCGGATCTCAGTGCGCAGAGCGCAGTCAATACGGCATCCTCTGCGTCCCAATCCAGTGTGAACGAGGTCCCAACCGAGACTGCGGGTAGGAAGGCCAGGCCGCAGGGTCGGTTTAAAGAGATGCTGAAGCCACGGAGTGCGAAGAAGCAGCAGAAGCCTAGCTCTGATTCGAAAGATGGGAAGGATTCGAAGAACGAACCCGGCGCCTGAGGCTTTGGGAGTATACCCGTTCAGTTCCACTTTTTGTATGTGGATATATCAAGCTTTCGGCGCATACCACCTTATTGCGAGAGTGTGCATCTCTTTGAACGACCCAAGGTCAATGAATTTACGAGTTTACGGCAGATAGACTGGTATAATCTTCACATTGCACGTTCATCATCATGTACACACCCATTTTTGTGATTTCATAGATCAATATTGGAGGACATTGATACTCTCTCTCTCTTCGCGGGTCACACCCACAAGCTTCCAAACAAGGAAATTGATCACCCATTCAGACAAGACAATAGACCCTAAGATCATGACTGCTGACTCTCATTTCTCTCCACCAAATCACCAACACCCAACCCACGACCAACCTTAACCTTCACCAACTTCTCACCGTCCTTGCCATCCTCCTTCTTGCCCAATTCGCCAACCTCATCGCCCTCGTCGGCATTCTCATCATCATCCTTCGAATTGGCCTTTTCGTTCTCCCGGTCCCGCTTCTCAATCGCCTTCCAGTCCAGCCACTGCTTCTGCAGGTCCAGGCGCATGGCGTAGGCATCCTCACCGTCGGCGTAGTACTTGCTCTCGATCTTTTCGACCTCGAAGCCAAGAGTATCCCGGTACAGGCGGAGGGCGGCGGTGTTGGACATGCGCACGTGCAGGGAGACGTAGTTGGCGCGGTGGGATTCGGCCATTGCGCGCTCTATTTCACAGAATCAGCAATCCAACATCCATCTAAACTGTAAACTCCACTCCTTGCTGTCAAGCGGACAATCGCAAATGCAATCGCAACACCGAATATGACAGGAGAGGCGAAGGATAAAAGAGAGAGGAAAAAAAAAAACACTCACGACTCATCCGCATCAACCGCTCCGCAATTCCCAACCTCCGATGCGTCCGCATCACACTCAAACTCGTAATATGACCATGCTGCAGTCCATCCGCCGGCTCCTCCTCCATCTTCGCCAGAACATACCCCACCACCTTCGGATACTCGCCGGAGATATCACCCGCCATGCCGGGCCCGGAACCACCGCTCTTATAACCATTCTTGGGCCGGACGACGGCAACGAAGCTCAGTTGGGGCCATGTCAGGGCGTGGTAGAGGTAGTATTTCAGAAAGTAGTTTTCGGGGAGGTTGGTGATGTTGCAGGTTTGGATGGAGGGGAGGAGGTCGATGTAGGAGGGGTAGGAGGAGAGGGGGACGATGTCGACCATTTTGGTTTGGGTGGTGGAGGTGCGCGCGCCTCCGAGGTTGGGTTCGGTTGGTGTTTGAGAGGGGGCGGGGGATTGGATGCTTGAATTGAGGAAGTCCTTAGAGGCTATTCTAATTTGGTTTCGGTGTTGCGATGGCCCGCGGGATATCTGGTCATGTGATTGGAGTGGGGCTGGGCCTGGCGGTTGTATAGAGCTGGGCATACTGCTTACTTCGGTTGATCTATCAGTACTTTAAATGGCGAGGTTGACTGCTTTTTTACATTATTCGATGGAATCAAGCACAAGCATGTTTCTGAGCAAGCACCACCGAATGTAGCTGCTTCAAAATGTATGATTGCCGATTGGTCCATATAAACTATGTTTAATGAAGATAGGACTAACATTGGCACATGATTTCAACACTTTCACGATCGTTTGAAGAGTCTGGGAACCAAAAATAGAGACATTAGAAGGCTTGTCGAAGGTGATTCAATCCAAGCATGTATATACACGAAGCGTGGCGTTGTTAGGACTAGCTTATCGGCTTTGAGGAGAACTGTGTTCTGTCATATCGAAAGCTTGTATGGAAATAATGACTGAGTACGAATCCTAGGGAATGTTCAATCCAACATTGCATTCAACAAAACCAGTCATTGGATTCGACTTTTGAGGGTAGCTCATCTTGGGTGCCTATCCCTTCTCAAGCCACCCCGAGTAACCAATCTTGTACTACAGACGTAGCTTTTGTACGTTGCTCGTTGTACAGAAAGCTAAACATGATCTTTCGTAGTAACCCTAGGGGAGTAGCACAATGAACCCTCGAAGCCAATGGATGATTCAGGAATATGAGACGATGGCTTAGAGTATGATCACACTGATCTGATTGAAGTCTAAGTACAGAGAGGTCTTGGGGTGCACGGAGAGGTTGGGTAATTTGTATGAGAGAATTTTTTCTATGTACAGATCATGATCTTTGTACCTACATGTGTATCTAAGATGGAGTCATGAGAATAGAACAGTCGCAAAAAAGGGCCAGCACGCTGCAAAGCTCTTGTATCAAAACGGAAAAAAGAAAGGGGAACCAGGCACATCCAACCGAAATGAGACTAGATCCACCGACATGTGACAAATAACCAATAGTAAATGGCAGACTCGACAGGGACATTACGTCGAGTCCACCATGATCAATATGGACAAAGATCAACAATTAATCTCTGCTAATGGCGTGGGGCGCCTGGGGATCCACCGGAGTATCAGAGGAACTAGGCTGTGCGGAGCTCTTCTCACGCAAGTCAACCCCCTGTGCCCTGAGCTGCTTGCGGGCCTTATGGCCGCCACGACATGACGCACAGCAGGACCCAAACTGGACAATAAATGCGACCAAGCTGAATCCCGACGCAATCCACATAAACACGAGCATTTGCTTGCCAACGTGCGCCTTGATGTTTAGGCTGGGATCGGCGTTGGAGAAGACGTTGGCGAAGATGATGAACATTACCGTTGCGACGGCCGAGGCAACGATAGTCACCAGTGCGGTGAAGAAGGCCAGGATAAGGAAGGGGAAAGAGCGGAATAGCACGAAGGTGCGGCGTCGGTGGGGTGCTTTGCCCGAGGGCGACACCTGGCCGCCAGATACCCACGATTTGATGGATTGCGGTGGTCGCGAGGAGACGGCGAAGGGACTGAAGAAGATCATGATGAAGTTCAAGACTGCTGCGGCAATGAAGAGGCCGAACATCCAATGGGATGCGACCTTGGCCAGGTGAAGGGGCTCCTGAATGTTGCTGGGCAGGGCAACTAGTAAAAAAGACAGGTGTTAGCTTCAATTGAGAGTATAAACGAAAAAAAAAAAAAGAATGTAGACGTACTACTTGCACCGGCCAACAGCTCATTCAAAATAATATCGACCGGATTGAAAGCATACAGCGCCTTCGGTTTCGAACATGAAGTAATCCCCTCATCATTATAGCCCTCGCAGAATCCCCACAGGCCAACCTGGTAGAAGTCATGCAAGCCAATTGACCGGGCAATGGAATTGATCAGGATGGCATTGGGCACGGATACCGGGATAATGTTGGATAGGTCGAGATAGAGGAAGTATGTACTGCGAAGGACTGGTTTGTTGGCAATGTTACCAATGACCACCAGCAGGAGGAACACCCAGGCGATTAGGTATAGTAGGGATCGCAGAGCACGATGCCAATGAACGGTCGATTGGCGCGGACGAGCCACGGTCCGGTCTGGTGAGGCGCGACGGAAGAGAGGAAGGCGTCGTTTGCCATTGACGGGAGCAACCGTCCCGTCGGCCATATTGAGTCGACTGAAAAGGACGGTGCGACGAGGGGAGGACGCACAAGATGGAAGGAGGGAATGGAGAGAGAGAGACGGAGAGTCTGCGGTCAAGGATATTAGGAGAGGGGAAGAAGACAAACGATAGAATGACGTTTAGGCACCCATGAATGATATGGACGGCCACGACCGTCGTGAAAAGAAAAGCCACAGGAACGAGTTTGGGCGGGAGATATTTTTACCAGGACTTGTTGTTCCAGTCTCGAAAGTTTTCAACTTTTCTTGCAGAGATGGGGGGCCCAGGTCGATCTGATCCCTCTGATCCCTCCGATCCGCAGGAGTAGTTACCCGTACGAGTACGGGCGTGGGGATCCACCAAATCGCTGAAGCCCAAAGCTTCGTAAGGGATCGTCAGTGGCGTTGTCGCTAGGCTGCTCCCTAAGCCACGGCGATCATGCAAGCGTCTTGCCGACCGAAGGCTATTTGCACCTGCGGCAAGAATCTGGAATAGGCCGGTATAAGGAAAGACATCAAGCTGGAACTAAATACGTCAGCCAGATTGACTTTGGAGTAACAAGAAAGTGAGTGACCATTGACACTGTGCCTCGACGCCGAGATCCAGAAAGGTCTCCAAGGTCGAGTGGAGCTCCGTTCAGCCCCGACTGGATTGGTTCATCACCGAGACAACATTCACTGGTAACGTCATGCAACACTGCGCCCGTCTCCACCGGACCCTGGTTGGACCAAAAATGGGAGACTGGGTGGTCCTGGGTCCGCTGATTGTCCTGGCCTGGATTGGGGAGTGGGAGTGGGAGTGGGAGTGGGAGTATTCGAAGGAACTTGCGGGAGATGAGGGTCGGGTCTTGTGTCCTTGCCAGGCAGTGACGAAAAAAAATAAAATTAAAATTAAAATAACATTAACCATCACAATCCTCCCACGGAGAAGTACCACTCGCTTTCCTTGTCCAAAACAGCTCTCTCCTCCTCCCACCCCCTCTCATCGGACCCCCAGCACCCTTCACCATGAGGTGGCCATCTCTCGCTTTGGCCCTCCTCGTAGGAGTCACGACTGCGGCCGACACCACAACCTCCGAATCCACCACCAGCAAGTCCGATTCTTCGACATCCCTCGACCTGTCGACAGCATCAACGGTGACCAACCCGACTACCGTCATCCCATCGGGTAGTTATATTACCTACAGCACTACAATTACCCTTGACAATGGCAATTCCTCCGTCTTGGTCTCCACCACGGCCGCTCCCAATGCCACCGCGACCACCTCGGGCAACCAAACCATCGTAACCAGCACATCGGACTCGTTGACAGTCTTGGTTGGGAGCGGACACACGACGACTTTAGGCAATGGGACCATGAACGCGACCGCCACCGCTTCGTCGACCTCGACACAGACACCGGTTGTCAACACTCGCCCATGCAACAACTATGCCGAGTTCTGCGCGCGCAATTACTCCAACATCACCATGGTCGCAGCCCACAACAGTCCCTTCGTGCGCAAGGGCAATGCTGCCGCCAATCAAGCACTGGACGTGACCGCCCAACTCGACGACGGTATTCGAATGCGTAAGGACTCGCTAGAGAACGGCGCTCGAAATAGCCTCCACTAACTCCCTCGCAGTTCAGTTCCAAACCCACTATCAAAATGGCACCATGATGCTCTGCCACACCTCCTGCGACATTCTCAACGTGGGCACCCTCGAAGCCTACCTCACCACCGTCGCCCAATGGATGCGCAAGAATCCCTACGACGTCGTCACAATCCTCATCGGAAACTACGACTATGTCTCCCCAGAGAACTTTACCGCTCCAGTTGAAGCCTCCGGCCTGTTAGACATGGCCTATTCACCACCCAAGATCCCCATGGGTCTGGACGACTGGCCGACGCTGTCAGAGATGATTCTCACCGGCAAGCGCGCCGTGTTTTTCATGGATTACCAGGCAAACCAGACTGCTGTCCCGTGGCTGATGGATGAGTTTTCACAAGTGTGGGAGACGCCCTTTTCGCCCACAGATGCAAACTTCCCTTGCACTGTACAGCGGCCTCCTAGTTTGTCAGACAAGGATGCCAAGAGTCGCATGTATATGGCGAATCATAACCTGAACCTGGAACTTAGTTTCGGCTCTCTAAGCTTGCTCATTCCCAATACGGCAGTCATCAGCCAGACTAATGCCGTGAATGGTAATGGAAGTCTGGGCTGGATGGCGGAAAACTGTACCCGTAAGTTCCTTCCCACCTAATCTACCTCATGAGTATACTAATCCCGCTACAGGTGACTGGACCCGCCCGCCCAACTTCCTGCTGGTTGATTACTACAACTACGGCAACTTTAACGGCTCCGTCTTTGAAGTCGCCGCGGAGATGAACAACGTCACTTACAACCGCACCTGCTGCGGCCAAGAATCTGCCGCCGTGCCTGGCATGTCGACGACCAGTTTCTCGACGATGCTGGTGATTGCAGCTGGCGTACAGTTCTTCCTGTCCGCATTCTGATTTCGGATGACCTTTACGACAATTCTCTGCTTCTTTTCACAATCTCCATCGTTTAAGCGGGATTGCCTGCTTATTGGCGCCGGTTGCGTCTTATCTTGGGCATGTTGGTGCTGAATGTAAATACATAATTTAGATTTCGAATGACTTTGCATATGCAATGCATGAATCTTGGACTCGTGCATTAAAATTTTCAAATTTTCTCTCAAACCAGCCGGTTGGATGACGAAATATTGCCGATGCCTTTGAGAACTCTGAGCCTTTTACAGGAGGTACGCTCCACCTATCGCGGACATACTTGTAGTGGGCCGCTTGCAGCACGCTTTCTGATGCACGAGTCATAGAGGAGCAGTGCCAAGGTCGCCCGTGGAGAGCTATTACCTTCCCCAATGAGGTGGCTGTGGAAGAGCGAATAACACCAAAATAAAGACAGGGGGAGGAGGGCTCACCAATTCTTCTATAATCGAGCACTACAAGTAGTTGACATTCGTGCATTGAAAGGACCTATGAGATGTTCCATTACCATCGTATTTACAGTCACTCCTGCTACATGAGGATTGACGCTTAAGTTGTCGAGATTGGTATGGATGCCTGGAAAATTTAACCTGGTCATGTACGACTTTGGTAAACTTGAGTGATTGTTTTCTATCATGAGATGAACCGCACTGGACAGGCTGCATTGATGGCCCTTCAATAGCGTAGAAGCTCAACGATAGGAATATGCAAAATAGTCAATCACTGGTCTATATCCTTTCATTGGGTTACTCAAAAATGATGTGGCTAACGGTGTAGAATCGTGGTATATCAGTTCGTGGTGCTTGAAGCGGGTAAGATCCATGGATACATAGGAACCTTAAACAGACAACCAATTGATGAAACTCCACCAGGGTTACGATCTGACAGCTTCGAAAGTATATCTAAACCTTCAAAACCACTCAAAATGGTAGTATACTGACCGTGAATTTCGATATATTGACAACTGCTTTACTACCTTTGCCGGGTAGTATGCAACAACTACGAATAAGCAACAAAAAAAAAAAAAAAAAAAAACCGTAATCAACATCAAACACCCCATACCACAAAGAATTGAGCGATGGAAAAAGAAAACAACCGAAGGAAGCGAAAAAAAGTATCATAGGAGGAACCTGGAGATTGCTTGCTACTTTGGGAAAAATTGTATTCAATTTAAGACTAGATTGATAATTCTGTTGTAACCCACAAGCGCCAGATTTGTTTCTCCGATTAGAAATTGTCGATCCATCCAGTACTTGGGCTTTACTGAGGTAACATTATGTTCTGGGTTGCAGGTGATCGTTATCATTGTTAGATAATATGATATCGCTGACTGATAATGTGAGATGTATGCTGGGAGAATATCTCTGACTTTTCGCATAGTAGAGATAAAAGCCTTTACTTGGTTTTAATGGCAGCAGGTATCTACGTTTTAACCTACGGGTGACTCAATATTGGATACCTTGAAACTTGACGGGATCTATTTGCTTTGCCCGTCGGAAACGCAGAATTATTTACGTTTCGCCGTGGTGCTCTCCCTCCCTCCCAACGCACCAAAGAGATCATCCGACAGAACCTACAACCCACGTCTCCACCGCTCCCTCTCAATCTTCCCAGACACCCACCTCCCCTGGAGTCTTTCCACGGGCCAGGGACTCCTCCAGCATCTGAGCGAACTAGCCCTCTGTGATGCTGTTTGGAGGAGTATCGTCTTTGGAGACGACGGCGGAAGAAGAAGGAGTACCGATGAGTGGGGTTACCGGCCCCCCAAGTGCCCAACGCACGTGCTAGATAAAACCCAGGTCAACAGGACGCGTTCAGACCAACGATTGAAGTTGATCGGATGGACGTACCTTCTGTGCTTGCACGTGGCTGTAACACTCGCGGAAGGTGGTTGCGACGAATTTCTTGCCGCGCTCTCGCTTACGCTTGCGGGAGTTGAGGTTTTCGCAGATACGCTCTGCGACGACGTAATCCGCGTCACTGCGGCTGCCCTCATGGAGCCAGGTCAGCTCCTTCTCGCGGAAGCGGCGGCGGAATATGGCCAGCGGGCTAGATTCCTTAGTCAGCGGGGTTGAAGATGGGGTATTGGATCCTTGGGGGCTCACATCTGTGTCTGAGTCGCTGGTCAGGTCAATGACCACGATGTCCTTGGGAGGCACAGGAGGAGCGGAAACGGTAGCAACCGGAGTGGTGGCGGCGAGGGCGACGGGGGTAGTGGCACCCGTCACGTGGGTGGTCGCAACGGGGCGCGAAGCCGGCCTGTTGGCGCTGGTGGTAGGAGCGCTGGTGGTAGGGATGTAGAAGGTAACGCCGGCCTGTTGGAGGAGGCGGGCCGCTTGCTCGGGGAGGATTGGCGGGACGTATCCGCCGTGGCCAGAGAAGGTGGAGTTGGCATAGTTGGTGGCCATTGTATTTGGCTCACCAGGTGGAGATTGGGCGGAAAGAGGTGTTGGGAGGTCGGGTGGAGGATCTGTGGCTTGATCTTCGAGGTGGCGTGGAGGATGTGTTGGTTGGGATTCGTAGAGTGTATGTGATGAACAGGTATCTGAGCCAGCAGATTGATCAAAGTGTGGAGCGGGAGCTTCGAAGGTTTGAGTTGGAGAAGGGATGGAAAAGGGTGATGCTGGGGGGAGGACAGAAGACTTTATACCCGAGGGGTCAGTGAGGGATAGCATGTAGGCAGCGTACAAGGCAGTAAACGCGTGGGACAATTGGGCGTAGCTGCCTTGGGGATCATTTTGAGGTGAGGTGAAGGCTGCCGTCGCGGGTGCTTCCAAGGCGCGTGGTGGGTGACGCGTGGTAGCCTGAAGTTGTTGGTAGTCCCGAATTAGGCAATTGTGAGTTGTCGCCAAGGCAGTGTATTTTTCTTTCCAGTCCTGGGCCTCTGCCTTCAGATGATCCACCCGATATCGATGGTTCGAAGCCGCCCGGCGCAACCTGTGAACTTCTGACTCCAGCTGTTGAATGCCCAGCATGCCAGTCGCAGGGTCCACTTGATCGTACTTAAGCAAGGCATCACGGTACTTATTACGCTCCGCAATGACCACATCGAGGCGACGGTGGGAACTGTTTAAGCGGCTCCGAAGCGATTCATTCGAGTCTGTCCCTCCACCAATCATACAATGTAGATTAGGTGCAGATGGATAGTATCTCACTTGAGCATAAGGCGAGATGTGATCAGAACTCAACTTAGCTTGAGTAAAAGCCTGGACAGCAGCAAGGCGAGCCAGGCTTTCTGGCTTCAGCCCGAATTTGTCCTTGGCTGGATTAGTTGCAGCAGAAGTCTCGGGAGTTGTAAGGGGCGTATGGGATAAAATGGATGGAATAGAGGATCGACTGATGGGATAGATATCTGTCGGCTGCACGAGGGACTCGATCGCGTTGCTCGACTCTAGATTTTGTCTCTTGCTCAGAGACACTTCGATGTCTCCGTTGAATGCATGATCGGTAGTGCGCTTCATCGGGCCGCCTGTCTGCTGTGGCTGCTGAACAAGCTTGTCAAAATCGGTGAATGGATCGAAGTCGTCATCCATGCCGAACAGAGAGGCTAGGTCATCCATATCCTCTTGGTCGTTGGGATCGTGTACAGCCAGCTGAGGCTGTGATCCGGGGGGAAGTGTAAGCCCCAGATCATGATGTATATTGCTGTCGAAGGCCAGGGTAAGCAACTCACGGGTATCCATGATATTACCCATCTTGGGGTGAGCTCAAAGAGGTGGCGCTGGTGCCACTCGGTAGAGGCTCGTATGCTGGATGGTTGAAGAATCTGGTGCTTTTTGGACCAAAAAATTCACACGGTCATGAAGAGGTTCAGGGTGATCGTATTTGGATGGTAGCAAAAGCAAGCTGGGAGGAGCTCGCTGTCGGCATGAAAAGACTCATGAAGCCAGGAAGTGTGGTCGACAGAAGGGCTTCACATGTCCAGGTCACTTGTCTTTTTTTTTGTTTACAAACCGACATTCTGCTATTCAATCTTTGACCGCTTTCCTATCGCATCTTATCGCCCTTCAACTATCTCACCGCCAATATTCACCGCCTTTACATATGATCTTGTTATCGGATTATCATCTCACCGCCCTATACATCACGTGGGGCAAATGACAAACACGACAAATCCGGCAAAAGAAAGGCGGAGTGCCCCGAGCCCTACGAGTTCCGAGGACGACAACATCAGTTTCGCCCATCTTGCTCCCACCACCCCTCCCGAGCTCTCTACTCCGATCCTCAGAGCTGCTCCGATTGATATCCCTGGAGCTCACGCCCGTCGAACTTCTCAGCTAGCCCACGAGTCTATCTTTCAAAATACAGCTCCAAGTCGTCTGGATTCCCATTACTACCTTCCCCGACTCCCCCCTCGACCCTTAGATACCACCAAGATCACCTATTCCCTCCTTGCGGGTGTATTGGCTGCGATTGCCCCGATTTCACGGCCTGTCACCCCGGAAGCTCCCGAGGACCCTATCGAAGATCTTCTCTACAGAACACCTCCCAAGTTCCGAGCGCCTTTCTGCGGCGTCATGAGCGTTCTTCTTACTACCGGTAAGTAGTCGTGCCCATATCCATATTCTTTGCAGGGTTTTTGCTAATTCTTCTGGATATGCAGCGGGTTATGACCATACCATCCGGTGAGTAATCCTCTAGCAAGCTTCAATCAACTTCCGGCGTCTCATTACAAGTTGCAAGCATGTCCTTTTGTGGCGCACTCACAGTCGGTATGGTAGCTAATTTGCACTCGGTAAAACAGCTTCTGGGAGGCCCTGTCTGGCATTTGCTCCCGCACCATTCAGCACCCCGACTCGCAGGTCAACCGACTTTGCATCACTCCCGACAAAAAGTACCTCGCTGTTGCGGGTCACCACAATGTCAAGTTGTTCGACGCCAAGTCAAGCAATCCCAATCCTTTGATGACCTTTGAGGGCCACACCGGTAACGTCACCGGAGTCGCATTCCACTGTGAGGGCAAGTGGATGGTCACCAGTTCCGAGGATTGCTCCATCAAAGTTTGGGATGTCCGCAGCGGCAGCCTTCAGCGCGACTACCGACACGATTTTCCCGTCAATGACGTCGTCATCCATCCTAATCAGGCCGAGCTTATCAGTGGTGATCGCGGTGGCATGGTTCGTGTGTGGGACCTCGGCGAAAGCAAGTGCATTCACCAGCTGGAACCGGAGGAAGACAGCTCCGTTACGAGCGTCAGCGTTGCGACCGATGGATCGTTACTGTGTGCTGGAAGCAAAAAGGTATTATTAGCCGCATCTCGTACCGTTCCACATGGTCGATTGCTAATCCGTTTTCTCCTCCAGGGAAATGTTTACATCTGGCGCATGGTCCAAACTGAAGAAAAGGCATCAATGGTACCCATTGCCACTTTCCAAGCTCACATGGACTACCTCAACCGCGTCCTCCTGTCCCCCGATGTTAAGCACTTGGCTACCTGTTCCGCCGACCACACCGCCAAGGTCTGGAATCTTGACCCCGATTATCCGCCTGCCAAGGCCGCTATCAAGGCGCATAAGGAGAAGCAGGAGAAGGAGAAACAGGCCGGCTCGGCAGAGAACCAGAACGAGGCCGCCTCCGCTGATGCGAAGAGTGTGGGTAATGACCTCCTACGCATCTTCGACCCGAACCGTCACCTGCTACGCTTGACAGACACCCCGCCGCGTGAGGAGACCGCGCAGCAGACCTTCGCTGCGCAGCCCGATGGTCCGCCCATCGACCCAGTCAACCATACTCTCTTCCTTGAGACTACCCTGGCTGGCCACCAGCGGTGGGTCTGGGACTGCGCTTTCTCGGCCGACTCGGCATACCTGGTAACGGTGTCGAGTGACCACTACGCCCGCCTGTGGGAGCTCAGTACTGGCACTATCATCCGCCAGTACAGCGGCCACCACCGCGGCGCGGTGTGCGTGGCGCTCAACGACTACTCGGAGCCTCGTTGAGGAAGCCGCTCCGGGGTTTGACAGATCGTCGCCTTTGTTTTGCTTTCCTTGTTCTTTGTTTTCAGTGGCGTTTGGCGGGGGGACATAGCGCGGCGTAGGACGGGCTTACATACTGCATCTTGGATATAGCGATTGTGCCTGGGTCGCTCTTTATGACTTATGGAGTAAATAAGAGATACCATTTCAATATTGAATTTGTCCTTCCAGCTTCTACAATAGTAATATTTATTCTCATGCTATGGTTTTTAGTACTCTCAGCGTAACTTTGGCCATTCTTCTAACAGATGCGCCGTCTTCAAATCGAGAACTATTCGACACCGTACCAAATTTGGAATTCTCGAGTCGGCATTACAGGCTCTAGGTTACCCTGTCATCCGTGTTTAGTACCTACATTAGACGAAGTAGCTACCCAACATATGACATAGTCATAGACAAGCCGATCGCTCAACATAATAACATGAAAAGACAAATTGGGTGTCAAAATACATCACAAAGGAACAAAATGGAAATGGACCGATCGAAACGAGTATATCAAATCCGTATCGGACACGCTCTTCCAGTAATAGTCATAAAACGAGTCTGCCGGCCATGATTTTCCACACATCCTCCTATAACTATTCCAAACAACCCCCGATAAGCTCAGATCGCCAATAATTTCAGAGAAAAACCAAACAATCCGCTCAGTTCACGGCAAACCACGTCACGCTAACGACAACATCCAATCCCCGCTCTTCGGCGCCGGGATACTTGAACGTCCACATGCCGTCGCGGTTGACGTCCCAGAAGGCGCCAGAGGCGGAGTGCATACCGCGCTTGCCGGCATTGCTCTGTGTGCCGTCCGCGGCGGCGGTCTTGTCGATGATGCCCTGCTGCACGATGGTGCTGTTCACGGTGAAACGGTAGGGAGCGGGCTTGTTGGACTCGGAAGGAGCGGTGGCGGAGATGAGGGCCTTGAGGACGGTGTTCTGGATTGCGGAGAGTGGTGAGACTGGGGAGATGTGCGGGGATGGGGTTCGTAGGGAGGGGAGGGGGGGGGGTTATGTCTTACGATGATCTGCGAGTTCCAGTTGCCGACGAGACCGTGCTCGTACTCAGTGGCATCCTTCAGGGCGGCATCGCAAGCCTAGTGTATAAGATGATGAGTAAATGGCATGGATGGTGGTAGTAGGTCGGCCTGGATTGGAAATTCGACTTCAGCGCGAACGGGAGATACGACGTACATCAGAGGTGATCTTGGTCAGCTCCGCAATAGGGACGGGCTATAGTTCAATGTTGGTCAGTGACAATAGTTCATTGGTATAGAAGTATTTAGGTGGTGGCTGAGTAGCCATCGCTTGCGACAAACCCCGGTTGGACCTACAGAGACAGGAGCAGCTTCGACAGCCATTGTACTTGATTCGTCGTTATGGGTTTACTGAGAGCCTAGCGTAAGAAAACTTATTAGCATTGAAAGGCCTGGAGACATGTCTCGACCGAACACAGCGCCCACTCCGGGCCAATATCGCGGCCAGAACATTCATCGGCGAAGCGCGTTCCGGAGATAATGCGGGGGGCTTCAAGGGTGGAATGCGGGCGTATAGGGTACATAAAACCAATATCACGCTGAGACGAAAACCGTTGCACTCACAGATGATTGTTTTTTCAACAAGATGCTATCTCGATTGACGGAATAGGCGGCCGGGACGACTCGTACAGCGACTGATTGTTTTGGGAGAGTGGCATCATCGCGTTGACGCGGTTGGCTCTGGTTGGTCGGGCTTGGCCGCGTTGCTTAGTAAGATGGACCCTTCACCGCGGTCAGTTCTACTATCGCGATAGAGCTTGTGGATTGGATGAAATGATGGCATTCAGGTTGCGTTCCAAATTGCCTTTTTGGAGATCGTTCACTGTAATACACACTCAAATCTTGGATGATTTAGCTGGTGTGCTCAACTTTTCTGGCGAATTCTACTCTGGTTATATGGACTATATAGAGGTGCGGCTTTCCTATCTCGGCTGCCGCTGCTTGCTTAAGCTCAGTGATCAGGTCAGGATAGTCATGTGATGAGTGACCAATGCTCATTGATCACTCAGTGCTTGCTCACCTCCAATCAGTATCTGTTTTTTAGCGTCTTTCTGGCGATTACCACATAGCTATGGCCTCTATGGTCATTTATTCTGTGAACACTAGCGCGCCTATGTTTGTAAGCTGACTGTATCCGTTTAGCCGACTGCATTTCTACCCATTGCATCAATATGGGAATGGGCCAGCTCTTTTAGGATAAAATGCGTTTATTACTCTAGTACAGAGTAGGTTGGTGTGACGTATAGCCAATACTACACGAGCTATTATCTAATCACTTAAGGCGGGAAAAATTAGTATGTTACCAGGAATTACTTCGCTGCGTGAGTCTACGCATGAAGCGCATCAAGGGTCTGGGTTCTATCCTAGGGGATGGAGCGGGCCTAGAAACTTAATTATATATTGGGAGTTGTATACACCATCAAAACTCATAGAGTACTATACCTCCTCAATCTTCCAAGCTGACAATTTGAGCGGTCTTCTCCTGCCTCGGAACCTTCACATATCCTGCTACGTCCAAAGGAGTAGATCCCCAGAACTTCTTCATCTCATTCACAGACTTTCGTTACTAAGCGAGGCTAAAGTGTGTATAGGTAGGCCGTACTTTCTACCTCTTATTCCAAGTGCCCACTACTACTCTATGTACATAAAGACTTCGCAGAGACTAAACAGATAGTGCGATATACCATATTCTATCCCTCAGGTACGTCTCCAACTGGACCTTGCATTGTGATGTCACGAAACACTTTCTCAGTGCCATGGGCATAGTCCCTAGATCATTTTCACTCAAACTACACACAGGCTGCAATGTCTTTCTTCCGATATATACCTTCATCCCTCATTACAACCGGGTTTTCTCGAGGCTCTCCGAGGTCTCCATCAATGAGAAAAGCTTCCGAACCAAGTCCCTATCCCCATCATACGAGACGCCGACCGCAATCCCCCCAGACAAGACCTCCAACAGTTCTGGTTTGGTCAAAGTCAAAGTCAGACTCGCTTCGCTATGCAGCTCGTCTTTGCTCGCGGCATTCCTGTAAGTCAAGGCAGCATTGCTCACATTCACATGCCACCATCGCTGTTCGTCTGTCAGATGGAAGTCAATGGAGAAACATTCCTCTGCTGCCTTGATTCCATCCAGGCGAATGGATGATAGGGTCAACCATTGTTCAACACTTTGTTCTCGTCTCAGCCCAGTGCTCATGCTCCAAGGACTGTTTCTGTTCCCCGCAACCAAGGCCAGGGCACCTGTGAGATAGAAGTTGCGCCAAGTGCCATTCTCCGAACCATGGCCGAGTTTTGTGAAGACAGACGCTAATGCTTTCTTTGCGGCAGTATGGGATGGGTCGAGCGTGACAGCGTGGTCCAGCAATGTCGCGGCAAATCGCAAATCGCCGTCCTGGGCAAAGCGTTCTGCCTTTTGAACAACTTCGTCGATTCCACCCATACACTCAACGTACCTCTTGGCACTTTGCTTTGGCGGATGCTCCCAGAGATGAGCCGGGTTGCCGTCAAACCAGCCCAGATACCGTTGATAAATGCCTTTTACGTTGTGACTGACGGATCCATAAAATCCTTGTGCAAACCACGACTTTTGCAGAGAGGGCGGGAGAGTCAGACACTCTGCGATCTCGATACCGGTCATGCCGTGGTTCATCAATCGAACTGTTTGGTCGTGAATATAGGCGTATAAGTCTCGCTGATCGCCAATGAATTTCGCAATCTCTGCGTGGCCCCAGGTAGGCCAGGCGTGACCAGCCAACATGACCTCGGATTCCTTTCCAAACAGAACCAGAGACTCATCCAGATACTGGGACCAAGCCTTTGCATCACGAACTTGGGCTCCACGCAGGGTGATGATATTGTGGAGCGAGTGCACCGCACATTCGGCGATATACAAAGCTCGGTGATCGGGGAAATAGAAGTTCATTTCCGAGGGTGCCTCCGATCCGGGCACCATCTGGAAAATGATGCGTACTCCGTCGACAACTCGTTCTTCGCCGGTTTGATGAATGATCATGTTTGGTGGGACCAAGGAATTGACGCCACTCGGAACGCACATGCCAAGTCCACAGCCAATCTGTCCAGCGGGACCCTTTGGAATTCGATCTCCATACATGTATGCGGCACGCCGACGCATCGCAGTGCCGAGATACAAGTTTTCACTAGTAGCCTCTTCCATAAAGCCTTCGGGCGCAATTAGCGGAATGGAATGTGTTTTCGCAACCGGGAGTATCCCCTGGGCACCACCGAAGTGGTCAATATGCGAATGCGAATAGATCACTGCGGTCACTTTGCGATCGCCACGGTGCTTGCGGTACAGTTCCAGTGCCGCAGCCGCCGTTTCCACCGAAGTCAGTGGGTCAATCACAATGACACCCTCTTTTCCTTCGACGACGGTCATGTTGGAAAGATCGAATCCACGCACTTGGTAGATGCCCTCGGCCGATTTGAAGAGCCCTTGGATGCTAAGCAGTTGACCCTGTCGCCAGAGCTTTGGGTTTGCCGTTGGTGGACATTCGCCGGCGAGGAAGTTGTATTCATCATTATTCCACACAATCCGCCCGTCAGTAGCGCGGATGATGCATGGGTCGAGAGCGCCGATGAAACCCCGCTTCGCATTATCAAAGTCGGTTGTATCGACGAAAGAGGGTTCAAACTGGGCGTGTGACATGATCAAATACTGGGTTTGTAGAGCATGCAATAGAAATGAGATGAGTATTAGGAGAATCGGGGGCACTGGCAGGGTATATAAACATTCCTAGCCTGCGTTTCAACGGGCCTAAATTGCGTGAATTCGCCATCGAGATGTCTACTCCATTTTGCCTGGTTGGTCGAGCTCCACTCAATGATTCATTGATACTAGTCTAGTATGTGACCTCCTGTTCTACCGTCCGTGGTAAACTCCGACTGCCGATGGGCGTGGCAGTGCGCTAACTCTCGGCGACCGGCCCAAGCGCCTGCGGGGGCAAACTAGCCTCTTTAGGAAGTGGTTTCGCGGTCAATCATCGTCATACAATAGATGTTTAGAAATACGAGGTGTAAAGGTCTTTCTTCTTAATGCCAATCTTTCGTTACTCGGAAATTCCATTTTTGATTGAGAAGTCGCGAACATTCCCCATCCTTCATCCCTCGCTTTTAGTAGGTGTACCGGAACCCTGGAAGATTTGCAATGACAATCTCCCCGCGGGCCACCTTTCCGTTCAAGAAGTAGAAGCGAATTGACAAAAGGACAACCAAAACGATAATTAGACATGACAGTCCAACACAAGTCAGAATACCGGGGTGATATGTCGGTGCATCTTGCGACCGGTATACTAAAGATCCGGTCATGCCGCCAGAGGCACCCAATCCGACAAAAATAGCACTGCAAATGGCTCGTTTCCATTGACCTCGGATGTTGTTTGCCTGAAAATGGTCAGCGGAGGAGTTTTCCGTAATAATCTTGATAAAGTGTTTACCTGATATGCCATTGCCGCAGGGACATTGGAATTTGCGCCCATTGTGGTCAAGAATGCGCCTAACAGCCGAGGTCCATTGCCTTTTGTGAATCCCTGGTAAAGTCAGCTCAGCTCTTTCACTTTTAATTTGGAAATACACCGACCATCAAGGGCAGACCAATTATGGTAAGCATCGCGTTGAATATCAAGATAGGGCCCCGAATGTGGTATCGATCGCCAATCCAGGAAGTGGCGTACATAAGGATGCCCGCGGCAGCATATGGAGGCGCAAATAAACACAGAGAAGCACCCATGGAGAATCCCATGCCTTGACGATAAATAATGGGCAGGAAATACGATATGGCGTAGGCGGTTGTGGTGGTAGAATAATAGATGAACCCGAAAGCCCAAATATTGATGTCTAGCCCAGCGCTAAGATACTTTTTCAAGTTGAAGGGCTCAACGGTCACATCGGCTCGATCCTTGGTGATGCGTCGGATGATAAATTCATATTCACCCTCGGATAGAAACTTTTGTTTGTTTTCTTTCATGCGGTCCGGGAAATCGATCAAGACAAAGTAGCCAATGGTGGCCACGACACAAGTTAAGAGACCCTGGATGACATAGATCCATCGCCACGCAGTGAGGCCTCCAAGACCGTTCTGTCAAATTTTAGCTTAGCTCGCGAGAACCATTAGCCGGCTCACTCACCATAAAAGTAATACCGTATGACAAGATACCGGTGAAGGCCGAGGCCACACATCCAAGAAGGTAGAAAATAGCATATCGCTTCTGGATGTCATATCGTGTGTACCAGGTGGATATCAAGTACACCGAAGCAGGGAAGAAGCCAGCCTCAAGGGCCCCAATGATCACACGGATTCCAACCATTTCAGTCCATTTTTTGACAAAGCCAGCAGAAAGCTAAGACCATTAGTACGGAACCGCGACGCCTCAGAGTGGATACTCTTGAATGGGCCTTACCATAACAGTTCCCCACAGGAAACAAACACCCGAGAGATACCGAGTCGGACCAATCTGGCGAACTAAAATGGGGCCAAATATTTGAAGGCAAATATAAGGAGGGAAGAATGCCACTGCGATTGTGCTCTGTCACATTGTCAGTTTCACAAGTAAACAGCGATCCGATCAGTCAGCCTACATATTGCGTTCCCTTGAGACGAAGCTCTTTATCCATCCCAGCTACAGATGCAGTACCCAGATTGCCCCGGTCAATAAGGGAGACAGTGTGGAGAAAACCAAGCATCACAATCAGACGAACATCAATTCGACGAATGATTTTGCGCTGCTCACGATAAGAGTAGACTGGATCATCGTCGATGCTGTTCAACATCTGCTTATGAGACTCGACTGGCTCAACTTGAGCCTCTGAGACTTTTCCATCTTCTAACATAGTCATAATTGAATCGATAATAAGGATATCCAGCAAGTTTGGAATTCATTCAATGACCAAAAATATGGTTCTTGACAGGTAAATATATGGGTTCTGCTGGGTATATCCAAGGCCAAGATGGTGAAAGCCAAAGCGTTTATGTTGCATTACATGTTCTCGGCCAACACAATGGCGTATAGCCATAGATTTGATGTAGATTTTGCGGGGAAGTTCCTGAAGCTCTGTAGCTTCAAGCTTGGATTTAGTCTAGACTTATTCCTATTGGTTAGTGGTGTAGCTCTTTCCCCGCAGCCTGGCGGACTGGGCATTTCGGGCCATCGGCGTTTAGCTGGCGTCCACCTGAGATCGCTTTTATCGCCGATTCTCCGACCAATTGGCTTGGATATGACTTCGACACGCAAGTATGGACACATTCTTTGTGAAGCTAATTGGGCATATAATTTTGGATTGCAACAATTCCTTAGCCTTTCACGCAATCACAAACGAGTAATTCGGCGGGAATGGCACGAAAAAGGAAGTTCATGATTTCCTAGAGTTCATAGCATCCGAGGTAGAACAACATGCTTGGACTCTATGCATAACGCCGAAATCCGAAACTGAACGACTTTCACGATCCACTTCCTATCCATCTAGATCTCGAAGATGATAAAAAGCCTCGAATTCGTCATAAGCAAGTGGTTTCGCGACATCAAGGTCGACTCGAGATCAATCTACTTCAGTGTCTCTTCTGGCTGACAATTTCGAGTGAAACTCCGAAAGATCATTCCGAATCAACCTTACCCTATCTATACCCGCGATGCATCCTCCAGCACGGCAGCACTCATCAGGCTCACTGGATCAATTCGATCCGGTGATGGTGACCCCAGTCATTGGGAACGAGTTCACAAAGGGGACTTGCAATATTGTTGATGATATCTTGCGCGCCCCAGATGCCGACAAGCGCATTCGTGATTTAGCCATTATGAGTACGAACATCACTAGATACTGCAAATTGGAAGAGAAACTAATCTAGAGTGGAATCAACAGTCGCCGAACGAGGGGTTGTCTTCTTTCGCGCCCAGGACAACCTCACTAATGACCTCCAGAAGGAGTTAATCCTTCGCATGGGCGAACTAACCGGTCGCCCATCTACCAACGGCCTACATATTCACCCAGTCACAAACGACGCCCGCGAATTCGGAGACCCAGACCCCCAAATCAGCACTATTAACTCAGAGGGCCGCAAGAAATTGTACAAGGGATCGAACTACACCAAAATGGCAGCTGTTTGGCACAGCGATATTTCCTTCGAGCCTGCGCCAGCTGACTTCTCGTCGCTGCGATTGACTCAGCTGCCAAAGACTGGTGGTGATACTCTTTGGGCATCAGGATATGAAGTCTATGATCGAATCAGCAAGCCTTATCAGAAGTTTTTGGAGACTTTGACTGCGACTCATGATGGCGAAGGCTTCAGGCTGATGGCTCAGTCGGGGAAATTCCAGATTTATGATAAAGAGAGAGGGTCACCTGAGAACGTTGGCGGAGACCTTTACGCCATTCACCCTGTGAGTTGAAACTATTGATCAGCCCCGAGTGACTCCGCTGACGAAAGTCCAGGTCGTGCGAACTAACCCTATCACGGGCTGGAAATCTATCTTCCCAATTGGTGAGCGTCAAATTCCTATGGCTCATGAAAATACCCAACATTAATCCAATAAACTAGGCTCGTTCCCCTCTTGTATTAATGGACTGAATCGCCGAGAAAGCGCAAACATGCTCCAGTGGTTCCATGACTTGATCACATATGGGCACGATCTCCAGGTTCGCTTCAAGTGGGCCCAGCCCAATGACATTGGTATTCACTCTCTGATAAGTCTCGTCTTTAATCCCTTACTAACGGCTGCCAGCGATTTGGGACAACCGCAGTGTCTTCCACACCGCGACGGGCGACCACGAGGGCTTTGGACCTCGCAGTGGAAACCGAGCTGTTGGCGTTGGTGAAGTCCCTTACTTTGATCCGGCGAGCAAGTCGCGTCGGGAGGACTTGGGTATCGTGGAGGACCTTGCTCCTTGTCATCTGTAGAAAATCTAGGCCACAGATATTAGTCTACCATTCTAGTTACGATATTGAGAGCTACTGCTGTGTCACAATACATACTAAGTTTATTTCGCAAACAATTGTGTGTAAAAGCTTGATTGGTTCCTTCGTTATTTATCAGCAGTTCGTGTTATCCTCGTGCCACCAGATGGGGATCAAGATCGCCAGCCGAAACCATCAAAGGTGGGCAGATTAAAGGCATCTGCGGCCCAAAAGTCCTCCGTGAAGATTCCATGAAAAGGTAAAATCCCATCCATTCCATTGGGGGAGATATCCCCTTGCAGATTCATAATGTCCTGAAGATCCGAGAACAGGTCAGAATTTGCCGAGTCAAATCTCTGCGTGTTTGTCTCATGTATAGCGTTATCTCGTGGTGGCAGCGCCTGAAGGCCTGGGTCTGGATGTGGGCCTGTAGGTATGGCGGTCCCGGGGAATGGAGCATGGTCTGTCCCATGCGAAAACAAACCGCCTTGACTCGTTTGCGGTGATTGAGAGTTCTCTTGAACAAAATCCATCGCCCGGTTAATTATTATCTCAAGCCCGTCGCGGTACGTTTTGAGACGCGGGTTGTGCTCGGCCATAAGAAATAATGCCGATGAGCAGGCACGTAAATCATTGGATACTGCGGGTGTCCACAGGCTGGGAGATCGGAATAAACAGTAGCTATTCTCAGTTTAGCTTTTGATCATGATCTATAAAATCTCATAAGTTTTACTTACCACATTGTGATGCCAGCCATGAACACCGAGTTGACCAGTAGGAACGAGGATCCCAAAGCAGACTCTCGCTGTCTGAGCTTCTTGAAGAACTGGCACAGTTGGCCCGATGCAAATAGGCACGTCCCTATCAGACTGTCTTGCGGATGCAAGAAACTCAGGAAGGGCTGAAGTAAGATCCGGATCGCGTTATTCCAGTGCATATGCAGAAAATCGCCTTCATCCACATCGAGCGCTGTAAGCGTGGTCTTGAACTCTTGCAATGATGACAGTAGCGGACTGATTTCGCCCGTAAGAGCAGAAATCTGCGCATCCACGCGATAAATACGCGTGTGGATTCGAGACACGATCCGTTGCAACTGAATCGAAGCGATGAACCTTCCAAGTGTGCCTTTGTGTGGTCTGCTCTGACCAACCGACCGGTTATGCAAAATTCTTTCGATGACGCTGTCATTGGTGATGGAATCATCAACGTTGGAAGGAGGCTCGGCATCAATCTCCTCTTCTGCCACACTGAATGGTCTTCCCATCGACCACGCCGTATATCTCTCGATAAGATACACACTCCAGAAGAGTCGTCGTTGTAATTCCGTTTCATACGGTGGGAGTTTTCGATAGCTTGATTCTCTGTGAAATCCAAAGTCCAAGCACGTTCTCATAGCCAGTCCAATCATATACCAGACGCTGGAGTTGGAAGTGGAACGCAGATTGTATAGAACGAGTAGCAGCATTGCCTCGATACTGGCAATTGAGATGGATTCCCTCGATGTAGAATCAAACTCCAGTGCAGTCAGAAGATATCCATTCGGTGAAGTTGACTTGTCATTGTCCGTCGTTTGAAGAATTGCTGCTCCGATCGCATACACCATGAATAATTTGAATCTTCCGTATTGCGCCTCGGGCGTATTGTCGGGCGGTTCGTGTCTCTTGGCGTGCAATTTGAGAATTTCGGTGCGATCTAAAAATGGGAGCCTCATGTGCATATTGAGGAAATAGGAGTTCAGGATTTGGGATCCTTTTGCATCGTCCGGTGGCGCCGCCTTGACCTGTACAGTTTCTTGCACGTTTCCCGGCTGCTGGCTGTTTCCGCTGATAGGCAATAGCCTAGACCCGACCGAATGATGGACAATGCGACTGACATTTTCTGCCATAGAAAGTCCCGACGATGGTCCCAGATATGCCGGTTCGTCATTTCCATCATGGCCCAGTGTAAGAAAGCGAACCACTCCTTTGAGATGTGCTTTTCTGGAGGCAGAGGCTTGTGGACTCTTCCGGGCGGGTGATAGGTGAGCGGACCCAGAGTTTTCTCCGACATCAGGTACATTCCCCTCCAACGCCGTGGCCAGCTGGGCTTCCAGAACCTCGATTCTATGGACCAACGCCCCTTTGGACATTCCATGGTGCCATGACGGCGCGCTCTCGGAGCGAGAGCAAGGTTGATTGGCCGATTCACAGTTGGAGCACGTGGGAGATCCGACACATTTCTGTTTACGTCGGTGGCAGCGCCTGCACGACTTTGGGATGCGCTTGCGAATTCTGTATTCTGGATCCATACCAGTCGGTGCGATATACCGGGGGGGGGGGGGGGGGGTTGGCGCAAAAATAAGGCATTTCGCTCAGCTTCCCCGCATCTTGTCGGTTTAGGGCCGAGGCAGGCTTAACGAACGTTGTGTGATCGAGTCATTGGCAGTACAAAGCACGCCATCTGTTGTTTAGTAGGCAGGCATCGTGTACGAAATACCACGAGTTGTCCAATATAGGTTGAATAGTTTGTGTATTTGGGGAATCGTTATATACTTCAGCTCCATCCGAGCCAAAATTTGAGTCCAAACTGATGTCACGCATGAAAAACTATCGAACCCATTTTCCCTGGTCCCCGCTTTCACACCGTCCATAACAGGGTTTCAGTAGAGGGGTCAACAACCCTATCCTAGGTGCAACACACTGTTTATTCAACTACAGGGGTTCCTTCGAGTGTTTTCTTCATGGCCTAGGATTGGAGATGCCAAGAGGACGAGAGAAAGAGGATCATCGAAACCAAGAGCCAAGAGCCTTGCAATAATCTACAAGTAGGCAGGATAGACTCAATTAAGGCTCAGGTGACAGATCCGGTCTCCATCAAATTTCAACCAAACCGTCATGGAATCACCGAGACTCTTCGCCACGACGCACATTCGGGCAGCGCCTGGACCGCAATGGATCCCAACGGCCAAGTCCGCCGATCCAGCCGAGGCCTAAGACAGTATGGTGGCCGCCACTTCGCCAATGGAATGGCGTCGGTGGGGGCCCGCGACGGGAAAAGCAGGTTTTTGGGCCGTTGACAAGTCAACTCGCTTGAAGCACGTTCTCCGGGAATTTATTTCCCCTTTCTTTGTGTACTGTATATCCTTCAAACATTCTCACTCCGCAGTCTTCACTCCACACGTCCAAGACACCCGCACTCGTGTTGTAGGAATGCATGGGACTCACAGTCATGGACCAGCCGGGCTCTCTCGCCATTCATCCGTCTATATGTAGCACTGAGCGCGAGAGAATCCGGGAATTATCTAGGTGAATAAGCATATTAGTTGATGTTGATCTTTCCGCCGATCCGTTCGTTCGCTAATCGCTGCCGTGTAGGTACTATTGTGCCTTAGATTGCCCGCGGTCCCTATCGACCCCAACGGCCGACGACGAGGGGCTCGAATCGGCTCAGACTGCGTCAAAGGGGGACGAACAGCCGTCGGTCGGTAGTCTTTCGACCGATATCACGTTGACGGCGCTGGCGCAGCTGGGAGTACATCGTTTAGCATGCAATCGGTCCTATGTTTCGATCATCGACGGCGATAAGCAACACATCATCGCGGAAGCTACAGCATCGATTTCCCTGCGAGATGAAAACAAGCACTTACCAAACGATGGAATCTATCTCGGGGCGCGAAGTTTGGATCTCAGCTTTGGCATCTGCCCGCATGCAATCAGCGTGTTTACAGGAAGAGACATGTCCTACGCCGTCGACACCGAAAACATCACTGCCAATCGGACTCGCTACATTGTCCACGATCTCAGACAGGAGGAGGCCTTCCGAAATCGCCCGTACGTTCAAGCATGGCCATACATGCGATTCTATGCGGAAGTACCGTTGTATAGCCCTTCCGGCTTCGTCCTCGGATCCTACTGCGTGATCGATGACAAGCCCCGGACGGAATTTGGCGAAGATGCCGTGAGCACACTGAGAGAGGTTGCCGATGCTGTGGCACGGCATTTAGAGCATGTTCGCATAGTCCACTGTCACCGTCGCTCCGAGCGTCTGATCAAGGGATTGACCAATTTTGTGAAAGACCATGCAGACTTTGACCCGCGCGAAGTATCCAATGATCATCGACTCGAAGCAATGGCCATCGCTTCCAACGTCGGCGCCTCGACTCCAGATGAGAAAGCGGGGCCTCTAGAATCGACATTAAACCACCAGTTCGGCTTTGTGACGTCTTCCTCCAGCAGCCTCTCCGAAGAGCCTTCTCCCTTGTTCTTCGCGGGTCCAGCCTCGGGGCCGACCGAGCCGTCCTCCCTCCACTCCGACCGTCGGTCTTACCCGGGCGAAGACAAGTCCATTGACGAGGTTCTCAAAGCCGGTCCTCGGCCATTGGAGGAAGTATCGAACAATGCTTCTCAACTCTCTTTGGCGGAGAGCAGTTCGTTAGGGGATCGTATCGAACGCATCTTCGAGAGAGCCAGTGTGTTGCTCAGGAAGTCAATGGACCTTGATGGCGTAGTCTTCCTCGACGCAGCTCGAAGTAATCCCTCATTGTGAGTAGTCACCCTCCTTCAAATCATATTTCCACGGCATGTTGCTGACGTTCAAGCAGCCTGCCTCCGGACGATCAGCCTGGCTGGGAGCCATTGCCCAAGACCGCCGTACCCGAGTTTCCTGTTGCGCCGTATCCAAGTCCCCTGGGACGTTCGCCAACGTCTTCTAAAAAATCAGACCTGTGTTGCGACATCCTGAGCAAGTCATTGAAAGTCAGAAAAGGCGAAACTCTCGATGCAAAAGCCGACATTACCTTCCGGGAGGATCTTCTGAACTTGCTGGTTACTACGTTTCCACAGGGTCAAATCTTCAATCTGGACGAATCTTCAGATAGTGAGGACTACTTGTCTTACGAATCGGGGGTGAATGATTCGGAGACCCAAGACAAACTCATGCAGATGGCTACGCGGCAGCTCAGCCAGATTCTACCTGCTGCGAACTCGGTTCTGTTCTTCCCACTGTGGGATCATAACAAATCTCGTTGGATGGCCGGCACGCTTGTCTGGACACAGGACAACCACCGAGCTCTGGGAATCGAAGAACTTCACTATTTCAAAATTTTCGGCGACTCAATTGTCTCCGAGGTTTCTCGAGCACATTGGGCGACAACCGAAAAGTCCAAATTCGATTTTATCTCTTCCATCAGCCATGAGCTTCGGTCCCCACTCCACGGGATCTTGGCTAGTGCAGAATTGTTACAGGCGACGTCTCTTGAGCCAGCGCAAGAGGAAATGGTCAAGATGATCGAGGCCTCTGGGTTGACTTTGTTGGATACCACTGATCATTTGTGAGTAACTCGTTAGAGCACGGTTTGCAACAGAGTGCTAATACATTCACAGGCTCGAATTCTGCAAGATTAATAACCTCACTCAAGTCAAGAGGTCACGAAAAAAGAAGAAGACCAACAGCGAAGAGTCCAGCTTGGTGTCTGACTTCCATCTCGGACACTTAGTTGAAGAAGTTGCCGACATCTTGTATACGGGACAAAATGCCTCCGAGATCGTGTCCCAGACTGTGCAGGCGTCCTCATCGGAGCGTGCGCGGGCTGCTTCCTTTTCTAACGACAATCTGACAGCAGATATGTCCGTGATTATTCGAATCGAGCAGCGCAACTCTTGGCTCATTCGATCCTTGCCTGGCGCGTGGCGGAGAATCGTGATGAATCTTCTGGGCAACTCGATCAAATGGACCAAGTCGGGCTTTGTTGAAGTATCTTTATCAAAAATGAGGAACCCGATCGAGCCCCGTACGCCAATTGCGCATTTGTCAATCACCGACACCGGCAGCGGTATTGCGCCTGACTTTCTCCGACATAAGCTGTTCTCTCCTTTTACCCAGGAAGACTCCCTCTCGGAAGGAGTTGGGCTTGGTCTAAGTATCGTTCGTCAGCTAGTTGCTTCCTTTAATGGCCACGTGAACGTCAAGAGCGAGGTTGGTGTTGGGACTCAAGTCGACGTCTACATCCCAGTAGAACTTGTTAACACTCCAGAAACAAGCCCAGCATCTTGTCCGTCTCCTTTGAGAGTTGAACACGGCCCCGAATCACCGCTGCGAGCGTGTTTGGTTGCCTTTAATGGATATCCGGATTTGCAAGAAACGCCAACTGGAATGCTGAGTCTGGAATCGAAGCGAAAGTTGTCCATCCAGAGTACGCTTGCCGATGTGTTCATGTCTCACTTCGGTTGGTCTGTCTCTTTAGCGGAGACTCTCAGCAAAGGGCAGGGGGATATTGCAGTCATCGAAGAGGCAGTTCTGAGAAAGGAAGCGGAAGGTCTTGAATCACTGGATCAACTGGCCTTGATGCATGGGTTCAGGTTCTTCATCGTGTTGGGAAGTAACGCTTCGTTCTTTGAAACTTTCCTCGCTCCGAATTTCGTCTGGGTTTCGCAGCCGTGCGTTGTCAACTTTCTTGTTGTTTGTTGTTTTTGAAGTTTCGCTAACCAAAGGCAAACAGGTTCGGACCGCAGAAAATCCAAAGTGCGATTCAGAAGATTCTGGACTTGGGAAAACTCCAACCTGCGCCAGACACTCTCCCGTCGATGGCCCTTCGGCCCTTGCTTTTACGTTCCGAAATCCAGTCTTCCTCCACACCCGAGAGTCTGCCCATGACGATGCCTCCCTCTCCGGGTCCACGTCGGAGTCTCGCACACTCCCATGCCCTGCCGATCCGCCCATCCCACGAGCCGCGGGACGTCCACGTTCTTCTCGTTGACGACAACGACATCAACCTCAGGATCCTGGCTACATTCATGCGCAAAATCGGCTGCAGCTACGAAACCGCTTCCAACGGCCTGATCGCACTGGAGAAATACAAGGCCTCAAAACGGCGGTTCGACTTTGTTCTGATGGGTCAGTCTATCCTTATTTATGTGATTCCAAAAACATGTTCCCTAGCTGACCCCCGTCCTTCCAGACATCTCAATGCCCGTCATGGACGGCCTAGTTTCCACCAGCAAGATCCGCCAACACGAGAAAGAAACCGGTCTCGAACCTTCCTGCATCATGGCAGTCACCGGTGTCGCCTCGGACGCTATGCAACAACAAGCCCTCACAGCCGGGATTAACGACTATTTGATTAAGCCCCTTTCACTTCAAGAGTTGAAGAAGATTATGAGCGTTACGTGATACCATATTTAGTGGGCGTTTAGTGAATTTCAAAATTTTGATCAAAGCGTTGGTATCTGGGTTTATTTGTACCTCTCTATATCCTAATTAGTATCCTTGCATATCGTGATTACCTGAATCCTACTAGAGAACTGTGGCGCTGGTCAGTCCGGTCTCTGCGACATCTCTCTTTCGTTGATGAGGCTATTGCTTCAGCTTCTCGCTTGCTCGTAAATAGTTGTTAAGAACTGTTGGTCACTAGGTAGTAGGAGGCCAGCGCCCTCGGCTCACGATATGAGGATCTTCTCAAATCAACGGGTGTGCCTGTCTTCATTAGCAAGTGTTTTCGGCGTACCTATCTCAGTGGTGCGGCTGTTGCGTGAATATATAATTGAAATTCTGGCCCCGAAAATTGAATCCAAACAACCTAAACATCACTGCGAGATTCCTGTCGTTTCACGTAGAATTTTCTGATTATTCAAGGTCCCAACATTGTCGTCTTGACTATTTCAACGTCTTGCGCACTCAAAATTTCTGCAGTATCAGGTAGATACGACTCTTCTGCCTAAACGCCACAAGTTGACGCCCGTTGATCATTGCCAAATTTGTCATACTCTAAACCGGTGAGAACGGCGCCGTACCCTTCCTTGCTTGACTATTCACGCGTTTGTTTTTCAACTCAAACTTGAGATTCAGATTTCTCTTTGCCTCAGATCAAATATCAGAAGAACACCTTGATTTGACTGAACAATCTGTGTGCATCCGGCTCTAAATCTGGACTGCTTTCCCCGCACCCAAGGGTGTTATCGAATCTCTACTTTCGATCGCTCCGCCATGACCTCACAGGTAGAGACCGGTGTCTTCCAAACCATCGAGACGGTCAACAAAGACGAGCTCATCATCAGAGATAAACTCTATGGCGAGCACATCATCACTGAGCCTGTGTTGATCGATCTCCTCCAAAGCGTCGAGCTGTCGCGTCTCAAAGGTGTCTGTCAACATGGCGTAACGGCTCTCCTTGGTTTTGGCCCACGAGTCACCCGCTTCGAGCACTCTGTCGGTGCATTCTTGCTGGTCCGCAAGGTCGGCGCAAGCGTTGAAGAGCAGGTAGCTGCTCTTCTCCATGATATCAGCCACACGAGTCTCAGTCACGTTGTCGACTACGCACTGTCTCAGCCCGGGGAAGATAGTTACCACGAGGTTCACAAGTCTCGATATCTAAAGACCACTCAACTACCCAAAATCCTCACCCGGCATGGTTTTGGAGACCTCAAAGCTCTTGACGAGGAACTCTTCCCGCTCGTCGAACAGCCATCACCCCATTTATGTGCCGACCGGCTGGACTACTCGCTTCGTGATGCGCTGGCCTTTGACAAATTCAGTCTCAAATACATCCAGGAAGTCTTTCATTCATTGAAAGCGGTTCCTCATTCCACATCTCCCAATCGCATTCTTGCTTTGGAGGACCCCCAGCTTGCTTTAGCACTTGCTCGGTCATACTTGGCCACCGATCGAGACGTCTGGTCAAACCGATCACATGCAAACATTTACAAGAGAACCGGCCGAGTGATCAAGGAGCTGGTCCAATCTGGGCGTGTGAAGGAAGAGGCACTCTGGAACCTGTCCGATGAGGATTTCTGGGCATTGCTGCGTCGGGACGCACCCCCAGCGATCTTGCGTGAACTGGACAAGCTCGAAACGGAAGGTCTACCTGACGAGAACACACTGCAACTTCCTCGAGAGACAAAGATTCGGACGCTTGATCCAGATATTTGTCAGGAGGCTCAAGCGGAGCCCTTGCCTTTGTCGGTCGTTCTCCCTGAATGGGCTGCAGAGCGCCAGCAGTACATTGTTAGCCGTGAATCCACGCGAGAATAAGGCTTGCACAATGATCTATTCAACATTCATGGCTGAAGGTACTGCGTTTTGCGAAGAAATTACGAAAACAAAATTACCGAGAGGACGACAAGGAGGATCGAAATGCTTTCGTGAAGACAAATCCAATTGCTCTGGTTCTACCTACGTTAATAGGTAAAGGCAGCCTAGAAGTGTTCATGTCTTTTAGTGATTAGATCAAAAATCACGTCCTTGATGATAACATGAATTACTCATTAGCCCGCAAATATTTCCAACTTTATGTCCATGCCACCTGTAGCAATGATGCACATTTGCTCTATCACCTTCTTCGATCTACTTGTTTGTGCATCTTTGAGAATCTGAACCACCCCCGTCTGCCCATACTCCACGACGCAGCGCATCGAAGTGCGGCCACTGCTATCATGCGCAAGATATCTAGTCCACGTTCTCGAAGCCGCCGGACCATAGACTCGCTACCCGACCACGCTGCCATATGTAATGCTTTACAGCCATCAACATCCACATCTAGCATATTTGCCCCAGCCGCCAGGAGTACCTCCAGTCATTCGGCCGAACCACAAAGTGCAGCTTTCATAAACGGAGTACTACCTTAGGAATTTTGCAGGGTGATATCCGCACTGAACTTAAGGAACAGCCAGAGTCTTCTTTAACATTCTTTGTCTTTCCTATTCTCTCCAACGTATCACTGATACATATATCATGGTAGGTTGAAGGAACTCATGTCACTGATTTACAAAAGTGAAGGCCTACGCCACAGTGTGTCAACTTTTTTTCAATCTGATTCTCAGGGGAGAATGTACTTGCTGTCTGGAGAGCTTCACAACCATCGTGTTTGCAGGGTTTTGTATTGAGAATTCCTTTCTGAACTGTGTGAGAACCCTGAACTTGAGCAGCCGAAGCCGAAGGAATAAAACGATGTCACTGCTGCAGTCAACTTGTGTCTGATTAATGTGTTTCTAAGAAGAATACACCAGAAGGCCCACAGGGCTCCATATATCTTTCCAAGTTAACTTCGTTGCAAGCAGATTTCCAAAGCTCTCGACCTAAATAGCAAGATAGACAGACTTATATAAGCATTAACTCAATTCTTCGATCAGGACCAAGGATAACAGATGCAGAAAAGGCTGGCTCGTTTACAAAGCCGTATCGGTCAATACAAGACTTGCAGATCAGGTGTGGGATATCGGCTTTCAAGACACCGCTGAGATGGACGACATGGGCATAATTGGTCTAATGAGACTCAAATTGACCCCCAAGTTCGGCATTAAATTGCCGGCTCTCAATTTCCAGGATATGGCGCCGATACTAGTCTCCACCCAAAGATATGCGACTACTCAGATTTGCAACTACTCGGCCTTACATCCGTTGGCTGCCACTTTCACTGGCTCCCTGGATTTGAGAGTTGGTTTGTTTAACAACCAGCGACCCTAGAGGCTGTGGCGCGTTCAATCAATACGAACGATTCAATTCCTCAACTAACATCAAGCCTGGAGGCTGGTACATTCGATACGTTTATTCTGGTGATTCATGCGGCTCACTAGATGGATGCACTCCTCTCGGGGTATTCCTTGGTGCATTTACCAAGGACTATCTTGACATTTGCAGTATCCAATTGAAGCCAGCACCATTTTGGCGGACGTTCCTGTGACATTGCGCCTAATCTAGGGTGTAATCGTTCAAACAATTCGGCTATCCGGTGTCTACGAATGCGTTCACTGCATAAGCGGCCAGAGGACCGACGCAGTAGCCTTCTATTTAATGCAATGAGCCTGGAAAGAGCGAGCAAAGAGGGACAGAGGGTGACACTGAAGGTGTAAATTCCCATGTGATAGGTAATGTCTGCTGGACAAGATACCGATACTTACATGCATGAAATATCTACCTACCGACGCAGTCTAGAAGCTACATTACCACCAAAAGACAGACTGTAGAGAGAACATGTTACTCGAACCTTGGAAAGCAGATATCAGGAGAGACAAAAAACCCCGCTATCCACGGTCATAAATTCAACAAAACGTGCACATCTCACTCGACGATGATACAGAGAAGGAAAAAAAAATTAACACCCAATCCATCTCCTTCAAACCCTATTTACATAAACAACTTGGTGCGAGGAAAGAAGAAAGGAAAAACGCAAGAGGAGAAGAAAAAAGCGCACTTGACAACTAGAGAACTAAACTGGAAAACACACAGCGCCACCTAGCACGCAACAAGCAACACAAAGGTAAAGGCAGGCAGACCGAAGTAATGACGAGGATGCATCATAGACCGTCTCACTACACACAGCCCTTATTTAAGGGTAGAAGAAGATAGGTGACGGGGGAATAGAGGAGCAACGATTGGAAGGGATGGCGGTGATCCGTAGGGGTGGATGTGAGTAACGAGAGGGGGGTCGAGGAGTTCGGAATTGAGACGCATGATGGAGATGTGAGAATGAGAAAGAGAGGGCAAGTCGATCGAGGATAGTAGATAAGGACGAGGAGACATGGACAAGGACGAGAACAAGTGTGGAGAGCGATAGTTGAATATGGGAGTAGGGGTATAGAAACGAAGAGAGTTACTAGAGCTAGAAGGGGGATGCAAGTGTTGAAAGATGAGAAAGAAGCCCGGAAAAGAATTTACCTGCATTGCATTGTACAACGGCGCAGAAGTAAAGCAGGGGAGGGGTTGGGGGGGTATCTCTCTATTCCTGTCCAAATCCGAGCGTCTCCTCCACCGCGATGGACATCTTGTGCTCCAGGGCCTCGTGGGTCTTGTACGGAGGCAGATCCAGACGGTTGAAGCAAGTGTGAGACTTGGGCAGCGCCGCAGGGTCACCCGACTTCTCGATGGTGAACCGTCTCGGTCCATCCGAACCCTGCAGATCCTTGAAACCATTGACTGGGATACGCGAGGTACCGGTGGTGAACTGGAGCAGACGCGACTTCTGCTCGGCATCCCAGCTGCGAACGATCTTCCAGAAGTTCTGGATAACCTCATCCTGCTCCTGGTAACCGCGGTAATCGGTGTGCTTCTTCCAGTCATCGACATCGATATCGGCAATACCACCGATGAGCAACTCCAGCTCACGCTCGTCGAAAACGTTGACAAGGTCTGCCGGGATCAACTCGTTGAATCCGGACATGAATGCGTTGAACTGCTCCTCGACTCGCTTCATGATCTTCCATTCCGTCACGAGTTCAATATACTGCGGCTTGTTCTCGTTGGTGACGGGAATGTCCCGACCACCGGGTATCAAGTCAATAGTGCGACGCTCGCCAAACTTCTCATCATCCACGGAGAAAGTGAGTTCAACAATTCCCTCAATGTCATTATCCCTGTGACAAAAGTCAGTATGAGGTCAAAACGATGATCTTTACCAAAGAGAGGGCGAGGCAAATCTTACAAGGTCCACGCCAAGTTGCGATGCAAATCCTCATCGACACCCTCCATGTCTTGTAGCGTCACCTTCTTTCGCAACATCATCTTGTAGAAGGCACCGATGAAGAACGAGTCCAGGAAACGGCGATGGAAAATTGCCAAGCCGACTACTCGGCCGATGAACTTGAAGTAGTTCAGATGCTCAGGGTTCACGCCAGAGTGGGGATTAATTTGGAGGGTATAGTTGTCGTGAGCGGAGTATTCGAAGAGACAGTAGAAGGGATTGAACATTTCGTGGGAAAGAAGGAAGAAGAATTCACTATCAGAGAGTCAGACGTTGCACAAATTGAAGATATGTAAGAGATTTCATACCGAGAAAGACCGCCATAGTCGAGACCATCTTCGCCGTCAAACTTGATCATCAAGCGCTTCTTGAGGTCGGAGGCGCTCTGACGCATAATCTCGGCGTACGAATCCTCAAAGATATTATTACGGCGGACCTTAACGTGGCACTGTCCAGACATAATCCGTAGGGCAGGTTGCGAGCGGAAGTAGATCAACTTGCGACGGAAGTCACGCTTGTACTGCGGAACACCCTGATCCAGTGATGAAGGCAGTCGAGGATCGTCCCAAGTAGTAGTCTTGGTATTGTGATCCACAAAGTAGACACGAGCAGTATTGGTGAGACGCATTTCCCAGCCGCTGGGCAGAGGCCCGAGTTGAGACACGGGCTGTTGCTGAATAGTAGTGTTGTTTCCGCCTTGGTTCTGGTTTTGTCCGTACATGCGGATGTACTGCTGTCGGCGAGGATCAACCCAGGTCGTAGTTCGCGTATTATGATCAACAAAGTACGCTCGTCCTTCCGGGGTTTGTCTTTGCTCCCATCCTGGCGGAAGCTCTCCAGTGCCTGCAGTGGTTGCTCCCGTGGCCATCATGGAGACCGCGTTGGCATGAGAGCCTGCTGCGCCAGCGGCACCAGCACCAGATGCAGCGGGGGAGGGAGCTGCGGAACCAGGTGGTGGTGTAGCAGGCTGTTGGCCGTCGGGCAAGTTGGGGGAGTTGGCGCCGGTGCGATCTTCGGGGAGCATTCGGCTTTGGTGAGCGCGACGCTCCAGTTGCATGTTCGCCTCACGCTGGCTGCGCTGGGTGTGTTCGTTGTAGTTGGCAGATGGCCGCGACCAGGTCGTGGTGCGCGTATTATGGTCCACGTAATACGTCCGTCCTAAGTTATCTTCTCGGCGTTCCCATCCGGCAGGTAGTCGACCTTGACTGTCCTCGAATGAACTTAAATTGGCGCGCGAAGGAGCATTGGCGCCAGGCGGGGCGGATCCATTTGGAGCACCGGGCGGGGGTCCAGTGGCGGAGGGCCGGTTGTTGAGCGATGAGCTGGACGCAGCTGGAGGTGTATCGAGATGGCTGGGACCGGCTTGTGGTGTGGAAGTCGAAGCCGCGACCTGGGGCACGAGACCGCTGGAGGTGGACGACTGTGCCTGCTGACGTTGAACTCCGTTGCCCTGGTTTTGGGTCGTGGCAGTGAGGTTAGTCGACAAGTTGATGATTAGTTTCCCGTGGACGACAAGGTTGTCGTTTGATTTTTTGAGGTCCCGAGTAAGCATTTCTACAGTGAAGCGAGAGACGGGGGTTAGCTTTCATGCGGTCTTGACTTGACAATCGAATCGGGGGTGATCATCCCAACTTACCATCACCACCCATCTGAAGATCGATGACATCGCCGATGCGCACATTGATCACACCCAAGAAACCTTGATCCTTCTTCTTGAACTTCTTTTGATCAAAGATCTGAATCGCAAGGATACTGTCTTCGTTGACTCGCCTGACACCATCAAACCCCCGGTTAATAAACACGACTCGATCTCCGACAAGAAGTGGGGTCATTGACGACATACAGGTCAAAGGGCTCATTCCAGTATGGGTTTAAGGTCTTCTTAATCACAGAAGTCGTATGAGTTTGCTCGCCGCCAACGGTAGCCACCGCGAAGGGATCGGGGAAACCTAGAATGAAGAGGGATGGGTCAGCAATGCAACCCCGCTTGACGCCATGATGTCTGGTAATTCGAAAGGAGGAACCACGTACGGAAGACATCGCGCTTGTAAAGACCGTCTGCAGCGATAACTATATCGAGAGAAAAAGGGGGGATAATTAGCATATGGTTTCGAGGATTGCGGTCGACCAGCCCCGCAACATCCCGCTCTGGGATGCAGGGCGAACAAGGAACAAGGCAATCTTACTCGTGACTCGAAGATTTGGCTGGCTAAAATTCGAGAATATTAGCATTGAGGACGTGAACAGATGTTTCGATCGGAAAGTGAGGACTACTTGGTGTCCAAGTAAAACAGGATGAGGGGGGTGGGTGGGAAACGTACGTTGGCAGATTGGATGCCATGGTGGTGGCCCTAGTTGCTTCACGAGCACACCGTTCGGTGCGAAAGGCCGATCAATGAAGCCCAGGCCGAGAGACCGAAGCGCACATCCACGAGCGGCGGAGTCGTGGCGATAGAGTCGCAAAGTTGTGATATTGCCCTAGGAGGAGACCAAGGCGGTGGATGTGAAATCTCGCGGGAGAGGGGGGGGGAGGAGGGAGAAGTGCGTGTGCAGTGGTGATGTTTAATGAAGATCGAAGGAGGAGAAGAAGAGGGAGGCTTAGTGTTCAGTGCTGGTAAGGGCTGGTACGAGTCATCGTGCTTAGTCGTACTAAATGTCTCTTCTAGGCAGTGCTCAGTTCGCGTATTGATGGTATGGTACTGTATTTGATACTAGTCTCCCGCAGGTACTCCGCCTACGTAACGACTATGAAATGTGGTCGTATGAGGTACTTGACTGGTACATAACTGAGTTTTTCAGATTGCTCATGATGGGTAAGAACAAAAAGATATTACTAACAAGTATACATGAAGGACTCCTTTCATTGAATCTTACTGCTTGATAACTGGGGCTGAGCAACACATTAGTCGTTGCCATGGGCTAGACCAAATCGGGCATTTGTCGAGTCCACCTAGCCACAATCCAAATGCGATATCAGCCACTGATGCTTCGTCTAGATATCGTCGGGTTAACAGTTTGCCATACAGTGTCTATGTAGGGCAGGTTATCCACTGCTCTGCATGACCAAACGGAGATGGCGATGCACAAAGAGAATTATCCAATTTGAGCTAGTTCCATTCCCAATTTCTCCATACTTGCTGAGGGCATGTTGTTAGTCTCCGCGATCAGATCAGGCTACGGATCTGACGGTCTAGTGACACGAGCAACAGTCTTGGAACTTGGCAGTTAAGAATGCGATATAACTATCATATAGTTATGCACAACGGCCCATCCGATCAACAAATAATCGGATTTACTGCGGAGGAAAAAAAACCGGTCAGCCCTGGCGGGTGCGTGCGGGAAAGCCAGTGGCAAGGTCTGATAATAATAGACCAAATGCCATCATACAACGGCCCTGGGACTTTGTCTTGTTGTTCTGTACCCTTTTCGGGGGGCTAGTTTGAGCTTGAAATATTATCTAGGCAGCGAAATTAAATGCTGACTACGGGTACGAAATACCTACCACAACGAGTTGGGTACTCAGCGCCCAGACCGATTTAGTTTTATTCCAGTACCTTTTGCGATGGAGTCCCAATACTGCCAGCCTGTCCTGCGCATGAATTCCATGCCAGCAAGTACCGTAGTTTACTATCCATATCCTCCACGATTTACACTCCACACCCAAGCTCAATATACGGAGTACTATCAGCTGATATATCTAATTGTCAATTATCTGGTGTAAAAAAGAAAGACAGATACAAAAAAGTAAAATAATATCCCCATCATTTCCTAAATTGCCCCAAGCCACCCCATCATCATAAGAGGGCCGCGCTTGATGGGCCCGGCGGTTATTGTACATCCATTTGACCCACAACTCCAAAGCCACGCATACACCGGCCCAGATGTACCCAGTGGCAGAGAGAACCAACCAGTTCATGTCCCATTTGAAAACTTGCAGGAGAGAAAGAGAGAGAGGGAGAGAGAGAGAGCGAGAGGAACTGGGAAGCCAAGTGCCGCCGGGACATTCGGATGAGATGTTGTGGGGCTGATCCATATCCTTTCTTGTGCCCACCCAATCCCTCTTCGTCCCCGTGTCCCTGCGGACATAGGGCATCCAGAAGTGATATTGTTCGAGTAAAGCTGCATTGCTAAGCCACGGCGCTTAGTAGGGAGCATAGCCACGACCCCGACCCCGATATCCACCCCGGTAGCTGCCACGGGGACCACCACGCCCACGGCCGCCACGGAATCCACCCCGTCCACGACCGCGGGTCATGCCAGGGAGGTTGGTACGCTTGGGAGTGACCTATAGAAAAGGAAGGATATATACGTTAGTCTCACGAAGCATGGTCTCGGCACGAATTTCTCGGAGAAGTGCCAAACTCACCTTCAGGTTGCGGCCACGGAAGACACTCTCATTCAGAACCAAAGCCTGGGCCACGAGACTGGGCTCAGCAAATTCCACGTAGGCATACCTGTATAGTCAAATGTCAGCTTCTGCAATTTTGTAAAGGTTTCGTTTCCAGCCGTTATCGAACGCACCCCTTCGGCTGGCCGGAGAATTTGTCCAACAAGATAGTCACCCGGTTGATAGAACCGCAGCTCTGGAAATGCGCCTGGATCTCCTCGGGCGAAGCACCGTAATCAACATTTCCGACGAATATACTCCGCGCATCAATGTCTTCTTTGTTTTCCTGGAGACCCTCTGACTGCTGGTCCAGCGTCTCTTGCATGTCGCGCAACTTGGCAGCCTCGGATTCCATCTCAGCGACCCGGCGCTTCATCGCGGCAATCTCCTCCTGTGAGAAAAAAAAAGATATGATGTCAGCTGGATCCGTAAAGCTGGTTTCTCGTGATCGTAGATCGAAGCTTGGTTGCGCCGAACCTGCAGCTGCGCCGCGCAGGGCTCCTACGTACCTCATCGTCAAGACCCTCCTCCTGAGGGGGAATCTGCTCCTCCTTCAACTCCGTGCTCTCAGCAGACATAATGGCGGAAGCTGGAGGTTGTATATGTGGCGGGCGGAGGGTTGGCTCAGTTGAATGAAGCTTCTCGGAGATGAGAGCAGCAATCGGAGCTCTAGGACCAGGCGATGGGAACGAATGTGCAAGGACCAGAGGCGAGGAATTTGTGTTGGAAAAAAGGTGAAGACAAAAAACAGATCTAAGATAGATTGAACAAAGGATTGTTGGGCACAAAGAAGAGCTATTCAACGGAGATCTTTGCGGGGCGGAAGGAGATATGAGGCGCGCGATGAAATTGGGACTTGGATGATTGCCGTTTCGGGACTAGTGGGTCTCTGCCTCGATTTGTGACGAATGCCTAGGTCGGCACCTCATGGCTACCGATGAAACCAAACTCGTTCGGCTCAAATTGACTTGAATGATTAAAATTCTAGACAGCTGGAAAAATTGAGATTTAAACATGGACATACCGTATCCATTGGGAGGCAGACTTCAAAAACAGCCAAGGGTTCCACGAGTGCAGTCCGCATCTAGGCAGAAAGAAACCCATGAGCAAAGACTATATACAAGCGATCGATATAAGAACAATCTCTACACGTTGCCCATGATTGACCTGAACCGAGGTATCAAAAATTGAATTGACGCAAAAGATCCAAACTTGCTAGGATGACAACAAAATGAGGGAGCGGATAGGAAGAGGACTATATACACGGGAGAGAGGGATAGACAGGGAGAAGAAAAGGGATAGAAGTGAATCAGGATGCTGGTGCCGCCACTGGTGCAGGAGCATGACTCTTGCGGTATGAGACCTTCTCGACCGACACGTTCTCAACACCGTTGGCGTCGGTTTTGAGTTGATATACGTAGAGCACCAGAACATCACCCTGGATCTGTTTCCCTTGTCAGCTTACGCCCCAAGATTCTAGAGACACGGCAAGCATCACTTACGTCCATCAAGCAGAAGCTCGGGGTTGGCTCTTCGCCCTCCGGCCAGAAGCCCGAGCTCATAGCGCCCGTGGCACTACCCGGGTTGATAAAGAAGCGTCCCTCCATCTCAAATGCCTCGAACCGGTGAGTACCGCCCCAAAGCAAGATGTCAACGTCCATCTGTCGGGCCGCGATCAGCAGCGCATCCGCATCGCCGGGCGGGATGATCGTATGTCCGTGAGTAAAGCCGATGCGCAGGCTACCGTGATTTACGACCTTGGAAAGCGGCAGGTTGGGGGAGTCGACATCGTAGTCGCCCTTGACCATTTGCAAGTCCGGGGCGACCTGGCGGAGGAACTCATATGTATCGCGATCGGTCAAGTTACCCAGGCAGAGGATTTGGCCGATCTTGCCGGGGGTCAAGAGTTTGCGGAACTAGCAAGGACGGGTGCGATTAGCTGGGTTCAAGGCGACTATGGTTATTGTAGGGTGACGTTAAGTACCTTTGCGGGGAGGTCCTAAGAGAGATATGGGTTAGCTGTCAGGTTCCGGGAAGCTCTGATATCACGGGCGCCTAAGCTTATGGATTGGAGACTCACGGGAGCTCGGTCAGGGATGAACAGGTCACCAATAACCAGGACCAGACGGGCGGTCATGCTGGGCTAGTGGGGGGTGGGTAATGGAAGATCGGAAATTCAATGGGCCATTCCAGTTCAGGGGGGTCCAAGCAAATCCAAGCAAGGTCCAGACAACAGCAGCGATAGCCAGACGCGGCGATAGCATGACGGGGAGCTTCGCGGGGAAGCCACGAGCGACGAGCCCTAAGCCCTAAGTTGCCTATCGAATCTAGTCTAGTGTCGCCAGCGGATGCGGTCCCGATCCACGTCCAGCATCCCGATCTTTCTGGGCATTGGTTCGTCAGGCCGAATTATCTCTCCCGATTGCTGTTCGGTTTGATCTGTCCAATCTGGATCAATAGGTCATGGATGAGTTAGCGTTGATGATTGTTGCGCGGAGGTCGCCGCGCGGCTGGACGAAAACTAGTAGGGTGGAACTATGGACGATGTAGTAGGACAGCATATACAGCGAACGTTATAGAATGCAGGCAGGGGTCAATGGCAGAGAAGATCATATCTTCATTTACTATAGAGGATCCGAAGTACGAAATGGAAACTGCTCGATCAAGATTAGGCAGGATATATGCAATTCTACCACGAAAAATAACTAAATATACGAATCTAGCTGGTTCTATACCTTTGAATGCATCCGACTTGATAGCAACAAGCAAATTGTTAGCTACAATAAGTGCCCAGATCTTCATTTCTTAACGTAAGAATTGCTCTCCCACTCCGATTTACCCCAGATTCATCTCCTCACCGGGAGCTCCTCTGAGAATAGGCGCTACCGCGTAGGCTGTGGCATCCAAGGACGCAGTGTATACCACGAGAATCTCCCGGCCGGTAGGGTCCGGCCGTCGACTTTCCGCGACGGACAAAGGAGAACTCGAAATTTGTTGGGGATGGCAGGAAAAGCCAGCACCTCATCTTCATAAATACTTCCCCAGAGTCCTCCTCGTCCTTATCTTCATTATCCATCTTGACTTGAGATCTCAATCCCCATCTCAAGTTCTATATTGCCTCTCCTTCTCATACCTCCTCTGCAGCCAATCGCTGCCCTCCCATCCTTCCCCCCCTATCGGCGGCGATCCCCGAACCTTCGAAGCCTGTTTCCCTCGGGAATTCACGAGCAAGCCAACCCCTCCAACCAGACCAGTAACCCCGCGGCAACCCCGCCGCAAATCGGAAAAGCTGGCTCCCACATCGACGACGCAGCGTCTCAGCCTGATCTCCAGACACCTGGACCAGCGCCTACCGTTGCCTGAGCTTAACACTCCCTTCTCGACCGAGAGAAACTCCCTGGCTCCCGACGACGTCGAATATAAACCTATCGATCGCTCCATTGCTTCTTCTCCTACGTCCAAGTCGCCCACCATGTCTACTCAAGCCCCTCACAACACTCTGCTCATCCCGGGCCCCATTGAGTTTGACGATGCCGTGCTCCAGTCCATGTCCCACTATGCGTGAGTCACTCTCGTTTCAATTGCGACGTCAATATTCCAACATCAATTGAAGACTAACGATTGCCTTTCTCCGAATCTAGTGAGAGCCACGTCGCTCCCGGCTTTGTCAAGGTCTTCGGCGAGACCTTGACCCTCCTCCGCAAGCTCTTCCAGTCCACCAACCCATCCGCCCAGCCCTTCCTCATCGCCGGTTCCGGCACTCTGGGTTGGGACCTGGTCGCCGCCAACCTGATCGAGCGTGGCGAGAATGCCCTCGTCCTCAACACCGGTTACTTCGGCGACTCCTTCGGTAACTGCCTGACCACCTATGGCGCCGAGGTCACACACCTGCGCGCGCCCATCGGCGACCGCCCCTCCTTCGAGGAGATCGAGGCCGCCCTGAAGCAGAAGCCTTACAAGCTGGTGACCGTCACGCACGTCGACACCTCTACCGGCGTGCTCAACGACATTAAGCGCGTGGCCGAGGTCGTCCGCCGCGTTAGCCCCGACACCCTGGTCGTGGTCGACGGCGTGTGCAGTGTCGGCTCGGAGGAGATCGCCTTTGACGAGTGGGACCTCGACGCGGTCGTGACCGCTTCGCAAAAGGCCATCGGCTGCCCTCCCGGTCTGAGCATCGTCTACTGCTCCGGCCGCGCTATCCAGCGCGCCCAATCCCGCCAGACCCCACCCGCTTCCTACTACGCCTCCATCGCCAACTGGCTCCCCATCATGCAAAACTACGAGGCCTGCAAGCCCTCTTACTTCGCTACCCCGCCCACCCAGCTCGTTCACGCCCTGCACACTACCCTCAGCCAGATCACCGCCCGCCCCATGTCGGAGCGCTTCGCCATCCACACTTCGGCCTCCGACAAGGTCAAGGCCGCCATTGCCGAGATCGGCCTCGCCCAGGTTGCCCCCAAGCCCGAGTGCCAGGCCCACGGCATGACTGCCATGTACCTGCCCGACGGTCTGTCCCCGCCCGACGTGCTTCCCGGTCTGCTGAAGCGTGGTGTGATCTTCGCAGCTGGTCTGCACAAGGAGATTGCCACCAAGTATATCCGTTTCGGCCACATGGGTGTCAGCATTTCGGATCCCAACCGCAATGATATTGACAAGGCCCTGGCGGCACTGAAGGAGGCTTTGGCTGAGGCTAAGCAGGCCAAGGGATTGTAAATGGTATACCCATGAGAGATTGGTACCTTTGTGTAATAGGTTACGTGTCCATAGAATGCAATGAATGACCTGACTAGATATCAACGATCCGTGTACAGACTGCTAGGGAGCGGAGAAATTTAACTACAGACGGGAAAGTACTAGGATCAAGATACTAGACACTTGTGCTACCCGTGTGAGTATGTACTTGGCCTTCAACCTTGGGCAAACACTTCATGGGGAAGTTGCGAGTACCTAGCTCTGCGATCACTAACTATAATTACCGATATAACTCGTCACGTCTACCTGCTACAAGCATCCACATCACAAAAGCACAACGTTCGCATTATGATTAACATTACCAGGCCCTATAAAGCCGAATGCCATGCTCAAGAAACAAAATCTTACATCTGAAGTCCCACCATGAACACACAGTCCTCATCTAAAACAAGACCCCCAATGCCAATCCCAAGAACGCAACCCACCCACCGGCGGCCTTGACAGCGCCAGCCGCCGCTCCCGATGACGCACTCGCAGTCGCCTCCAGGCCCGTCAGCGACTTAGTTGGCTCCGAGCTCGACGAGCTCGAGGTGGCCTCGTCGCTGGTTTCCTTCAGTCCGCTGGGGAAATCGGTGGAATCTGAGGCGAAGGATGAGGAAACTGGGGAGGAACTGGGGGAGTCAAAGCCGGCAGTGGAAGAAGGGGTGGAGTGGGTTGTTGTCGTGTCGTAGGCTTTGGCGTTTGCGCAGTTTTGCTGGCGGATTGTTTGGGCGCCGATGCGCTCGGGGAGTTCGGGGCAGTTGTTGTAGCAGCTGTTAGGGAGAGTCCAGGTTAGTTATATGCAGATATAGATGGTGAGAGTAGTTGGGAGGTGAGAGTAGGTAGATATAGAGAGACGGGAATAGGGTTGGGAACATACTTGACAACGTTCGTGCTACCGATGCATTGGCAGTCCCAGTCGTATGTACCGCAGTTTTCGAGTTCGAATCTCATGTTCTGGACACACTGGTCGACGACCCTGTGAGAGTGGGTTGTTAGCATCGGACATCGCGCTCTATGGAGATTTGTTGCAGGGTTTCCCGACTTACTTTTGCGCAGCACATTTAGTCGATGATGTGCTCACGGAACCACTTCCAGTAGTAGTCGACTCTCCAACGACAATAGTCGCCGAAGCAGCGAGGAGCAGGGGGAGCTTGGTGGCGATGAAACGCATGTTGATGGTAGATACTGTGTATAGGATCACGAAAGTAAAACGGATGGATGAGGATGGATGAAAGGTGATGGAGGACACAAAAGATGCAAATTGTTCAACCAGAAGCCAGGGAGGAGTTGCATGATATAGCATTTCTGGGCTTCTAGTTCAAGGGGAGGTATAGCTAGGCATTGCATTCTTGTGTCGTTGAAAACAAGGTTGAGTTGCCCTGTCGATCTTGGTCTTATTGCGGCCGGACTTTTGACAAGGGCCAATAATGGAAGGGGAATGTCTCTATGGATATCAACTCCGTGGTTTCCGAATGAGGGAAACTGTCGGAATCGGATGTATAGAGATTGGCGGCAACTGGCCTGGAAGACTAGAGCTGACAGTGGACATAGGGCGATCAACCCGGGAGCATTAATATTTAGTTGTGGCTGGCAAGGTTGGTAGAAAACAGCTTTCCATGAGATAGATTAATTCTACCCGAATGGGCAGGGTCATTCCTCCAAGCATATCTGCCGGGGGCTGTTAGATGAAGAAGGGTCCTTTCTGGTAGAAAAGACACGTTGGAAGTAAATTACTCGTGTTCTTTAGGCATTCCACCGTGAGTCTGGGGATATACATTCCAGAAGGGACCTTACCCCTGGCGGGCTGGCCAATCAAAGGCCTGGCAGACTTCTTCTGGAATGTGAATCAGTCGGCTATTGTTAGCATAGTAGGATAAGATTGAGTCGGATAGGTAGCCGAACACGTAGGGAAGGGATAACACTGTCATGAGCGATTCGATGACGGAAGCGCAACTGGTTTGACGGCATGCAAATTAGCATTGCAGGGTTGTTTCCTATCATGTACAGTATTAGGTACGTTGACCTTGTAAACTACAAGCTAATCATGGGATTCTTCAAGATCGGTTTTACCTAGAGAATCCAAATGAATGTACTGTAACAAAGAACAACAATTTCTCTCCTCACTACCGGGCATTGCAGAATTGCTCTAGAATCCAGATTAAATATCTACGACTAGCTTTTGCTCAGACCATCTTTGGCGACTGCTGCTACTTCTTTACATGGCCGTACGGACGCCTATCATATTCAGATGCAATACTCTAACTCTTAAAAGAAGTCTCCAAGTAAAAAGATCGAGTTGAACCCATGCGATGGCCGCCTCTGGAAGTCGCGTGGCACGGTTTGCGGACCAGATGCTACTTCTACCTCTTGGAAGCGGTATGTCTAGGCCTACTGATCTCTTGCATGACGCTAGTAGATGGCTATACTCAGGCCGGACTATCGGGCGAATATCAGATGATGCTGCGCTTGAAACGATTGGAGTTGTGTGGAAAGCTATGTTCTAGATAAGATTATACAATTATCAATATTAATATAGGAGATTGGATATACACAACACGCTAATAACACCTCACCAACCTATTCTCATGCATTTTAACATTTACATCACCCATCACCCATTACCTCAAACCCCACCTACTACACCTTTCTCCTCTTAACATTCCTCCCCCGGGTTTCGTTCTCAACCTTTTCCGCCTTTCCGACCTTTAGAGCAGCCTCATCGCGCACCTTCTGCCGAGTCGCTGTCCGGGCAGCATTTTTCGGACCTTGGCCCTCGAAATAGCCCGACAAGGCGATATTGCGTAGCACGTAGCCGGTTTTTTCAATGTCAGTGTGGGAGATGGGTGTCGATGGAGATTTGGATTCGGCTTCCACGGCGCGGTTGAGACGATCGTGGAGTTCCCAGCTTGCATCCCAGAGTTTGCGGTATTCACCGATGGTGTATTTGAGTTTTAGTTCGCTGTTGGGATATCTGAGTTTGATGTTTGGTGAGCGGGGACCACGGTCTTTGCCGTCGGATTTTTGCTCCTTCTCGGCTGCGTCTTCTTCTTCTTCGTAGTCGTCTTCCTCTGGTTCGGGGAACTCTTGCAGGCATAACCAGGCGAAGACGTCGTCGCTGTAGAATGGGACTTGCTGCTTCGGATTGCCGGTAGCGGTGGCCATTGAGAGGATCAGCGAGGCGGTGGCTACACCAACGCCGCGGAGGGGGCCGAAGGCGTCTATACTTGGTCTGGGGAAGGCCTCGTTCGGCGCGAGTATAGGATCTTCAGTCGAAAGGGCGGCCATGGCAGTAGAAGAACACTGGATCACATTCTTATTCTGGTTTGACTTGACCATCCCCATGAGAGTTGGACGGGGAGTACCATGTTTCCTGTGCATAACAGTGAGTGCCTTGATCAAAGCCGTAAACTACGCAAAGTAAAGTCCAACTCACGTCTTCCATTCCATGACGGTAATCAGATCATCCCTATTCAACACCTCGCCATTCTTCTTCTCCCGCCTCTCCCCCATAATCTTGGGCATTTCCTCGTACCGCCACCGATCCAGCTTCAACAACTTGTCCGTCTCTTCCTTGATATACTCTTCCTCCGAAGCAGTAAACTCGGTCTTCTGGAGCGACACCGCACCTTGCGAGCTGGCTGAAACCGGGTTCGTCTTCTTCTCGGCTTTTCGCTTCGGGCCCTTCTCCGGCTTGGGCTGCAGCTTCAGCATGGCTTTGCGCCGGTGCACTTGCTCGACTGTGGTCTGGTAGCACGAGAGAAGGCGGCGGAATGTGGAGAGCGTCATGCGGTGCGGGTGGAAGGTGATCTCGTCGGAGGTGGCTCCTTCTGAGTCGTACTCGGGCCTAGAGTCGGATTTGGAATCGCCTACAGAGGCACCCGAGGCGGCTTCGCCGGGGCCGATGATTTTCTCGACTGGTTCGAGTGTCTTTGCTTGCGCGCCAGCCTGGGCGGCAGCGATATCGATCTCCATGATAGATTCGTGGTTTCAAGCGCTGTGAAACTCGCGAAATTGACCTTTTGCTGAGGAATTGCGACGTTTAGGGCGTAGCTGAAGGTCCAGTTGCCGAATTTATCACACTCGCGATGCTGAAGTTCAGTTGGTAACCCTTTGGGGTATCAAGATAGACCCACGACGAGATGTTATCGCGATAAAGCTACATCAACGGCAAACACTGCAAACTTGATGCCTAAGGCCACACCATGGTTTTGCAATCATTCAAGGGCATTCTCATCAAAAGAACCCTAGAGATGCATAAATCCAGTAATGCATACACTAAGAGGCAGACGAACCAGTGTTTTTATTTCAATATTCTTCCCAAACTATTGTCCTCAGATCAGACTATCAGAAGAGCAAATAGAACACTATCAGCTCAAGTCAGAACCCACACTGGACAGCCTCCTATCCAAGAAAAAGAAATGTAATCAAAACCTCATAATTCTATACTCTCAAGCTATCACATTTTTAATCTTTATTCTCGTGCATGAACCAGAGAAAAAGAAAACAGAAAACAGAGAAAGTACGCCTATGTACAGAACCCCCAACACAGCCCAACCCAGCAAACCAGAAACCAAAGAACCATGCCGGCCGTAAAACAGGTCTTCATTAGAAGGGAAGCGGGAAAACTGCCCGGGGGGAAAAGACAAGACAGGAAGGGAGAAGAGGAAGAGGAAGAAGAGGTGGTGGTAGAAACACAATATCAAAATACAGACGATGTCATGAAGGTGTTGAAGCAGGGTAGTCAAATCAGGGAAGGGGGGGTGTCATCATCCGTTTCTCACGCGTGCGTTCTTTGCCTGATTGGACCGGACCAGCCATCGTCAAGATGGGGGTGTAGGTGGCCAAGCAAGAACGAAAAGGGAAATTAAAATCAAGATCGGTAGGGTGTAAATGGGGTTTTTATGAATAGAAGGCCGAGTTGGCATGGTACTTGGGTATAAGCACCGTGCGCACTGGTATAGAGGGGAGTGTGTGGTGAATCATGGGGTCCATGAGTTGCAAACGGGTTTCGCAGGAAAGCAGCACTAGTTCGACTGGGGAGGCTTTTGTCCGTTCGAGCGCTTCAGCTTGGCTTCCTCGCTGCTAGGGTGCACAAAGCTCACTTGCTCCTCGTCACGTCTACGGTCACCGAATGTGGGAACCATGGACATTTTCTTGGAGCGATTTTGCTTCATCGGCTTGGACAGCGTTGGGGCAGCCTGGGGACCAGGGTTTGTCAACGACGGACCGGGCTTGGCTTCGGTGGTAGCAGCAGACGGAGCACCAGCGCGCTCGTCATCCTCAACTTCGATGTGGCGGAACTCCTGTTCCTCCTCGTCAGCCTCGGAAGAACTTGGGCTGTCAGAGTCCGAGGCCGCCTCGTAGTCGTCCTCGTCATCGCTGACCAGGCTGGGGGCTTGGTTAGACTCCAGCGCATTAGGACTCAGGTTGACCGAGTGGTCGAGGCTGTCACAATCACGGGAGGAGTCGGTCAGCGAGGGATGAGGCCCACTGGGAAGCGAGGAGAGATCGAGGAACGATTGCTGGTACGGCGGACGGGAAGGAGTCAAGTCTGGCAGGTCATGAGGCTGTCTGTCGACACCCTTACGACCCTCCGGCCGCTGAAGAGCAGCTTTCGCTGTCGGGGTGCGCATGGGATGACGAGCAGCGGGAACGCCCTGCTGAGACGATGACTGGTTGGTTGCCGTAGACTGGTGTCCCGATTCGTCGGCATCGGAGTCGTCGTCATAAAGACCACTGAGATCGACGGACGTCTTAGCCTCTGCCACGAGCTTGTCCATGTTCAAACCAAGGCCGCGATCGCGCATGAGCGCAGACAGATGCGGCGTAGCGGGTGAGGCAAGGAAGGAAGGATTCCTCGTAACCTTGACTGGCTCGGGCTTGGACTGGACTGTAGCAGGCGGAGTGGCAACCGCGACAGGTAAATTGACTGACGAGGGTCTCTGAGGCGTAGCCGACTCCTTTGCAGGAGTAGGAAGTTGACCAGAGCGAATCAACGGATGCACAAAGCCGGGGGTCTGAACACTGCTGCTCGACTCGCTGCGAGGAGCGGTCCCACCGACAATAGCGCCCGCATCATCGACTTCGACCGGTTCACCCGAAGCCATCGCAGCAGCGTCATGGCTGGCAAAGTTCCGATTGTGCGCAATACGGCAGTGATTGATGAAGCCTTGGGTGCTCGAGAAATTATCCCGACGACAGTCGAGACAGACTAGCTTCACCAGGACCTGATCCGACTTGCGCCGGATAAGCATCGGTCCAGGCTTCTCCTTAGGAACAGGATACCCAGACGATAAAGACTGGAATTTCGCTTGAGGGGTCCCACGCGACGGCCGAGTCTTGCCCGCCAGCGAGCTGAAGTCCATTGGATTTCCCCGAGTTGAACGACCCTCCGGCACGATGAAGCCACCGTCGCGAACCGCCAGCGATCCCATCTCGACCTCGCCACCGTCGAACCGAGGGTCCGGCAGGAGCCAACGCGCGTAGTGTCGCGAGTATGGGCCTTCCGTGACACCCCAGGGCGCAGGGGAAATCGGTGCCGGGCCATTTCCAGGCAGCAGCACCGACGCACCCGTGCCAGCACTCACATCGGCCGACACACCAGAGACCGCAGACCCCGGATAAGGGATCTCAGAACAGCGTCGCAACTGTTCCAGCGCAACCTGGCATTTTGCAATCTCCTGGTCGATCAGACGCAGCTCGTTGTGCTTGAGGAGAACCTCGAGACTGAGCTGGGCGGTGATGGTCTCGCGCAGGCGATTGACATCCGGGCGCACACTCGCGGCCGGCGCCGGCGCCGGCTCGCGCGCTGTCGTGACTGACTGTGAGGTCGCGACGGGCGCTGCCAGGGGTTCCAAAGCAGGCACGACGGTCGGCGTCGAGGTGGACTGGGTCGGCGCGACGACCGACGGCTCCGGACGAGGCTTGGTTGCAGCGGGAGCGTCGGTCGCGGAGGAATCGGTGCGTTTGCGCTTGAGTAAGGGCGGAAGCGACTGTGACAGGGCGTTGACGTTGACGTTGACATTCATGTTCATGCCCGGAGCGCAGCCAGCCGGAGCCAGCATCTTGACTTCCTCCGTCATTACCTTGTTCCCTCCGATGGGAGAGGGCCAGGGTAGCAGGCGAAACATGCCATGCGAGGTGGGCAGGCGAACCGAGTTGGGCTGGGATGGGCCGAACGAGGGAGGATTAGTATCGGCGATAGACGGCTGGGTCCATGCGCGAGTAGTCGGTCGGTCGGACAGTTTGATGAGGTAAGGGTGTTTGTTTTGATTGGGAGTTGGTGAAAAAGGCACAAAATAAAATCTTTTTTTTTCTGGGTGTTTTTGTTGGTTCGAGACCAAACGGAAATTACAGGTAGAGAGGTGAGGTGTTGCGGGTGAGAGAGAAGGGGCCCGTAGAGGAAGAAGGGATGGTTGGAAGGAATGGACGTCGACGACGAGTGTCGCGCGACCGTGTCAAGTTGGGCGAACTTGGGGTGGAGTTGGGCCTGGTGGAGAGATTACGGAAGAAGGTGGCGAAAATCTATGGAGGCGGAGGAGGCGAGGATGAGAGGTGGAGAAGAGCAGAAGAAGAGGAAAGAGGAAGAAGGAGGAGAGAATAGAGAGTGGGAGAAAAAAAGGAGGAGGAGAGAAAGGAAAATGATGAAGAGAGAAAAGATGGAGGGAAGACTGGAAAACGGGCAGAACCAGCCAAGTGGTGGTGATGGAAGGCGTGGAAGGTGTGGAAAGAGAAGAAAGGGGGGGAATCCAAAACACCCCTGGAGAGAGACGCAGCGATGGATTACGGAGAATGGGAAGACGGAGTTACGATACTACTTCCTATAGGATCCTAAGACCTTCACAGGCTACAGTGCTGACGCAGTCCACTACGAGGTGGAGCCCATGATGTGATTCTCGAAACTCTCCTATCAACTATCGTCTGCACTATTACTTTCGCTCCCTCTGATCTTCGCTGAGACAGACTACCTCTTTCTGACGTGGAGGGTGCTCTCGATCTGCGACACGTCATGCACTTCGGCCATTTATGCTTTCAAACGTACTTAGCCATACGAGAGAATCCGTTTATCTTGCTCTCTACAAAGTACGTGGAGAAAGCAAGCCATAGGGGACCCATGATGATCGATAATTATGTACTCTATACGGATAACATTACTTCAAAATCACATAATCGCTTAGACTACCGATCTAGGATGAAAACATGATCCATCACAATGTCCATTCTCTCATCCGCCCAAGTCCGGTTGCGTGCGGCTCCCAGACCATGACCGGGCGATGTATCCAGTCCACAAAAAAGGGCCCCAAAGAGATCAGCCTTCCACTTGGCCAGTCAACGATCCTCCTCCGGTCCTCCCTGGCTCCACCAGTCGGTTCCCTAGCCCCAAGACCTGCCAAGGATAAGGTGTGGTCTGGGCCTCTTCAAACCCGATCCTGCTCGTTGATTGGCAGGAGGTCCGTTTGTATCCAATGAAGGGGGAAACAAATATGATGCTCTGCCGCGAGGGAGGCCAAGCCGACCGGGGTAAATGGGGGGGGCCATGAACAAAGTATGGAACTTTGTCGTGCTGAATGGATGCCCTGCGATACCGTACGGTAGCCAAGTGCACTGCAGTGACCGCAGAAGGAAGTTAGGCCGTGCTGTTTATCAACCCAACAGGATGGTACGTTTGCTATCCACTCGGAACCCTGGTCACAGTTGCTCGGTTGGGAGGCTCGCCCTGGAAGCTGTGCGAAACACATGGAATCGGGTCGAATCGGTCAGACCCTGATGGCCGTGACGGCCCTGAGACGGTCAGTGCTCCAGTCTCTGTTGGTCTCGTTGGTCGGATCCGGTGGTTCGGGTACTTTCTTGGGCTGGGTCGTGGAAACAAGCCACCTACAGCATGGACCGGGACAGTTTCTGCTGACTGTGCACTTTGGAGCTGAGGTTCCCCTCATCGTTGGAACTTGAACTTGGACAAGCCTCGGTTGTGCAGCTCTAGTATAGATATGGTCACGTGATTGGTCTATATGTCAGCCATCATGAAGATCGAGGCTGACAAGGCTACTACGATAGAATGGACATAGTGGAGATGAGGGAGATCAGTTTTAGATCCGGAATGAATTACAAATGATGATTTTGAGTCCTGCTACTGGCATTTGTATGCAATCTGCAGGTGGCAGTCTGTATACGATATACTATCATATCCTATCACATTGACCAGCAATGACAACTTTGGAACCCGACTTCCTACCAATATGTAGTAATAGCCCTCAATCTTGACAACCTTGATCTGATATTGATACAATAGTTCCTGATCCATCAAGAAAGCAGGGAGGTCCAACAAACCTCTCACCTCCCCCCAAACAGAACCAAATGGCTCTTATAAATAGTCGTGGCATTAGCCAAAAATGTATCGAACGACCCACCACCAGTGATTGCAGTGATCGATGTAAGGAAGCTCCTGACCAGCATCATTACGGTCATTCACAGTCTTAGCCTTTGTCTTATTGACCCAGCTTTGCGCGGCATTGAACTCGCTATCCGCCTTCGCCTTATCCCCACCATCAACAGCGTCGATCATGGCAATCAAGTGCTGGCAAGCCTTTGCCTACTGCATCGCAAGATTCGACCAGCGTGCTACATCATCAGCGAAATCTTTCATCGCCATACGTGGAAGAACTTCGGGAAGTGGGGTGAGAAGTGCGAAAAGATTTATCAGTGCTGATTTCCCGTTACTATGTCCATTCTTAGCCTCGGAAGAAAGCTTTTTCGAGCGACCCACAAAGCTACGATGTCGCTGCTTAGCTAGGGTGAATGGACCTGGGGAGAGCGATAGGACCAGCTTTGGTTAATGTCGGCGAATGCGAGGAGGGCATTGTGGACGCTCTTGTCACTGCCTTAATGTTCCCATAGAATCGCCGCCATCGACTCGTCGGCGTTGTACTTTGGCCTATTCCACATCTAGTCTCCGTAGTTGGCGAGAGTGGGCATGGAGGCGTAAGCCTGCTCCATCGGAGATTCGAGATGAAACCTAGAAGATACTTGTGCAAGTCCGGGGAACGGCTAGTCAGCGGGTTAAGGAACAACCGGTTATGATTCCCATCGTTCACGGGAAAATTGTCCCATACGAACAGTTTGTCGGTAACATAAGTCGAGTGCGCCTGTTGCACACTTGTGTCGTTGATCTGGTCAGTGAAAATGCCTTCGCCGGTCCACTGAATGCTGATATTATTGTCTAGTATAGTGCCAAATTCCTCCTTTTCAGGGTCCGATTGGCTGCCAGCACAGTTGGTCGGTACGTTCTCGAGAGCTTCGAGGCCGTGCGGAACGACTAATTCGTCCTGTATACGATTCAAATAGTAGGCCTGGGCAACGGCCAGCCAGTACCACATAACCGTATCGATCCACTTTTCCTTGTCCGAATTGCAGTTCAATTCAGTAGGAATGTCGTCAAAAGCAATCTTAAAGCTCTGAATGCCGAGATTGCGCAAGACTTGCAGTTTGGGCATGGACGCAAATTACCCGAAGTCATGCTTAAAAACTTCTGAGATACCCAGCTTTGTGGAACCTGCCCGGTAGCTGTTGCCGTAAATTTGAGTTTCGCGTCGGCGATGTAGTTTAATGCTATCTGTCGGTTGAAGGCACAGCAGGCATCCACGGGAAACTGAGCATGGAACATGATAAGAAAGGGAGTATTGGTTAAAATACCACTCGAATTTATTTTTGCTCCAACTATACACCAGCTTGGTAGGCCCTACCGCAAACACACGGATCCATCAAAGTCACGACCAGAAAGGAGATAACGGGCTGGAAAGGTAATCAATCGTTAACCTTTGTCCGCCAATTAAGGTCTCCAACGAGAACCTTTGCTCTATATACGTAGGGTGACATTAACGACACGACAGAAAAGTTCATGGCACGACAAGGCTAGTGCTGAATGGGAACGCCCCCCCGCCCCCCTTCAATATAGAATGCCACATTCGAGATTTATATAGTACCGACCAAATTCTTATGTATGCATGATCTTATATAATCACACTTCTCGCCAGTATTTTTAGCGACGACATACGCTAGTATCATGTGACCTCTTTATATGTATTCTCCCTAAGATCTCTACGTATTCAGCTGAAGTAGATAGCTATTGAAGACGTGTGAAAAGGCCTGAGGAAATGGTGACGGTAGGAAAGAGGGTGGGATTATGGCACAGTATTATACACATAATTAAATAGAGGTCGCGTCTATGTTCCCTAACGATCCTAGCGAGAAGCGTCAATACAAAACAATCATATATACATGAGGACTTAGCAGGTATTATATAAATCTCGAATATAGCATTCTGGATTCAAGGGGGAGTTCCTCATTAGGACTAGCCTTGTCGTGCCATGAACGTTTCTGTCGTGTTGTTAATGTCACCCTATATGTATATCATACGTCAAACAATACAATCTAAACTGTATTCCGCCTCCTGTGGCACTCACTCTTACTCCTTGAGCCTCTTTGAACATTGACGCTAAAAGGTCACTTATTGCTGAAAAATATCGACGGAGGAACTGACGGAAATCAAGACCAGATCCAGTGCACACGATTCCGTTTCAGTCAAGGGAAACCTTATTTGTGGCTGTGGCAAGAACAAATCAGAGCTTGGACGGACGACAGGATGAGTAGAGTTCAACTACCAGATATTGCCACGCACGGAATTACGGAACGAGACACAGAATGAATCTCGCACGAATCTTGAGACCTCTTTGATACTACCAGAAGCGTTCTTAAGAGGGAATTTCCTCTCCATACCCGGCACAGATATGCATCCGTGGCCGTTGGAGAATTTCTACGCACAGAAGCGTATCCGCTCCAACGCTGAAGACCAATATCACCCCGATGACGGTCCGCAAGCGCGGGAGTTGGAGCATGTCGAGCAAACTCCCTTCTACACCCCAGTTTACTCGCGAAAGTATGTCTCGACCTGTGTGCTGTCTGCATCGATTGGAGGCCTCCTCTTCGGGTACGACACTGGTGTCATCTCGAGTGCCTTGGTACTCTTTCATTCAGATCTGGGTCATCCTCTCGATAACTCTGACAAGCAACTTTTGACAAGTTTGACTGGAGGAGGTGCATTTGTGGGTGCGCTGTTGGCGGCTTTGGTCACTGATGCAGTACGCTGACCCTGGTCAATGGCTCCGCGGAGCGCCCCCGTATGAGATCAATAATTTCGGGGATCCTAACTGTTGCAACACAGGTCGGTCGGAAGATGGTGATTGGAATCGGATGTATCTGGTTCACCGTTGGCTCGGTAGTCGCCGCGACGGCATATTCAGTTCTTCTCATGGGAATTGCCCGGTTTATCATTGGAGTTGGGATCGGCTTTGAGACAATGGTAATGATCTCTATTTCTCGTGCCGTGATACTTTAGAGGATTCCCCACGTCTGACATGAAACTCAAAAAGATCACACCTATTTATATCGCAGAGCTGGCTCCATCTTCATTACGGGGTCGCATGATTACTGTCTATTCCATGGCTGTCACTGGCGGACAGGCATTAGCATACGCAGGTGGCACAGCTTTCTCCCATGTCGAACTAGGCTGGCGATACCTCTTTGCAATCGGAGCACTCCCAGCGCTGGCACAAGTTGCGCTTTTCCCTGTCTATCCAGAGACACCCCGGTACCTCATATATCGCGGTCGTATTGGGGACTCTGTGATAGTTCTGCAGCAACTCTATCCTCAGAGTCCACCGTCAGATATCCAGAGACTAGGGCAAATCATCCGCGAGGATATTAGTCGCTCTGTCTCCTTTGATCAAGGGGCCCATCGGCTGATGTGGTCGTGGAAGCAACTTTGGTTGGTCCCTTCTAACCGTCGATCCTTGATCTCTGCCTGTGGATTGATGGCTGTGCAACAACTCTGTGGGTTCAACTTTTTGATGTATTATTCGGCGACGTTATTTGCCGCTAGTAAGTTATCGAACTCAAAGCCTTTTGGAGCAGGATTTTTTCAACATGCTGCGAGGGATATATTTGTGACACTTGCCTAATTCCCTACCAGTTGGTCTCAACAATCCTACTGCCGCTAGCCTGATCGTCTCCGGGACGAATTTCTTCTTCACTATTGTCGCCTTGTTCTTCGTTGACCTTGGCCGCCGTCGAATGCTCATATGGACAATATGGGGGCTTCCAATTGCCCTCGCCATGGCTGCCGTGGCATTCTCAAATATCACCTTGAATTCAAATTTAGAGCTAGAAGGCGAGGCACCGTCCTGGGCCAAGGCTCTAGCTCTTGCCTCTTTATCTATATTTGTTTCTTTCTATGCCATTGCTCTAGGAAATATTCCTTGGATAGCGAATGAGCTCCTTGCATTAGAGGTTCGGGCGGTTGGCACCTCTTTGCTAACTATGGTGTGTTGTAAGTTCGGTGTAATTCCCCCCTTTCTTCGTTTAAGTACTGACACACTGACACTCATCGCTGATATCCAGGGGGCTGTAATATTATCGTCTCCGCGACATTTCTCTCGCTAGTGGGCAGCTTAACTGCTCCGGGCGCGTTTGGACTATATGCTGGCCTATGCTTTGCGGGTTGGCTTTTTGTGATATTCACGTATCCGGAAACTGCCGGTCTTGGGCTAGAGAGCATACGCGAGGTTTTCAAGGACGGGTTTGGGGTTCGACTGGCGAATCAGATACAGCGTACAAGGCGGCATGGGTCTCATAGTCAAATGTGAGGAATTGGGTTGAGTTGTATAAGCTGCGTTACGAGAAATGGGATCAGTCAAGCACAACGGTTGCAAAAAACACTCAAATCAAGGACTCAAAGATTCCAATTTCTTTAGTACTAGTTTTTGCTTCACACATAGGATGTAATTATTTCTTTGCACCAACCTGGCCGGACAGAAGTGGTGATTAGTTAATTCCACGGCCAAAGTTAATGAGCGTCTAAAACGCCCTGTTGGCTGCTTCCCCGCATATGATGACCCACCCAGGTCAACCTATGGTTCCCAGTCTCGTGACCAAAGTCTACGGGCATTCGAACTGTTCCAGCAAAAGACATTCGCCTCAAGTGGTTTCTTCCGAAGAACTCTCCATACCGATTACGAAGCCATGCATACAATCAACCAGGATCGGGCCTAAATGAAGCGATGGATGGAGGGCGCGAATATGTAAGTTCTCTAGACCCGACTGCTGTTTTTGCGTGGCTTCTAACGACCTCTTTTGTACAGGCGCTAATATGGAGTCTCTACGGTGTAGCCCTGCTCCTCATCCTTGGACGCATTCAGTCACGTATCGTGATTCGTGAGAGGCTAAAGATTGATGACTACCTGTCAATTTTATCGTTTATCTTCCTAACCATACAAACGGTTCTCCACACTCTGACCGTTCGGCCTTACCTTGAGGCAGAGTCGGTATTTCACAGTAACTCTAACACGGCGGCTACCTTGACTGCAAATCCATCGTTGGAAGGCAGTACATCTACAGTGTTACGCTACTCATTTGTAAGGAAAACATTCGAATGCTTTATGAGATGTAATATGCTTACAATGATGTGGAATATATAGGCGTCGCTGATTATATTTTGGCTCGCAGTTTGGAGTGTCAAGTTCTCTATGTTGTTCTTTTTCCGCCGCTTTCTGTTACCGATTCCCAGTTACATGGAGGGGTACGCCTGCTTTTCTCCCCGTGAAGAAATATGCTAACCAGGTGATAAGCTGGTATATCGTGTTCGGTTTCACGACAATGAATCTACTAGGATGTCTCCTGATTCAGTTCTTGGGCTGCCTACCCTTCGAAGATAACTTTTCGATTACTTCAGGTGAGTGAGCGAGTTCTGATATAGTTCTCATCTCGAACAGGACAATGGTTGATATTGTAAAGGAACTTGTGTTTTGGGCCAGTCGAGAGAGCTCGGAAAGCTTGCTGGAACCACCGCACTGGATATAGTCTCCGACGTTATGAGTAAGTGATCTTGACACCGGCAGCAACATACATGACTTTCTGATCCGACTATTTAGTTATCGTCCTTCCAACACGGATTCTGTTCGAGTTACATGCAACCAAGAAGCAAAAAGCAGGGCTCGTGGCTGTTTTTGCTTTGGGTTGGGTAGTTGTATGTATGGCATCTTTATTGAACAGGAACAGCCCTAACGCCCAATTTAGATCGTAATCGCCCTTGTAAGGGCAATTCATGCTTCCCTCGCTGGACGCAATCATCTCCGTACTATTGATTATGTGAGTTGACCCGTCCCGGTGCATCCGCAACACCTTATATACTGGGAGACTGAGACCTTTTTAGTTATGGCTTTGGATATGGAGTCAGGTAGAGTGTGTAGCAGGTTAGTCTTCCTTCACTGAACATTTCCACGTAAGATTGGGTCTGATGATAAGCCAGCGGTCAGCGTGGCTTGCTTACCACCGATATGGGCTGGTTATAAGAAGAAGAAACAGACGGTGCAGCCTGCCACGCTGATCACGATCTAGTAACAGCCGGGATGTAAGCAGCTATATGTGTGTTATAAAGTGGGGGAAGATCACACACCGTGGATTTTCTCGAATCTAAACATAGACATTGGAAGGGCTTCTATTAGAAAGATGGAGCGGAACCATGAAAAAAGTCTTGCTCTACCGATGTCGCTAACATCGTAGTTACTCAAGTTTAAAGCTGGCCCTGTAATTATCCACCGATTACCGGTCGAGATCGAATTTCACGTTTGGCCACTGGCCGGTTCATCAACGTCGGAGCTGACAGATCAGGGTCCATGAAACCTTCTTTGCGGCAGAACCATCTATTTCCTTCTATAAACCTATCTAACCGTGACAGTAACGACACCAACAGTAAGTTCACCCGAAAAATTCTTCTACACCGACATAACATGAATATCCGTCAAGCCGAAGCTTTGCTGAACAATTCTCGTCCGAACTCCCCTGACGCCACACGAGAGAAAGGGCCCATCTCGGATTTCCCGACCCGCTCGGCTGTTCTTCGGCAAGCCAAGAACTGAATTTTCCATCATCTTCATTCGCTCTGTCCCCTCTGGAATGTCCGAGCGAATTCTCCAAGCCTTTAACGGTCAACTGAATCCGTCATTTCTCATGGAGCGTCTCCACCGGTAATTCCTCCAACCGGTTTAGACTGCCGCGTTTGCGCACCCCCTCCGTACGGAAGCTGGGATTTCCGGGGGCTCCCCACGTTTCCATGCTGGGGGAATATGGGGAAGACAAACCGGGGGATGATTGTCTACGCAAATGATTGGCGGACGTAGAGATTTTTCTCCTGAGTTTGTCCGTCGAGTCGGGAGTATATAAAGGGTGACGGCCACAGCAAGGACGTTCCTCTGAAGCGAATCTCATCCAGGCCAGGCATCTATAGATTCCCTTCTATACTCATGCCCATCATGCGCTCGCTCACTTGGCTCGCCACCCTGGCATCCCTCCACACTACCTTTGCCTCCCCACTCGCCTCAAACCCGTCGTCCAATAGTCACAATTCCAAGAACAATGGCTACATGAACTGGCGCACCTTCACCGGCTATGGCGTCAACCTGGGAGGCTGGCTCGAACAGGAATCTACGATCGACACCCGCTGGTGGGCTACCTACGGCACCAATGCCTCCGACGAGTGGACGATCTGTGCCAACCTCGGTTCCGCCTGCTCTCGCGTTTTCGAGCAGCGCTACGAAACCTACATCACCCCAGCGGACATCGACACCCTTGCCTCGGCCGGTGTCTCCATCCTACGCATCCCAACTACCTACGCTGCCTGGGTACGCGTGCCAGGCTCGCAGATGTACTCGGGCAACCAGCAGAAGCACCTGCGCCGTATCACGGAGCACGCTACCAAAAAGCACGGCATGCACGTCGTCCTCGATCTCCACTCGCTGCCCGGCGGCACCAACGGACTCGACATCGGCGAGAAGGTTGGGAACTGGGGGTGGTGGAACAACGAGACCGCATTGGAGTGGTCACTTCGCGCGGTCGATGCGGTTGCTGCCTTTGTGCAGTCCTCCAGCAGCCCGCAGAGCTACAGTATCGAGCCTATCAACGAGCCCGCGGATAACGAAGATCTCTCGGTGTTTGGCACAGCTGCCGCGTTAACCGACGACGGAGCTGTCTGGTTGCTGAAGTACTTCAACGCTGTCATTGCGCACGTCAAGAAGATCAATGCCAAGATTCCCGTTATGTTGCAGGGTAGCTTTAAGACGGAGCAGTACTGGTCGCCTCACTTCGATGCTTCGGAGAACATCGTGTTCGACCTGCATCATTACTATTTCCAATACCCCGAGGCGACGAGTGCGAACGTAACTGAGTATATCTGCAAGGATGCGAAGCAGTCCGCCGGCGATGGCAAATTCCCCACGTTCGTGGGTGAGTGGGCCATGCAGACTGGTGGTGAGAATGAGCTTGGTCTGCGGAAGCAGAATCTGCACGCTGGATTGTCGGCGTGGGCGCAGTACACTCGTGGCAGTTCGTATTGGAATGCCAAGTTTGAGAGCAACGCTACTATTGTCGGAGAGGGTGTGAAGCAGGATTATTGGAGCTTTGAGGAGTATATTGCGGATGGATTTTTGAAGGGAAATGTTCTGGTCAAGGATTACTGCAAATAGATGTCTTGGAATAGTGAGAGGGCGCAAGCCTGCTAATAATATTAAGTGATAATTCTCATATTCTACATTGACCAAAGCCGAGGGACAAGGATGACAATTGAAGGAGCCGCGAAAGGCGGTATTGTATTTTGTTCTTCAATCCTCGACGAACACGGTCACTCAGAATTTATGAGTGTTTCAGCTACACCCAAGCTTAAGAAATATGTTGACCGTAAAAGGATGGGGCGAGAGGCATGAACTGCTTCAATTGAGGTATAAAACCGTTAAGTCTTAGTAACATATCACATGCGATAAATAACAACCCCAGAGTTATAGGACCCAAAGCGCCAAAAGAAACCCAGGATGAATGGATAAAGATCATGGACAGAAGTAAGTGCAGATAGCAGGACGAAAGACATTGTTGCAATATCCACGACAAGATAGGTCAAGTCCAGCGGAGAAAACAGAAGAAAAAAATTGAGATGGAAATGCTAGGCAAAGCGAGGTGGCATATATGGGACAGACCAAGAGTGATACCAAAGTGGGCGGGAGATCATTCAGAAAGAAACAAGGCCAGCAACCTGGCACAGCAAGAGCTTCAGCTCAAGCAAGCTCAAGCTTAGTTCAGCTCGTTATCACGCATGCGGAGGATAAAGTTGACCACGACGGCGGCCAACAAGGCAATAGCGAGAACCGTAGGTCCGAAGCGGTCGTCGAAACCGCTCTGCCCCCGCCGCCGAATACTCTGCGCGCGCCAGTGAAACGTCACCACGGCGTAGATCATGGCTGCCATGGCAATGATAGTGAACAAGGCGGCAGAGATGCGACCGATACGGTCACCGAAGTTGAGGAGACCCACGGCCAGACCGCCGAGGATGACGGTGAAGTTGAGCCATGAGAGGAAGGTACGCTCGTTGGCGAAGAAGACTTTGGGCTCGACGCGGGTGGGGAGTGCGATGCGCTTGCCTGGAGAGTGATATGTTAGCGAGGCAGTCTGGGTGCAGCTTGTTGGCACTGGGAATGATTGGGAGAGATGGTATTGAAGGGTTTGAATGTTGCAATTGAAAAGAATTTGCAGTAAAGCACATACCCGGGGCAGTCTGGAGGAGGGGTTGGCTCGACATGGTGAAGATAAGATGTGAGGTTGGTGGCCGCCACGGGATCGCGTAGAGGGTCAATTGGGATTGGGGATGAAATCAGAGACCACGACGAACGGCAGGGCGAGAGAGATATAGGACAGAGATCGAAATCGAGTCAAAAATGAGGCAGGCAGGTGAGAAATATTTTTTTTTCTTCCCTTTCGTCGGCTGTCAGGCTGTCGGGACAAGGTCAGACAGAAGGGAAACGAAGCGATGGAGTTGCAATCGGGCAGAGCCAATAATGCTCCGATGACGAGGAAAGTCGAGAGCTGCACGCTAAAGTAATGGCACTAACCTCAATTCGGCCTAGGGCGGTGTAGCTCTGCCCGTCGACGGATGCACGTGCTTCGTCCGTTTGCTAGCATGCAACTGGAGTCACCTGATGCGCCAAATCGGACCCTCCAAAGTGTAATTTGGCGCCGTCAAACTCTGTCCAAGCGAGCTGGATCCATATCTGATACAGAGCATCTTCAACGACCTCCGACCTCGTTGGATTGCTTCAAAGCAGTCAAAATGCTTCATTGCTTCTCCAGAAATCCTCGTTTCCTTCATATCACATCCGCCCGTTGCAGTATGTCACCCCTGTAACAAGATTGGCTACAAGTTTTACAAGCCTGAGGCTAGCCGTTTAGACTTGACACTAGCTCGCACCAATGAGAGAAACCCCGGCTAAAACGACGAGCCCACCACAACTGCACTTTTGCGACTACTGCAGCCAGCCAAAGCCCCGAAAATCTCACATCTAGCTAAACCTTCGTGTCCGATCACCAGCGCCTTATTCTTTTTACTACTATCTCCAGCAACCGGTGCACTGACGCACATAGGGCTGAGCCACAGTCCTATCGGATGTCTGCCATCCTCAAGCCCTTCTTTCCCTTGTTGGAAATACATTCGTGGAGTACATACAGTAGAGCCGTCCCATCCTCCTCCACCCCCAGAGGGCTGTGGAGGGGCTACCACGACACCTGCCATAGCCGGCCCAATCGTTCTAGATTCAATGAAACCCACCACCCAGCGGGTATTCCGAAACCCCCGCTAATACCCGCGTAAGGTGTCCGCCCCAGTATCTACCGCTGGGGATCTGCTGCCAGTTCAAGACTTCAATTAAAATTGTTCGTTGGCCAGCTGGTGCCATGCAGTCGTGTGCTCAGATACCCAGAAGACGGACTCGGCATGCCGGCAATAGAACCGGTCCCCGATATCCTGAATCCTGACTGCCAGAGGACTACTGTACACAGTCGGATATTCTTGTAATCGATCCTGTACACAGGAGGCTATGCTGGATCGCGATGGCTGTTTGGACTCGACAAATCCACTCGGGTGGAGCCTCGGATTGGTCTGGTCCTATGGTCCATTCAGAACGATGCGATTGAGGGCCTAAAATCGACCGCGGTTTGAATCATTGTCAGCCTCTGCAGGCATTGACGAAAAATTTACCGGAAAGAGTTTCTCTCTTCGTATACATATAGGCGATGATACGAGATCGGGTACGCATGGATACTCGGCTAAACTGCAGATAGCGAGCCACCGAGAGAGGTCGCACCCATGGACAAAGTTCTCACTCATGAGATATTCAAATTGAAATACTAAGAGCTCCGCTAAGCAGCGAAATGGGCACGCAATACACATCATTTCTCTTCGCTTCCGGCCGCGATCTCCCCACTCCACCGTCGCTAACCCACACTGTACGGCTCGTAACGAGTCTTGTCTCCTGAAAAGGCAGCTCGACTATCGAAACTGGACAGCATGACAGACAAGCATTTTTCAAGTCAAACCATCGTGTCTTTGAGTGGGGCAAAGTCCCAATCGGCTCTGATCATGTCCGATGCTTTCTCGGCGACCGCATACACACTGCTCACGATGTTCCCACTAACGTTGTTGGGGAAGACAGATGCGTCTGCAACACGTAGGCCCTGAACACCCTTGACACGCAGTCGAGAGTCCAGCGCATCACCCATTGCGACGGACCCGCACACGTGGTACTCGCCTGCCACAACGTCGTGTACTGCTTCTTTGGCCGCGGCTATGTCAGTCAGATCCACGCTCGGTTCGGGGAACGTCCGACCGGCGAAAGAGGATTTGAGATGTGCAGATTGGCGAACTTTATCGACCCAGCGGAGGCCTGCGCCTAGGATGGTAACATCTGCATCGTGGCCTGCATAGTTCGGCTGAACGACTGGGGGCTTGGTCGGGTCTATGGGTAAGGTCAGTTGCGGGATACTGCTTTTTGACGAGCTCCAAGCGCTATGCAGACAAGGGAACATACCGGCACTGTCGATATGAACATAACCCCGGGCTACTGGGTACTGCAAACAAATCGCAAAAGTAAGACCGGCGGGTTTGTCCGGCGATGCAGGCGGGAAAATGTATCTCTGGTGCTCAACTCCATCCAAATTCGCAGTCGCTGGAATCAAGACGATTTGAATATTCGCAGACACGTCACTCTCTATATGACTGATAATCTGCTTGAGCTGTCGCTCGTGGAATTTGCTCGTCGGCTTAATATCCCGAATACTCTGAACCACAGCCTCGATCTCGGCTTCGGACATGACCGATTTAGCGGGGAAGAAACCCTGCATCGTGGATGTGCAGCTTAACGGGCCGCTACTCGTTTCGGCATACTGCTTCTGTGCATTCTCCATGACTTCCGGGTTCTGATAGAATGTATCCAACGTGACGGTGCCGGGCTGCGTCTCGTACACGGCAAGGGTAATGTTGTGATCCTGAAAGTTGGCACCAACGGCAGGATTGGCAACCTTGCATTCCACGCCTGCGGCTTTGAGTACTTCGGGGTCTCCGATGCCCGAGAGCTCGAGGATTTGGGGGGACTTGAGAGCTCCGCCACAGACGATGACTTCGCGCTTGGCGGCGACTTCAAAGTCCTTTCCATCGTGCGAGATGCTTACTCCAGTGGCTTTGTTGCCGTCGAGAACGACCTTGTTGACAAGCGTTGAGCAGAGAACTTTCAGATTAGGCCTAGCTTTGTTCGCTTCGTAGTATCCGCGAGCTGCATAGCTACGCTTGCCCTTGTTGGGGCCCGTCCGGATGATGGCGCCTAGAGTGTGGTAGAAACCGATGTGGTCGCCGCTCCAGGGATCAGTGGGCTTCTTGGTAAACCCGGTGACTTCGTCGCAAGCCTTAATGACGTCGTTCTCGATGGGGAGAATCGAGTCGTTGAAGCTCGTTCGAACTGGCCCGCTTGTACCATGGAATTCGCCGACAAACGGCATAGTCGAGCGGTCCGTGATCGCTTCGTCGTATGGCTCGAGAGTCTGGCCGATATGATCAGTTGGGACTTTCAAAGCTTGATGTGATATGAGGAATGAGGTTTTACCTGATGCTTGCGCATATATTGCTGCATGGTATCGGCAGACCAGCTCTCATCCTCGACCAGCTCCGCCCAATCGTCGTAGTCTTGTCGAGATCCCCGGACATACATCATGTAGTTGATACCACTGGAGCCACCTAGCAGCTTACCGCGGGGAATATGGTGAATGCGTCCTCGATTCTCTTTCTATGGTAACAATCAAGAATTGTCAGGTTTCTGGATCCGCGTATACATTGATCGACCAGAACGAGCTTACCTGCGGCGCGCTATACAAGCACCAATCATACTCAGGATCCTCAAACATCTGGAAAAATGCCGCAGGCGTATCGACCAGAGGATCGCCGATGCGATACTTTCCAGCTTCGACGACGCCAACTGTTACATCGGGATTTTCACTGAGTCGCGCAGCGATAACACAGCCTGCAGTTCCTCCACCACAAATAATATAGTCGAACGAGGTACTCGTGAACTCCTCAATGGAGCAAGTAGGCGAGTCAACGCCCGTCGTAGGGCCCCGTTCACCCATGGTATGTAGTGTGTTCTCAAAGGTGAAGCTGTAGATGGAATTGTATAAGCTAAACGCAAAGCAGTGGGCGCAGGGGCAATGCGAAAAGCACCCTCTTATTTGTACTACAGTGTCCCCTCGTGCAACCTGCTTTCCTGTTCTCGACCGTGGCTGAGCTGGCACTCAACAGTGCGGGGGTAATGTCCAAGGTGACATTTCAGCCCAGAACCTTGGCTGACAGGCATCTTGGATGTTCAAATGTAGCGACAATATTCTATTGGCGCATCGGTGCAGCTTTCCAAGGAGCTAAACTTAGATCGGCTTCCCCGCACCGCGGACCTCGGTGGCCACTTACCCAAAGTTGCGACGCTTATGGGGCGGAAACAACAAGGCTGTGAGATCGTAAGTTGTTGGTTGGTCTCTGCTTCAGAGGCATGTTTACGCATGGCTTTAACTGGCTTTGATGGTAGGTATACTCATAAAGCGATGGATTTGCGAAGACAGCTTCTATGCGGGGACGTCCGGCGAACGCCCGGCGCTATGTACTACTGCACCATTGATGCATAAGGTCACTGATAATAGAAGAATTGTTTTGTTGCCCACCTACATCAGGTCTGACTAGGTTTGAAAAGTTGTTCGGTCTGCATGCTGTACAAGCTGCGGACCCACTGTCAGCTCTCGCGGCGTAGCGCCAAATTCGGAGATTTTCTTCCGTGTTGTAGTTTCATTCTATCTCACCACTTCTACTTGACTGGATATGATAGGCGGTTTCTGGAGATCTTTTATTTAGTGGATTTAGCTGGCCACAGATGACCTTCTTGGCCAGACGAAATCCCCATCGAGTGCACCGAGCGCATCTACCTAGCTTGGAGATAGGTAGATGAGGTGCGCACGGCCGCATTCGTAGCCTTGCCATAATTTTCCGCTTTGGGGCGAATGCGTGCTATGAGATTCTGGTACAGTTGGGTTCATGGACGCGCATCTCCTTGATCCGGTCTGTCCGGTGTTCGCCGGCCTTCATTCATATCATGTTTCATATAACGCGACATGCTACTATGTCAAAATCACAATATGGGCCCTGCCCGGCTGATCAGTATCTGCAACTTTTGTAGGAGACTAATGTAGGAGAGTCTAGACATCCAACTACCATCTATTCTTCATAGGGCTGTTTAGTGCACGACATGATTCGGAGGTGTCCAAGTTTAGAAATATCTGAAAGAAATCAAGTCGTCTTGGTTATCAGGCTTAAATCTCGTACATTTGCTTGGGCTTTGTTGGTACGAAGGAATGGCAGTGAAGATCGATAGCTCCGTTGCTAATGGTGAAACTTGACATAGTCTCCGACCGAAATTCAGTCTTTCGATATGGATGATGTCGCTGTGCATTAAACCATCGACGTCGGGGGGGATTCCGGCATTCGCATTGAACAGTCAGTCACCAGAGAAAATCTCCATAATTTTGCATCAGGCAGGCCGGTGTATTGAAGCTAGCATAATAACACTGAGCATCCGGGCTCTTCATGCCAGGTAAGACACTACTTGTAATTGATTATTCCTTTCAAAGATGGATGGGCCATGAGTCGGATGTTTCAAATGCACTAGCAGCTCTTGAACGTCGGATGAAATCATCTTGAAGTATCCAAAGAATGATCTTAGATTTGTGAAACCTCTCGACAACTGAAGCACGAATCTAGATCGCCATCACTGAGGTCGAAATCGGCCCGATAAGCGAGTTTCGGGGGGCTGAAAATTTGAATTGACCGGCCCGATTTTTGAAGGCGGCAGGCGAAAATTAAGCTTCTTTTCGCCACATGGTCGGGACATCGAGACCTAGCTTCAATATCCTGCAGCTAACGCAACAGATAAAGCTAGTATGCATGAATAGTGTTAAGTATGATCTTCATCCTTTAGTCTGGACCATGGCGTTCCATCTTGGCTGCCAAGAACGACTTCATACCCCACAAGTACGAAGACTTCAAGCGAGTGAGTCCAATCTCCCCCGGGCTTCGGGGGACTTGGCATCTCGTAAAAACCCCAACAGCCTCTCTCGAGCTCTGAATCACGCCATGGCCCCACTTTGTCTGCTTACTGTACAGAAATTTTTCCTAAATCAGCGACGAAAGATTTGATATTCTTCCTTTGTCCAATTTCTGAGTCTTGATTGCTATCAGGAGGCTCAAACCTTGAACTATATACCAGGGCTTGCCGACTCTACCGTGATTATGGCTGCCACGCATTCCCAACCGAATGTGGCGGATGAGCATGAGGCCCAGTCTGTGGTTGAGTCAACTCAACCCAGCACTCGTCGATCGATTTTTCGATCAATCCCATTCCAGATTGCTATTGCTAGTGGTGTATCTTTCACCGCTCCCGGTATGTGGGATGCCTTGAACAATCTGGGTGCTGGTGGCGCCGCAGAGCCCTACGCTGTGTCTGCAGCAAATGCCTTGGTCTATGGTCTTTTTGCAATCGTCTGTGTCGCGGCCGGTGCCATCAACAACCGTATTGGTCTCCGTTATGGATTAACACTTGGAGCGATCGGCTACCCCATCTACGGTGCTGGTCTTTACACCAACAACACCTCGGCAAACACGTGGTTCATGCTCTTCGGTAGTGCCTTATGTGGTATTTCTGCTGGATTCTTCTGGGCTGCCGAGGCTGCCATTATCATTGGATACCCTAGCCCCCACGAGCGCGCATTCTACCTTGGTATGTGTCAAAATTGTCCGCGTCTTTACCGGGTGATACTAACATTTAGATAGCTATCTGGCAAACCGCAAAGGCCGCAGGACCCATTGTAGGAGGTGCAATCAACTTAGGCCTCAACGCACAGACTTCGACTACCGGATCCGTCAGTTCTAGCACTTACATTGTGTTTATTGTCATAATGTGCCTTGGATTCCCCATTGCGCTGCTTCTCAGCCCCGCTGAGAAGGTGCAGCGTAAGGACCGAACCCTGGTTGTTGTGCACAAGCAGGCCTCTTGGGCTGCCGAGTTCAAGGCTGCAATCTCTTTGATTGCTACTCGCCGCGTCCTCCTCCTCCTCCCGTCCTTCTTCATCAGCTACTTCTATAACGGCTTCCTCAGCACATGGCTCACTACCTACTTCACCGTCCGAGCTCGCGCTTTCTCCTCCTTCTTCACCAATTTCGCCGGTATTGCGTCCTCGTTCATCATCGCTGGACTCCTCGATCGTCAGGGTATTCACATCAAGACCCGCGCCAAGATCGCCTTTATCTCTATCGTTGTCATTCTCACCGGCACCTGGATCTGGGCTTCAATCCTTCAGAACCAGTTCTACAGTGCCCCCGAGTCCCCCGTGTTCGATTGGTTCACCGGCGGCTTCGGAAAATCTTACGCTCTCGTCTTCTTCTGGACTTTTGGCGGCCAGGCATTTCAACAATTCCTGTACTGGCTTATCGGTCAATATAGCACCGATATTTCGTCTTTGTCCTACCACTGCGGTATTCTCCGTGGATTCGAGGCTCTGGGTCAAACTGTTGCTTGGGCGATGCAGTCTGAAGGTGGTGCCAACCACTTTGTCAGCATCGGTCTCAACTTTGGAATCACGCTTATTGCTGTTGTTCCAACCTGGATCGTCCTGTCCGAGCTTGAGCACAGCCACGAGGTTCAAGTGACGGCCGAGGATATCCCGTCCAAGATCCAGGATGAGACTCAGGCCGAAATGGCTGTTTAAAAAGCGGATTTTTGCATCACTGCATACTACATACATACACTCCGTACTAGTTCCCGAGGACCGACTTCGGTACGCTATCCCCGGTTCCAGATCTGCATTAGCCCGAGGACTAGGGTCCTGCATCCTGCACACCGTCGGCCGTGCAAATGGCTAAATCTTAATGTGCTGTTAAATGCAGGGCCTCGAGATGATCAGCATCTTTCCTGTTTGATGCTAGTGCTTTTCTCGATTTGGTACTCTGTGCTTACTGCGCCAAGAATCTGACAGTTCTTTCAATGTGTATTTTGTACGATTATTTTGCGTCTTGTATAATTCAAATATCTATTCCCCGTCTAATACTGCAATGCTGCAGAAGCAGACCCTTGGGGATCCAAATGATAATCGGCATGCTATGTGATATACTTGAAATACGAGAGACATCATGATACCCGCTTACTCTTCCGCAGATCCCGAGACACGGCTGCCACATAAGACATACTAACCTGAAAAGTATAGTACTAAAAGCCAGCCTCCAAACAGACTAAAACAAAAGTCACAAACCAGCTGCCCAAGACACAAGAACATGGCTTCTTGCATACCTCGACTTTCACGCACTCATCTGCTTTACAGCCACGCCCCAGAAACCCTATCAAGCCCAGCAATGATTACGAATCAAACTCAAAACAAGCCCAGCGAGTAAGACACTCCTTAAAACCGCCTGAGTGGTTTGATCTGCAGGGTACACGCTTCAGCCCACGTGCTGGTCGCAACCACTAACCCTAATCAAGTGGTAGTTCAACCAGAACATGCAGGGCCCCGAGGGCTCAGCCACGGTGTGATACATGGCAGGGACCCTGAATCATATGATCACGCTAGTACTGCCTAGCGAGTCATAGTCATGTACATTGCAACAAACTAACTAAGTTAGTCAATTAATTATACATGCTGACTCAAGTACAAATCGAATCGTCCCAGGAAATACCAGTACTCTTGAGATAGACACGGACGGTACCACAAGGAGGATTCTTTTGGGTACTTCTAGAGAGCACAGATAATACAAAGGTCTTCTATCACATTTTTCATAACTTTCTTCCTCCCCCCTTGGTTCCATCCACACCCTATAAACGACCCAGGCTAATCTATACCCACGTAGCCCCAATCAAAATCGAAAGCAAAAACAAAAACAAAAAAAAAAAAAAAAAAAAAAAAAACCGAAAAAAAGCAAATCCCACTGTACCTTTACCAACAGCACGGCTAGGCTGTCAGCACCTTCAAGTCCGGCCCACCTTACGGGTGCCTACCACACTAAATCCAGCCACCGCTCACTCCTCCTCCTCCTCCTCCTCCTCCTCCTCCTCCTCCCATGCTCTGAGTACCAGCCAGAAGCAAAACCAGCCAAGCCCAGCCCAGCGTAGCCACTAACCTACACCCGCAGCCAAGGAACGGCAAATTCAGAAACCCAAACCCCGGTGGAGCACGGGACCTAAAAGAAAAAACCTATCAAGCGCTAGGCGTTACGGACTAACGGCTAAGCTAACCAAGTTACCAAACTAGTTTATTTTCCGAACCTCGGGGATTGACATGACTAGCTTGACGGTAGTCCGGGACCCTAATTAACCTTAATAGCTCAAAATTACAGCCCGGGTCCTGATACACGCTCACTAGTAAACTACTGACCAGGCCACAGTGGCGATATTTTCCAGTTTGTGGAACTGGACGGGGTGACGCCTGTGGGGTTTGTGGCGGATTTATTGTTAACTTGTGTGTGTGGATTCGGGTCTTGTCAAGTTCCGATTTACGCATAGTAATCTGTCTGAGGTCCATAACATCTAACATATCTATCGCTACAGTGGTACCTTTATAATAGATCGGGTCACGGCTGCCTTAGCGAAACCTCGACATCTCCACAGTCAAAGGACAAGATAGAAATTGACACAATGCACAATACATTTGAGGCCCAAAGCCCAGCACCGTATAATGTAGGTTATATGAACAGAGACAACTCAATGGGGAAAAAAGGTGGAACAGTAAAAGAGGAAAAAAATGTGCAAATAAAACACCTTCCGCAAAAAGCAAGATTCCACACACAAAGCAAAGAGACATGAGACAAAAACGCAAAATACAAACAACAAACCCCCCCCCCCCTAAGATAAGAAAGAGATGAAACGTGAACAAGCGTACAAAGGAGGCATTCATGCAAACACAATAGAAACGACGTGATCCAAATAATCCAATTCTCCCAGAAAAAAAGGGGGCGATTCATCCGCTTATTCGACGTCCATGTCCAGGAGCTAGGGAGAATCAGAGAACGGGATCAACACAGCAAGGGCTGTCCTGAAAAAGATTTCCAGGTCCGCAAATCGAAAAACCTTCAGGAACCAAAGAATAGCACACTCTTTCTTTCATAGGATAGAGAAGAGGTGGAATTTCTGCTCTAAATAATTTCCCTCAACAAAAGCCGTCACGCATGACTCTAAACCAAGAGGGAAGAAGGATGAGAAAAAATCGGAACTTGAAACTCAAAAACTCGGAATTCAGTCTTGTCCGCAAGGGACAAGAGGCAGACCGGCGAGAAGGAGATGTCGAAAAAGCCACTCTTGAAACTGTGTGAAATTAGAGCCACAAGAGGATGGTATCATGAGTTAGAGAGAAGAAACAGCGGACCACGGGAAATAGGTTTGATATCCGGAAAGACACAAAAACGCAATCCGGCGACGACATGACATGGGCCAGGCAATGGGATATCGTGATTAAGAAAAAAAAAAAGGAAGACACAGAGCAGAGCATGGCAGGGAGCAGAGAGCAGCAGTACAGTTGAACTTGAAGACAAATAAAATTCGAGGCAGCCACTCAACAAGCAAGGAAATGGATGGGATGCAGGTTTTCGGTCCAGCGTTGGAAGGGAGGAAGTCATGAGAGGCATGGCTAGACACGGGCGAATTATGTAAAAGGATTATTGCGTGTAACTGGGCGAGTGCGTCTCTGAAGTAGCCGTAGCGAAAGAGTAATCAGCCGACCGGTTCTTTGCGAGAGAGTGAGAGAAGATGGATGATGACAATGGCGAGATGACCGAAAGGGAGAAAAGTGACAAAGATCTCATCCAGCAGGGAGGAGAGAAAGGATCATTCGTTGGCAGAGAAAACACAATGTGGCGACGCTGGCTTGCTTTATGGCTTTTTGTTTTGTTTTACTCACGTTGCTGGTACACGGGACCGCTCTGGTAAGGGGAGTGAGGGTAGTTGGGAGGGTACCCCATTTGTCCGTTGCTCTGGTAAACCATACCACCGCCAGGGCCGCCGTATTGGTTGGGAACTTGGCCGTCGGCAGGCTGATAGCCGATGGGAGGCAACTGAGGGCGAACGCCGCTGGCGTAAGCGGGAGGCTGGCCACCTTGAGAGGGGTCAGAAGATCCGGGGGCATCGACTTGACCAGCCTGGGCGGCCTGGGCAGCAGCACGCTCACGTTCTTCAGCAGCCTTGCGCTGAGACTCTTCCTCCTTCTTGCGGGCCTTCCATTCCTTGCGAATCTCCTTGAACTCTATAAAGACAACATCAGTATGTGGGTGACGACAAAAACGGATAAATGGGAAAACCTTCAAGCGAGGTTCAAGGTAAGGTGAAATGGGGAAGTGATACGGGGGAGAGGCGACGAGGTACGGTGCGAAGAAAGTGTCCCGCTAGTTGGAAAGGGATAAGTAGTCAAGCTTAGACAAGCTTAACCTCCACGCCGTCGGCCACGCTACTGCGGCCCCGCGAGATCTAGTGTAACTCACTAGCGCGTAGCTGCCGGCGCTAACCCCAATCTAGCCATTTGCGACAAGACTTCGAGATTCGCGCGAAAAAAAAACGAGACCTCGGACAAATCGCCGACGGCGTGACAAAACATGGGGAAGCAGCAGAGAGAATACAGGATTGTGCTCACCTTCGGGGGTACGCTTAGCACCGTGCGACTGCATCGTCACGTGTGCATTCAGATGGTTCAGTGTACCATAAGCCTTCTCACAACCGTTCCATCCACACTTGTACATGCGCTCGATTTCCTCGTACCGACGACGGGGGCGCTTGTGCTGTTGAGCACCGGGAATAGGGACGAAGGAGTAGACCTGTGTAAGCGCACAAAAAACGCGTTAGCGACAACCGATTCCGCACGAAGCGACCAAACCAGCAGAATCCCAATTGTAGCCCAAGAGAGGACAGGGGCTGTTTCTTTTTTGACGATTCCTGGGAGGGGAAAAAGCAATGATTGCAAGGGGCGAGTTGCATAAAGACCAGAGCGCGTCCCAAAGACAACGGCAATGAAAGATACAGAGAAGGCCCGGAAATTTACCCCCCCCCCCCCCCCACAGGAGATCATCAAAAAGAAAACATACCTGGCCAGGGCGCGGGCCTGCGATTGCAGCAGGGGAGGCAGAACCAACCGTAGTAGCAGCCGGGGACGCATAAGGCCCCGGCAGACCGTGATGTTGTTGTCCATAACTATGCGGCCAGTCCGGGCGCGCGTACATCTGATGAGGAGGAGGCGGGTGGCCCTGGTATTGAGCCATGTCGTGTCCCTGAGGCTGGTAGGGAGAATAGGGAGGAGGATAGGTGGGGCTGTTGGCCGGGAGCGAGGGATCTAAAGGGACAGCCGGGTCAGAGGGGAAGTTGGATGAGGATGAAGGTAAAGAAGCAAGAGCGGGATCGAGGTCAGGGCTGCGCGGAGCCGCGGCAGGATCCGACGCAGGAACGGAGATAGAAGAAGGAGGCATGGGAGAAGCAGAAGACATGGAAGAGGTGGGCAGGAACGGACTTGTTGCTTGAGCCATACCGGGCGCGCCACCGGGTTGAGAGTTGGGAGCGTACGACTGGGGTGGGCGCGGCAGGTAGTCCTGGTGGTAGGCAGGCGAGCGAGCGGGCGGTGGGTTCAGGCCGTACTCGGGTTGGGGGGTGTTGGAGGAGGAAATGGCGGGACGGGCCTCGGGCTGCGGCGTGTGCGAGTACTGCGGGTTGGGGCGTACTTCGGGTTGCGGGGTGTGAGTGTAGTGAGTGGCCGCGGCGGCAGCAGCAGCAGCAGAAGTCTGGTCTGCAGGATGTTCAGGATGATCAGAATGGCTGTTGTGAGAGGAGGGTGATTGAGTTGGTGGTGGGTGGTGCGAACCTGACTGTGCGTACTCGGAGGTGGGTCGGTCCATATAAAAGTCGGGGATGCGGCGCGCGCAGGAGAGGGTTTTTTTTTTGCCTTCCGATCCGGATTGGGGGAGGGGGAAGCTTTCCAGGGGGGGGGGGAGTAGGAATTGATTTTATTTTTCGAAATCAAAATTCCCGTGTATTTTATTTTTCACCTGCAGACGCGTTGGCCACAGCGTCAGCGCGGGAAATGGGGGGGGAGGGAGGATGTGGGTGGAGGCGAAGGTGTGAGTGGTAATGTCGAGAGAGAGAGTCGAGACAATGAACGACAAGCAGCGCGAGGGGAAAAAGAGAGGAATCGGGGAAATTGACGGGGCACGTTGCACGCAAGGGACCAAAGAGACTAGACTCGCCACGTTGGAAATCGTGGCTTGCCCGTCCACCGTTGCTGCTCCACGAGACCGTATACTTCGATTCACTTTCCGAATCCCCGGAAGATGCACTTACAATTCTTCGTGGAAATGGAAAAACAAAAGAGCCACTGGTCGTTAAGTCTGCAGATCCTGGTCTTGGTGGAGATCAGGTCGAGTAGAGACGATCGACGCGTTATCCAGGCGCGTGTAGAGCGAGAGAAGAGGGTTTAATTCGACGACTAGGAGGATGGCTTGCAGGGGGGGAAGAAAACCAAGCAGGCACCGGCACGGAAAAACCAACGAGGGAAGTCAGAACGAGACCGATCTCAAGAGAGACAGTGAGAGGGAAAAGAAAGTGTTAGAGGGGGAGAAAATGAGATCGAGGATTGGAGGATTGGAGGTTTAAGGCGGAGAGGAGGATAGCGCGAGCAACGATGTCTCTTTTCTTCCTAGTCGGCCTGTACCAGGAAAATAAGGTCCCGAAAATAAAAAGGAAAATCAAAAGATAGTTCAAAAGAGCGGGTTAGCAGCAAGCTAGTTAAAAGGGTTAAAAAAGCAGCAGGGCCTCAAAAAGGCCGAAAGTCGCAGAATCATTCGGCAGGACGTCCCCCTCGTGGGATCCGAGGATACGGTGGAGCACTTTGCCAGTGGAGCTGGTAATTTTGGTCTCTCTCTCTCTTTTTTATCTTACGGGATGATTACGAAAAAGTGGCATCCCAATGTGCTATACAAAGTAGACGGTGTAAAAAGAGCTCAATTGAGATATTCTATAAGGTAAAATCTCAAGTCCAGAAACCCATGAAATGCAGAATGCATGAAATCGATGTAGAATCTATACCAGGGCACGACTATATGGACAAAGATAGGGCTACGATTATAACCACGGTTTCAATCTGATGGTTTGCTTTCATATGCTCTTCTCAAATGGGCATAGTCCTCCTCCCATTCACTCCAATGACTCCTGCCTTTCAACCCGAACGCCTCGTCGGACTCTTAAGGGTTACGGAGTCCTTCCCGGTCGCAGGCAATATGCGACCCAGCCGCTCGTCAACGAACGACACAGATTAAATTGCCAAAGCCAATCATCACCAACCAAAAGGATAAAATCAATATTCATACCGGATTTTGAATCACGGAATAAATGATAATAGTAATAACGATCGCATTCATCTTCAGAAATTACTATACAATAACGAATCCTCGTTATCATATCCTTTGCCTTTCCAGATCTCATCGGATTTATTTTGCCAAGTTTTTGGATTTTCTATTTTATCCGTGGAGCATCGCGTATGATAATATTATGTATTATTATTTTTATTTTATTTGATTCGATTTGGTTTTTTTGCTTTCTGAACCGTCGGACCATTCCCTTTTCCGCACAATACTCCGAGAACTGGACGACCACGCTGCAACTCCTGGGATTGGCCCCCTTTCCCCTCACAGGGACCGGCTGAAGGGTGCTCATTTGCCCTCATCCGGCTGATGCGGTTTTTCTCTCTCTCTCTCTCTCTCCTCGTGTTCTGGCAAAGCGGAGTCCGCAGAGGAGGAGGAGGGGAGGGGGGGGAAAGGTGGGAAAAGGGGGAGGAGAAAGAAAAGAGTGGCGATCTGATTTGATCCAGCAAATGTGGCATACATGAACTTTGTGTCTTTAATGGCTGTTCTCCTCGGAGCAGATCTCAATTGACTATAATACATATCGAGTCCTTTTTTGCAGACCAGGAAACGTTAATGTAGAAAGTATATTTATCATCTGTACATTCGCTAGATATATATGTCAGGTCTGTGGATGAGATTAAGTATAGTTACAGGCCACCTTAGTGTCCGTCCCAAGACATCTCACTAGTCATTTACTCCGTAGAGTTAACTTATCCAGTCCTACTATTTTGATAGATTGAACTCGGTTTAGCCTCCCATCCGACTAGTCTACCCGCAACTCGGGCGCGTCTTTGGCGGACGAGTAGTGAACCTAGCGTCTACGCTCCGTGGATACCAACCAAGATCGTTGTCCAGAGGGCGATGGGCAACGGATGGTCCCAGGGGTGGACAGAAAAAAAACAAGAAAAAAAAAAGGGAAAAAACGGCATAGTGCCCGTGGACACCCTTGGGAACAGAGAGGGGAAAGGGCCACGGGCCAAGACTGGTCGTTCCCATTAGTCCCGTTTAGGTCTCGCTTCCATCGCGCCCCTCCTCGAGGTTCCTCGGGCACGCCATTACCTTGCACCAGGTCCAGCACTGATCCAACGATGATCCAGCGGAATTCAGTGGTAGGCCCGGAGTAGCCCCGAGCTACACCGGAAATAGGACTAGTGCAAGCCGGGGGAAAGCAGCAAGCGATGGGCACTCGGGAAGACCAGGGCTAAAAGAGAGGATACGGGCTAGCGTGGACGCAATGGTGGGCAGGCCAGCGGACGAGTGGAGAGGGTCCGGTGGGTTTCTTGGTTGAAGTGGTGACTCCTTCTGGTTTAGTCGCAAAGTTTGCTCGAGAAACTTTGAAAGCCGGGGCGGCTGCAGCCGGTACCTTCTTCTTACAGGTATTGGATTCTGGCTAGATGAGCGGTTATGCCGTATCTCGAGTACGCAGCACACCGGTCTGGCAACGTGGGGGTAATGACTTGGGCAGAAACTTGTTTGCTGTGACTATGAACGACGTTATACTCTGTCAAGAATGACTACCAAGAGCATGATCTTTCTAATGGATATCTGTCAACATAATATAGGCATCTATGGGGATAAGAAACAGTGGTGATACCCATAGAAGCATGAACGCACCTCATAGGAGGAAAAAAAAGCGGCGGTCGGAATTTGGGGGGGGGGGAGAACCCGGAGTACCAGTACAGCGCACAGACGGAACTTTACCACCAACACTGAGGTACTGGTACCTCCCTCGATCCCGAGCTGCCGTGATAGCCAGAGAACTCGAAATCCAGAGACGGGCAGACAAAAGGGGAAGTTGCTTCACGTTGAATGTCAAGGTTTCTCTGTGTGACATTCACTGGATTATTTACATTGTTCCCAGTATCTCGAGTCATCTACAGTACACTATGCATCTATACAGACTATACTCAATACATATTCGCTGGCCACTATCCCGAGTCAGGATCACATCTGATAGACCTAGTCTACCCGTCTAGCGGTAGTCTAAATGTCTAACCGTCAGTCCTCCGCAAGCCGCCGTCGAAATAACGGCGGAAGAAGATAAATGACTCGGTCGGCTCTCGCGTAACCCTGTGTCACGGACGATACTGTACCTCAGGAACGCGTCAGTGGAGCAGAAACAACACCACAAGTCCCCACTGTCCGTGATCGGAGGCTAGCTGGGCCACGAGACATCTCATGAATTTTTTCAAGGATGATATGATTCTGCTTCACTATCATGCAGTAGAAAAGCATTTTTTTTATTATTCTCTCAAGGACAAATTGGGAAGAATAACCCTGAACGACTACACTTTTCCCCTCATGACGAACGGAGAATTTCGCGATTACGCTCTCGCCCCCTATTTCTTGCATGGAAAAGATGCACGATGAATGGACAGAGGGTCTGGGAGGGGGAAACCTTTCCCCACTGCAATCAATCACTTCTCTTTCCTCTTTTCCCTGGTCGGATGTTTCCAGTTCTGGTCCGTAGAGTGCGTCTGCCCCGTCCTTGATTGATAGAAGTGGTATTCCGTACCGTGGGTGATTTCCCACGCCTTCGTTTATCATACGATATGCGATACGACTAGGTGGATTCTGTTTTAATGTTTAATTATAGCATTACATTTGAGGAAGTCGCCCGAACCTTGCTGAGTTGCTGACCCCAAAAGGTGTAAAAGGGGGTCCGCTGTCGTGCTTTGGTCGGGCCCGTGGAACCACTCGTTCACGATTGGCGCCAATTGGTCACTGCTGATAATCACGTTTTCATCACCATTCCATTATGTACTTTGAAACTACTCCAGATAAATCATCTCTTCCCTCAACGGAGTTATCGGTAGCTCTCCGGAGCTTTCCCAGAGAAGGAGGCTGGCTCCTACTCGAGCCGCAACTTTGGCGAATGCAGAGGACATCGTCTTCATTATCTATACGCATAATTATAATGTATAGTGGTGTCGTACTCCGTATAGGGAGCTCCATAGACCTATATTTTACTCCTCCAGCCTTGTAGAGATGGTCCAAAAGTGGAATTCTTTTCCTTCAATCTAGATAGGAAAACAACGGAAATTGAATCCTATACAAAGTTCCCAGATGCAGAACTGCTATAAGGCTCCTACCTCGGCTCCTCTCGTCTCTCTTTATCTGCACGCACGATGATTGGCCCATCAAAACGGCCTGGATATCACGCCCGCGCAGGCGGAACATTATCATCCACTGCCGGTGAAGCGAAAAAAAAAAACACTCTCTCATCCAGCCAAAGCAAACAATAGGGGGACCCGGTTTGACACGGAGGGCGCTTACCGATGTTTCTCCACATGCGCGATGCAAATTTTTGCTTTTTATGACACTACTTTCTCATGAGGAATCTATACAATTGGGTGGGGTTAGGGAGATCATATCGAGCTTCAATTTGTCCCAAGAAAACACCGCAGGTCTAGATAGACAGGGAGACAAGCTACGGCCGACCAAGCGGGAGCGCTGCTCGGTCGGCAATCTACGTAGTATCTACAGACTCCGCTATC